GGCGTACTATATCATAGGAAAAATCGGGAAAAAAGGAAAATAAAATTATAACTTTTTTGTTTTATATACTTATAGAGTCTATAGCATTACCAAACTTAAGCAGATTTGTTTTTTCAAATTTTTGGTCTAGTAAAGTTTAAGATTTGGAAACATATAAACAAGAAAAGAGAGGTTGGGAAGGATTAATATTCTTAATTCTTAATCAAGAACAAAATTGTGAATATAATTATTATTAATATAATTATTCTTCAAAAATCAGTATTGACTTTAATGTGTAAATTTAATTCTGTGAACACAGTAAAATGTGTAAATTGTATTTAAAAGTATAAAGTAATCAACAACCATGTTGACATTGCGATGTCCACACTCTTTCTTGCATGATAGATAGAGTATAAAGAGTATAAAGATATGAAGTAAATGATTAAGTGTATAGCACCTACATATATATTTAATATGTTACTAACCTTGGTAGCAAGATGAGGCAGAGTTGTAACATACCAGAGATTTATATAGGGTACGCAGCGAGGGAAATATGAGTGTGGGGGCGTGAAAGGTGTTCAGGATTACAGGCTAGGAGGCAGGGAGACAATCAAGAGCTGTCATCATCGCAGTAATCAACAGTTAAACGCAACGCCTGGTGGCCCAGATTTAGCGACGCCACTTTGTAATCGTTAAGCCGGTGCTGCCCCCAACTAAAACTGCCCCTAGATTGGGCAAGAGGTCAAAACGCGATGTGTGGGGAGGTGAAGGGGTGTGATTATGTGGCAGGGTTTCCAGGCCCAACCAGCATCAGAGTCGTAAAATCATTTGTTTATCGCTGTGGTCGTTTTCGGGCCTATTAGCAGCTCAAAACCATTGCAATAAATCCCCGAGTTTCTCAAAACAGGGCTAATTCCTTTGCATGTATGGTTGTTTGGCGCCAGATGGCAAATGACGCGACGATTGGCATGCAACATAAAAGCGTATTTTATGATTTAAGCACCACAAAAGCCACAGCTCACAGCACGAGCACAGCACATGCCAAAAGTTAATCACATATAAAATGTAACACTTTATAGTCGTTGAAAGTCCTTGAGGCCAAACCCCAATAAAGTTGGCAATTTTTGGTACAAATTACCGTAAGCCTTAAATAAATTTAATTTTGTGGTCTTTACATTAACAAATGGCAAACTAATCAAGTTGAACCAAAACACACTTGGCAATAACTTGCGGCTGACCAGAGAATTTCAAGTCACTTAAGAAGTTTTGGCTGAGTAAATTTCAAGCCAACCCAAACGGAAAACTACTAGCTATTACTTAGTAAGCGGGAGCCATTTGTTAAATAAAATACTTTATAATTACTCAAGTTGGTGTTTATGTTGTAACTATAGTTAAACTGTAGTTGGCAACATGCAAAGTATTGCAAACAAGAAAGAACTCTATTGTCGGGATTTCCGACTTCGAGATACCCAATAATCAACAAAAAGTGTTGTACATAGTAAATTTTCTTTAAAGATGTGTGGAATAGTTTTTTGGGTATATACTTTTAATACATGCTTATTACCTCTTTAAGATTCAGATATTCCGGATAAATTATATAAATATATATACTTACAACTTTTAAGCGTAACATACTTTCCAACAAATACATATACTTTATTTCTACGAATACCGAGCATAAAACTTTTCAGAAAAGTAACGATAGTAAAAAGGGTTGCTTATAGTTTTTCGATGTGAAAGGGGTAACCTCCATTTGCACAGTGGCGGACTCAGGATTTTGTTGTGGGGTTGGGATTAAAAACAAATTTTCAGTAGCATACATTTTTAATACCATATTTTCTTTCACTTTTTGACCGAGTGGGGATTGAACCTCCTAATCCCCACCCATGTGAGCTATGTGTCAAAAATATACAATGAAAAGCATTAGGCACGTTTTAAATTTGTGGTGAAAAATATTTTATTATTTTGCATCTAAAGAGTTTTTTAATTGGTGTCGTTTTGTTAACAAACTGACTAAAACACAAAGTTAAGGGTTCGATTACCGTGACACAGACACTGTTGTCCTTTGGCATGTGTTATATTATATTTATCAAAAAACTAAATCAATCGCAAAATTTAATTTTTATTAAAGCGACAGAAGGAAACATTAGCTTTTAGTGGGTAAATTTTGTAAAAAGGAAAACAAGTTTTCGGTATGCCCATCATAGTCCGACCTTAAGTTTGTAAGCTTTATGCTTAAAATTTCTCACTGTGTGACAGTTGATGGCGGAAGGTTAACGCACATGTCCATCATCTGCAACAAAAGCGGTTAACATGGATGTTTGGAGCGATCAAGCGGAAGTGCCACTCATGCCAGATATACACACTAATAACCATACGAGAGTTGGCAACTTTTCGCGGACTTTTTTTTGATATGTTAGAGCAACTTTTGATCTCCCTGTGGTATCTGAGGCATTTTAATCAACTTCGGAGCGCTGCAGGACGCATTGGAATGCGGCTAATAAATATTTATAAATGCTGCCCTCGCACATATTGTTTGACGTGGTCCGTCTGTCTCCATGGGTATAAAAGTTTAGAATTCCCCCGGCTGTCCCTTTGTCTCGTTGGCCCCAATCCCCTTCGGGCCAGTTGAGTCTTTAAGCCACAGTGCTCGGTTGTTATCGTGTCATATGTATATGCTGTCCCCTGCCATTGCTCACAGATCGTCCTTGAGTGCAGAAGTGTCCTAGTGTTTTCGCAACAGGCAAATGTGCTTTTGATGACATTTTAAATGCCTCCGAGCCTAGGAATGCATTTGGCAAGAAGCTTGGGCTCTTAGCCAGATCTCATACTTTAAGAAACTAATCAATAAGATGCTTCACTTCACACATAAGCTCCTCCATTCCTGGCTCTTTCCGGGCTATGATTCCATATTCAACCGGCACCACAAAAGCCAGCTGAACACATTCCCAATAATCGCAGGGGCAAAAACATAAATTGATTTCCAGAAAAGCGAATGAAAAAAAGGGAACACCAATTTGCTGCTTTCGATTTCTTTATTTTTTCCTCCCTTTTTTTTGCGGTGGTTGTGCTGGCAACTTGCAGTTCTGAGCTGCTGGAGCAAACACGTTTCGGAAAAGTTTTAAAGGGTCTCTGCCCTTTGAGTTGTTGATGACATGTTTCGGTAGTCCGTGGTCCGCTACCGGGAAGATAAAAACAAAAAATGTCAACAACAGGAACGCTTTTTATTTGTGGAAAACAGAAAAATTAATTCAAGTTTCGCTCCTTCAGCTTGCTTTAAAATGTAAAGTGAAAACTTTTGGCCTGGGTAAGCAATTCTTTTATGTTTTCCACAGCTGTTGGCAGTTGTCTTCGGCGTGGGCCTAGTAGATTTAATTAAATTTTTGTATAGAAAAACATATCCAAGGCTGTTGCGTGTGCGAAAGTTTGCGCTTTGGGGGCCCGGGAATCGTGGGACATGTTTCAACTAGAGTCCTGAGGGGGTGGAATTGGTGAGAGCACCGAGTTTTAATATTGATATTTAAATTTTCTAATTTAGTCTGCCCGTGGGAAATTCCCTCCCCCCCTCTTTTCCATCCAATTATGTCATTATCCGCACGCTTTCCGCTCATGTGAAGCATCCGTACCTGCGCTACTTCACATTGCATTATCCACTGCAAACAGAATGTCCCACATGGCGTATACTCTCTGTTTTTTGCAGGCCGCCTGCCTAAACTATATGCAAATTAATATGCATTCGTATGCTGCTGTTGAGAACAACAACATTTTCCGTTCTGGTGGATTTTTCATTAAAAATTATCCTGAGCGCAATGTAAATAGTTGTGAATTTGCATGGATGCCTGTCGACAAGAGAGCGGCACAAGTTCAGGTGGTTTTTGCATTTAGAAATTCGACCCAACCAGGACGAGGTATTAAAAATACGATGCTACGCCTGTGGCGAGCCTCACATGCATTAGATATTCTTCTCTAAGTTTGCATTCAAGGCTACAATAAGTAGAGGGGAAATATTCAAGTACTGGGAAGGAAAATGCGCCTTAAAGCTTTACTTCTCCCTAATATAAATGTCATAAATCCAAGCAGCTATTTATCTTCCTTGCTGCTCAGCCAATGCCCCCTAAGAACCCCAAGTGAAAATGAGCTAGTCCATAACTCCACCAGGTGATTGGGCCATAAACCACCTGTGCGGAAAAGTTCACATTTCTGCAGGTGGCGACATCTCTGGCCAGAGCATCCGCATCGGGGGAGCAATTTGTTAGTTTTTAGTGCGAATTCATTAGCCCCGGAATAATTAGGAGCTGATGCAGTCTGCACTCTTAAATTGATCGTTATTATCTGCACGCGGGTGGGAACTCACCCATCCAGTTAGGCGTCTAACGAAATTTGCCCACTCATGAGCAGCAGCAGCAGCAATCTGTGCAGTTGATGGCAATAAATTGCATTTACCAGGAAAACCTAATTATATTAAGTTGCAATTACGGGGCAAGAGAATGCCGGAGGATGGATGCCCGAACCTGATGGCACAGGTGCCAATGGCTGGCTTTAAGAACTTCAGAGATGCTGGCAAATTGAATTGCCAAGCACATTACATCACAAACTCATCCAGGGGCAGAAAAGGAAGTCTTTGCCTGTGCATTTCCCACTCCATCGCTCGCTGTGTTTGTCTATTGCTTTATGGGGCATACGTTTTCGGTTCTTATTTGGATTGCATCTGGGGGGGAAAGCCACTTGAATTGGCTGGTCCTAGTTTGTATCGATGCCGGGCTATTTGGCATGGCCTCCGGATGCCGAGCGCTCTCATATGTTTATCTGATTTGTGGGGCGAGCACGTGAGCAGATTATGATTACATGCACTGCACTATCAGATACTTTGAGCCCGAGCGGCGGCGCTTCCTTTGGCACGGCCAATCAGAGGCAGCAAACAGAAATGGATGGGATGCAAAGTTGCCGGCGAAACCTGAAACTCAGTTTTGAAACCCAAATTGCAATACCTTAAGGCAAAATTATGGAAAATGTGGCTTTATTGGTTGAAACTAAGAATATTGTTTGGGTAGTAATTCATAAAATGTTATACAAAATGTCTCAAAGACCTAGGTTTTTAAATAAAGGATGTATATAACTTTGATAGGTCAAAACTAAAGTTAAAACCTTGAATATACTCTCTAAGTTTCTCAAACAAATATAGAAAACTTAGTCTTTTAATAAAGGATTCAATTGAACTAATTAAGGAATAATACACTCCAAATATAAATCTTACAGCCAAGGCCGTTGTGTCCTTAGTTAATCCTCAAGTGCACCACCCCAGACTTAATAATGGAGCATATTATTATAAATTAAAGTTCACTCCTTTTATTTGCATTCACAGAGTCACACTACTTCGCGAACGGAAGCGGAAGTTGCCCGGCCGGAAGTCTAGTTGGTGGTTGCTGTCGTCCCTCCTGCCGTTTGCCTATGTAATGGTAATGGCCAGAGTAAAAGTGTTACTAAAACACTAAGCTCGCAGCGGAAATCGAGGAAGTGTTCTGACTTATAATGCCCCCGCACACAAATCCGGCATAATGCAGCGCTAAGGCCAAGGGAGCAAACAAATCCAAGGCATTCCACTACAGGGCAAACGAAGCTGAAGAGCAGTCCACTCGACGACACCAGATTTCTAAACAGGACGTGTCGACAAAGCGGCCAACAGCATGGCGGACCTGGAGCGCATACGCCTCGTCCTTTTGGGCGGTGCCGGCGTGGGCAAGAGCTCCATTGTGAAGCGCTTCCTGTTCAAAACCTACACGGACAAATATCGCGCCACCGTCGAGGATCTCTACAATCGCGAGTACGACCTGGGGGGCGTCACACTAAAGGTGAGTCCTTTGCTCTGCATCCGGTCACAATGCACTAAGTCTGAAAACCCACGCAGCGAATCCCAGTGTGTGCCCGCTTTTTGTCTTTGCCTGCTGACATTTCGCTGTAATTTGTTTATACGGGTTTAAATGTCGGCAGTGCACTCAGCAATCGCAAGAAAATTTTTCCTTTAATTCTGGAAAACATCAGCTCTACTCAGAATAATTTATGCCCGGTAAAACGAAGTACCTTTCTTTGCTCTTTTTCATTTGAAGCTCGAAAGAAATGGGAACATTGCAAGGCATTTAATTTAATAAATACAACAATTTTAACAAGTAAAGGCAGGAAAAATTTTAAAGCTGTGTTGTGCAAGTTAGATTAACAAAGAATGTATCTAACTCAGACAAATTAAGTGTTTTCAGAACAATAAATAAATTTATACTATAACAAGAAAGGAAGCAAACTTCGGCAAGCCGAAGTTTATATACCCGTGCAGTTATTACAAACCGCCTACACTTCGATTTCTATGCCTAAAAACCATGAAGCTGTGTCGACTTTGCGCTGCATTTTGCCATCGTTTCTTTGGCAGCTATTTGATATTGTTGTCCGATTTTAATTTATTTAAAACCGTAATTCCATAATATTTAAATATTACCAAATCTCAACGAACCAAAAAAAAAGTTAAAAACAACAAAGTTATAATTTCTTGGAATATAGAATTAAAATTGAGGGACTAGTTTGCGACGGACATGGCTAGAGCGACTCTCCTGGTGATGTGCAAACTGACGGTATTCCTGCAACTAAGTTGTTTTCCAGCGGGTCTAGCTATTTATAGCATGCGTTACGATACTTAAGAAATCTACAATTTGTTACCTGCTTCTACATTTTCCAAGAAAATATATAAGAAAGATTCCTTAATTACCATTTCTACCTAAGTCTGTTCAAATGCAGCAAAGCAGGTAGTTTAAGTAATCGAGATTTTGGCCCAAGATCGCTCTGAATCGTTCTGAAAGAAAATAAAAACCTGAAGGTCATCCTATTTACGAAGGAAGATTTATTTTCTTCTAAAGTACAGCTTAGTTATTGGATTTATAAATGTACAATAGCTATTCTATGTTTAAAAGACAGTAGTTTAACTTTTAATCAGCATAATTTCGATTTCTATGCCTATATTACTAAAAACAATGAAGCTATGTCGATTTTGCGCTACATTTTGCCATCGTTTCTATTGCAGATATATGATATTATTGCCCGATTTTAATTTAATTGATTTACTCCGTAAACAAAGTTTAAATTTTTATACCCTTGCAGATGGTATTATAATTTTGGTCAAAACTACTACTTTTTTCCTGAAGCCTTAATCTGTCTAATTTTAAATTAGAAACATCTATAGTTCTGATTCAAAATCATAATTTATATAATGGTTGATAAAAAGCTGAAGTGTTTAGCCCCTTGAAGTAACAGAAAATAAACTTAGCTCAGAGAAATTTGTTGTGTTAATACAATAAATAGATTTCTACTCAAAATGTTAAATGAAAGCCATTTCCTGCAAAAACAAAGTCTACCTAAAGAAAATTGAACTTCTCGTTGAGAACCTGAGTTTATCCCACATTTAGTATTTCAATTGGCCTTCTTGGAAGTTTATTTTATCTGGATAATTTAAACCACCAGTAGTTATGGGATACTTCATTAACCCAATAACGGTTGTGGTCATCAGCTCGCCAGGAACTTTAATCCCATTAATTAGGTGGAAATCTACTAATTGGATGTCTGGAGAATTTGCACAGTATCTGACTCCGCCGGCAGCAAGGACATTACGCTCCATATGCAAAGTATTAGCCAAGACACGTGTGTTTCTGGTCTCCTGGCAATTGAGAAGCTCCCCAAAAGCCTATTTGCAACGAAGTGAGTCGGGCAGAAGTGGTTCGTGGTCTGTGGGGTCGGTGGTTTCAGAGGAGCTCTGCCCGGGGCCACAGCTCAGCATGATTACATATATTGAAGATGAAAACACAAATTGAACGAATGAATCCTTACTGATTTAAATGTACTTACGGCAATCTTGTTCGAATAGTTTGGGGCTCCCTCCTCTTTGTCCCATTGACTAACAAGCTGACTGGCAGCGTGTGGGCGGAGGCTCATTAATCAAATTTGCACACGCTCAAAACAGCGGAAACAACTTGGAAAATGTGGCCCACTTCCCAGCCGGTCGAGTCATCAGTGCTGCCGTGGAAGAAATTCCGGATTGGTGCCACTTAAGAAGGGGCAATTAATGGATAATAACTTGTCGTGCCAGGGGAAATATACCGGAAACTGATAACTGCTATGCATTACTTTAATCGGATCTTAATCTGCGGCTATGAATAACCATGGGTGTGGTTAACAATCCGGAAAGATATCTATAAAAGCAGTCATCACAGCCGCCTTTCGAGGCATCCTTACGACCATGTCGTGCCAGAGCAAACTTCTGATGGAACATCATTCACTGCCTCGCTCCTCGGTGGTGAAGCTGATTATACGCTGTTCAAACTTGTCTTACACCACGAGCACATGTTTGGCGAACAAAAGTTGAGCTGAAAGTTGATTAATAGGTGGGCTGGAGGGAGCTGAGCGCTGCCGCCGTCATTATCATCGCTGGAAGCTGGCCAAATTGATTCCGAGAGTTTGTTTGGCGACACTGACACTCCTGGTGGCGACGCCATTGCCAGGATTTAGCCAGTGCTCCCCTGAAGTCAGGACATACTTCGATTTAATTAATTTCATTTAGAGCGACCGATGGGGTGCACATCCATTACTTTAGCTCGGTTCGGCGGGCAGGCCCAGATTGAATTCCACTCGGGAGCTGTCACTAAAGCTTAAAGTGATTTATTCCCGGCCACCTTAGGTGCAGTGTACCGACGGCCAGGTGCATTCAAATCAATTTCACCTGGACAATTTGCGAGGCTGCTCGCCCAAAGGACATCCCCTTTCCAAACAAGGAGAGCCTGCAGCCCGCTGTGACTGATTGTCGGAGCAGCGTGTGGCCATCAAACGGGAACATTACATTGCACTAAACCATTTCTGCTCTTTAAAAGCAATTTTGTGTATGTTCGTGGATGTGCGGCACAGCAGGACGAATTTGATGCCATAAACATAGATGGTCGAACAAAGCCGGGGCCAGCGAACAATGGCTGACCGACGAGCAATGGTGTCGAAAATATAAATTGTGTCATTCTGTAAAGTGTTTTTAATAAAGTTTACTCATTTCGGCCAAACAATTCGTTACAAATTTGCGTCACAATGGCCAGGGTTGTCGATAGAGAGCAGGATGAGGGTATAAGAAGATGATACTGACAGGACTAAACGGTTGGCTTTGCCTCCGGCTCTTTGGCTGCCTGGCTTTAACAAGCTATTGACATTCTGGGTCGCTCTCAATGTATAACACGTAAGCCACGCGGCGATATACACAACATAACAGATGCTGACACGGGGATTAGTTGCCATCAAGTGGGCATTGATCGGCCGCGAGACAGGAGTCACGACCCAGGACCCACCATCGACTCCGTCGCCCTTTCGCTCTCCATGTACAAATCATTTAAAAAGCACTTCATTAAAAGTAGTATGCAAGATGTGACTAAAAAAAATTAAGAAAAAACAAGAAAGCAAGCAAACTTCAGCAATCCGATGTTTATATACCCTTGCAGTTATTACAAAACATTTCTATTCCTATATTACTGAAAGCAATGAAGCTATGTCTCAAATAAATATTTTGAGAAACAGAAAAACACCAAAATAAGAATTGTATTTCATCTTATTTTTTTTTATTTTTCGATTTTTCTATTGTAGCTATATGATATAGACGTTCGATCATAGTTTAATTAAAACCGAAATTCCATAGTATTTCACCATATGGTGATGCTGATCAAGAATATATTTTATATACTTTATAGGATAGGAAATGTCTCTTTGACTGCGTTGCAAACTTTTGACTGAAATTATAATACCTTCTGCAAGGGTATAAGATAAACAAGAAAGGAAAGCTAACTTCGGGCGGAGCCGAAGTTGATATACCCTTGCAGAATACTCTGTAAATTATATTTTCCAAAATTATTCATATGATGCATTCTTAATACTCATAAAAAATCCCAACTTCGTAACTTTAAAAACACCAAAGTTATGGCATTTCCGATCAATCAGTTATATGGCAGCTATAGGATATAGTCGGTCGATCCTTATGAAGTTTGGTAGGTCGGATTGATTGGCCAAAAATAAAACCCATAGAAAATCCCAACTTCCTAACTTTACAAACACCAAAGTTATGGCATTTCCGATCAATCAGTTATATGGAAGCTATAGGATATAGTCGGCCGATCTTTATAAAATTTGGTACGTCAAATTGAATGGCCAAATACAAAACACATAGAAAATCCCAACTTCCTAACTTTACAAACACCAAAGTTGTGGCATTTCCGATCGTTCAGTTATATGGCAGCTATACTATATAGTCGGCCGATCCTTATAAAATTTGGTACGTCAAATTGATTGGCCAAATGTAAAACCCATAGAAAATCCCAACTTCCTAACTTTAAAAACACCAAAGTTATGGCATTTCCGATCGTTCAGTTATATGGCAGCTATAGGATATAGTCGGCCGATCCCGGCCGTTCCGACTTATATACTGCGTGCAAAGGAAAGAAGGGTGTGTGCAAAGTTTCAATTCGATAGCTTTAAAACTGAGAGACTAGTTTGCGTAGAAACAGACAGACGGACAGACGGACAGACGGACAGACGGACATGGCTATATCAACTCAGGAGGTGATCCTGATCAAGAATATATATACTTTATAGGGTCGGAGATGTCTCCTTCACTGCGTTGCACACTTTTGACCAAAATTATAATACCCTCTGCAAGGGTATAAAAACTGAAAGGTATGAAGAACCTGATATCAAAGTTTGTGAGAACCCAGAATGCATCAATAAAAACCGTATATAAATCTTATGCCGACAATTCTTATAGAGTCGGACCAAAATGAAAATACGACAAACAATTGTGTGAAAATCCAATATGTCCTGATAAAAAAAGTATTTATATTGCACCGAACGAAACTGGATATATGAATGTATCCTCGCATAGAGTCCATTCTGAAAGAAAGTCATTGTACAAGGAAAGAAAACCAACCGTCTAGAACGAAATGTTAAAGACAAGGACATTCAATGATTGTTATAATTGCCAGCGTTATCGTTCAATCACCGATAGAAGTAATCGTATAAAACAAGAAGCTAATAATTTCAAAGTCTGCGTTAATAAAAATGCCAAGATAGATTAAATGGAGTTGTTCAAAACAAGCATTATATAAAAATCGATATGAAAAAAAGTTTATGGAATTTCAGATTGCCCCGATAACACAAATTAAAATGGGAATGCGGCCTATGCCCATGATAAAGCTCTGAAAAAAATCAACAAAAATGGAGAAAATCAATGGATCGAGATGAACAGTATTTATGCTCTGTAGATTGCCCCAATCGTCAAAAAGTTCTCTTCCCCGATCTTCGTCGATTTAAAATAAAACAAAGAAATACAAGTCGTCAAAACAGTGAAAGATCAGATGTATATGTAGACGATAAGATCATAACAAAGGCCTGCAAGAGATATGTTCCTCTTCAAAGCGATCGTCAGGCAATCAAGAAATATTGTAGTCGCTGTAAAACTAAAGTGAAAAGAAACACCGGATCCATAGAAAACGTAGTAGTATACATTAGCCCTGGTAAGCAAGCACATTTTTGTTAAAAATAGGCATAATCCACTTTTAACAAACCCCATGTTGAAAAGCTACGACAAGCATGTTTTGGAAAATTTTCACAAATTCAAAGAATAAAAAAAAATACAACGTAAATGTTCTGAAGGTTGCCCTTTTATTGGTCATATTGAAGATGAAATCCCTATGAGAAATAAGAAATCGAGTGAATTTAGCTGTCTTAAGCAAGCGGAAAAATATACCCAAAAAAATTCGAAGCCAAAAGAGAAATCTCCATCAAAATCAAGTGGATTTGCATGTTTTAAACAAAAAGACCAAATTCCCAAAAACCAAACCAATAGAGAAATCACATTCAAAATATAGTGGATTTCTATGTTTCAAGCAAAAGGGAAAAGTCCACAAGAAAAGCACAAACCAAATAAGGAATCACCTTCATCAAGATCTAGTGGATTTCTATGTTTTTAAAAAAAAGAAAAGCCTCCTCAAGAAAATAAACCTGAAATTGATAAAAAAAATCACAAAGTGAATTATTGAAAAGCCATAAGGCCCAGGGCTCAAATAGAGAAATAAGAAATCCTCGAAGCGTAGCGGATTTTTCAATTGTTGCAGGAAACATCAGACTGCCAAGGAGTCTAGTCGAAAAGTAGAGAAAGTTGTCTCGAAATAAGTACTTGTAGTAAATATCCCCAATCAAGAGATACCCATGCTTAAATCTGCAGTGCATTTTCGCTGTCCATGTGCCCCCGAAGATTTCGAGGACGGCGATGTTAAGGTCCCAAATGACTCCAGTTTCCGTTTCCAAAAAGAAAGTAGCAGCTGTGCCGAAGCTTCGAAAAAAGTATATTGCCATAATAATCCACATCAAACTGCGATACTTCAGATTGGTATGGAGCATCGCTTGCAACGTCAACAATATTCTGCCGTCAAAAGTTCGAGGATCAGGAGTCCATGTGGCAGTGCCAATGGATTCTATAAAATTGTGCGGTATCTATGATTGGGAGTTTCAACAAAAATACCAACATTTTTCCACTCATAAGTACACAAAGTAGACAATTCAAACTAGTGCAAAGCATCAATGAAAAGAAGATTCAAAACATCATCATCGAATAACTGCTTAAAAGCCAATTAATTCTAGTAAAATTGCGGGTCATCAAACTTATTCCAGATAAAAAAATTTAATTCTAGATAAAGAATAAAAATCGGTTTTCTTTTAAATATTTTCTGTTTATTATTTGTATTACTTATCATAATTCCAAATAGAAATGTGAAGAAATACGTTTGTTTATTTGTAATACAGCCCATGTGGTGTCCATATAAAGTATGTTAGATATATGGTCTATTAAGGGTCCATTATGGTTAGTTGAGTTAAGATTTTTTTTAACAAAGAAAAAAACATAAATACTTTAAACTTTTTAGGTATGTTTCTAACCAGAAAGACCGGAGTATATTGCCCATATTTCCTTCCCTGGCTTCATTGACGGCACTGCTGATAATTTCGATTCTATTTGTTCTCCATTTGGAGTGAGCCAATCGGCTCCTTCTTTAACTCTATCCCCCACGTGTGATCCAAATGGGGGAGCAGCCGACGAAATGGCAAGCAGAACAAACAAACAGGCAATCTAAAGATCAAATGGAAGTTTAAATTAAATTTTTAATTTGTTTAAAAAAATATTCCTAAAAGTAAATCAGGGCTTACCAACAATTTCATTTTGCTACTGTGATTGGCTCGTAATTTGGGAGTAAGACTACGAGTATATGAAAGATTCTTGAAGGTATTCCTGCAACTAAGTTGTTTTCCAGAGGGTCTAGCTATTTATAGCATGCGTTAGGATACTTAAGAAATCTACAATTTGTTACCTGCTTCTACATTTTCCAAGAAAATATCTAAGAAAAAACCCTTAATTACCATTTCTACCTAAGTTTGTTCAAATGCAGCAAAGCAGGTAGTTTAAGTAATCGAGATTTTGGCCCAAGATCGCTCTGAATCGTTCTGAAAGAAAATAAATATCTGAAGGTCATCCTATTCACAAAGGAAGATTTATTTTCTTCTAAAGTACAGCTTAGTTATTGGAATTATAAATGTACAATAGCTATTCTATGTTTAAAAGACAGTAATTTAACTTTTAATCAGCATAATTTCAATTCCTATATTACTAAAAACAATGAAGTTATGTCGATTTTGCGAAACATTTTGCCATCGTTTCTTGTGCAACTTATTAAGCATGTCCGTCTGTCCGTCTGTCTGTTTATCTTTTAAAGATATCGAATTGAAACTTTTGCACACACCCTTCTTTCCTATGCACGCAGTATATAAGTTGGAAAGGCCGGGATCGGCCGACTATATCCCATAGCTGCCATATAACTGAACGATCGGAAATGCCATTACTTTGGTGTTTGTAAAGTTAGGAAGTTGGGATTTTCCATGGATTTTATTCTTGGCCAATTAATCCGACCTACTAAATTTCATAAGGATCGGCCCACTTTATCCTATAGCCGCCATATAACTGATTGATCTGAAATGGCTTATCTTTGGTGTTTGTTAAGTTAGGAATCTATGGGTTTTATTTTTGGCCAATCAATTCGACCTACCAAATTTCATAAGGATCGGCCGACCATATCCTATAGCTGCTATATAACTGAACGATTGGAAATGCCATAACTTTGGTTTTTTTAAAATTAGGAAGTTGGGATTTTTTATGAGTATTAAGAATGCATCATATGAATAATTTTGGAGAATATAATTTACAGAATATTCTGCAAGGGTATATCAACTTCGGCTCCGCCCGAAGTTAGCTTTTCTTTCTTATTACTATAGAATTTACAACATTTTTTTACACTGTATACTTTTACACATGTATATAAATAATTTCATGCTATTCAAGTCTCCTAAAAGGAAAGTTTTTAAAAATTATATTTTCTTTTAAATGAAATGTTAATGACCTGCCATTGCGGTGGGTCAATTAAAAACCGCGACCGCTGGGAAAGGCGATCTCAAATTGGTGGCAGTTTATTGCCCGTATATGGCCATTCAAATTTAATTATTCGTAATTTATTCTGCATTATCCTGTACCCTCTGCTGGTCCTTTGCAGGTGGACATTTTGGACACGTCGGGTGACATGCAATTCCCTGCCATGCGGCGCTTGTCCATCGCCACGGCGCACGCGTTCATGCTCGTCTACGCGGCAACATCGGCGCCCAGCTTCCAGTGTGTTAAGCAGTGCTTCGAGGAGATCCGGGAACAACGCGGCGACTTTCAGGTGAGCTGGTTGTGCAACTGCACTCCTGCAATTTGTATGTAATCAGCGGAGGATGAAGGATGGGAGGCTCGAGTGCTGAACTTGCACTCCTCCGCAGTCCGAAAAGCAATTATAATTGCTGCCCTTTGAGCCGGAGCAGTCAAGCCAAGAGGCAGCGTTTCTAGGCTTTTTGCTGGGCTCTGGTTCAAACACGGCACAGTGGGTCGGCTTTCAAAAGCAAAAGGTACCCATGAAACCTCATCAAGGAAAACCAACAAAAAATAACCCAATTTAAGCAAAGAAGAGATTATGTAAGGACAACGCCTAAAATGTTTAGTATTAGATTTTCTAAAAGAAATCTTTTATCCGCTTTAAGAATTTTAGATCAAATATAAACTACCATCCGATATTCAGATTAAAAAGATTATTTGAATATTATTTTCTACTCTTTTAAGTTTAACTTTAAGACCATATTTGCAAGATACAAGATACCTTTCCGTCCATATATAGTACATAAATAACTGCAACTATAATAACCACTGCAATAGTATATAAATTTAAACATTTCGGTTCACTTTGAGTTTCGGCTTATATTTTCTTAATACAAGATAGATTCGGAAACCAGTATGGAACATAGTTTATAGCAATGTTCAACCACTATGTGATAGTTACTGCTATTGTTTTGCGAGGCGCTTTCACGGTTTCAGCCGCCATTGTGGGCGAGTATCAATTATAGCACAATACGCTTTGTGTGCGAACCCGATTTCGGGGGCACAAGGATGCTTGTTCCGCTCCGAGTACCACTGCTAATTCCCCTTTCGACCCACAGGACATCCCCATTGTGATCGCCGGGAACAAGGCCGACTTAGCCACCACCCACAGAGAGGTCAAGCTGGAAGAGGTGACCGATTGGGTGTTCTGCGAGCTGCCGCGCTTACGGTAAGTCCTCACATTAATTTCACAAAATACGGCTGGCATAAAAATGCGCAACAGCTGCTGCATGCGACAGCAATTAGGGGACAACTGCCAAAAGTTGTGCAACAAAGCCCGGCACACAAAGCCACGAAAACCGCCAAACAGCTGCAATTTTCATAAGTAACGCAACAAAGTGGAATTAAAAAAGAGCCATAAATTCTGGCCACCCCAGAAAAGCTGCAATGGCAAACGGCAAAAAGCAAGCGGCGCAATTAAATTGCTAGAAATGAAATTAAGCGACAGAAAGCGTGACAGCGGGCCATGAAAGGGAGTTGCTCCACCGAAATCAGTTGCATTGTCCACGAAAGGGGCTGTGTCGTTCATTAAATGCCATTTGTTGGCCTGAAAAAGTGTTGCAACCAGAATTACACAATGAAAAGTAGAACAAGTTATAACTATTTAGTCAATCGCCCTCCGAATCTGTCAGGAAATGGATAACAACCACTTACTAGATTTTATCTTTATCTTAAAATTTTCTCATTGACAAAAGTCTCTTTAAACTAAAACGACAAAATAATTAAACTCAGCCACAATTCAAAGAGCATTATCTAAACTATAAAATCTGTTTTTCTAAGTGCAACCAGCGGAAAATTGCATCAGGAGAAGCATGGCAACTAGCTATTTTCGCAGATGATGTTTCCCCATAATAGCTCCTAATTGGCCATTTTGTGCCGCAAACGGTGTTGCTGTCATGTAGGAATTCAATGGTCGATTGTCCATTGAGACCAACAGTACGTATGAGTGATACGTTAGAGTATCACAGCGAGTGGTCTTTGAATACTAAACAGTCAGGACATTCTATATGCACATATGCATGAGGTCCTTCAACTTGGCTGCCTTCGAATTGTTCGAAAGATGCTCTGGGGAAATGTTGAGGGCTATCAGACGATTGATTAATAGTGGCAGTAGCTGATTTATGTTTACCTGTGTAATACAAAGGGCAAATACCCATGAGTTTGTCTGGTTCCAGTCACAATCTGACATTCTCAAATAAAAAATAAAAAAAAACACAGAACGTTTTGAATTATGCAATATTTGGGGACATTTATGTTCAGATAAACATTGTGTTTATTATAGTGTCTTATTTCTATGTTAAAGTATGGATGGACATATAAACAGTGCAATCTTTATAAGAATTTGGACATACATTTAAGTTCAAGTTTAGCACGCCAAATAAATTTTAACACCAATTTGTATAGTAATAAATCAAAAGTTTTAAAGAGACTACCAACATTTGGCAGAGTTCTACTGAATTCTGAAGCGTAATCACCAAAATCAACTCAACGGTTTCGTGAAAGTTCAACTGTGTCAGCCAAAGTAGATTACAGACCGTATCGACGAGTGGTAAATGAGTGAAACTGCCCTGAATAAATTCTTTGTTTGCCACATTAACAACTTTAATGCATTTCTTGCGTGACAACTAGCCCTGAAAGCGTGTCCGCATCCTTTCGATTCGCTGGTAATAAGGACTCGCTACCCAGGACTTCTTTTCAGGCAGTTTTCGCGATATAATTGCTTCCTTAATAAACTGCGGGGCAGGACTCGTAAAAATCACTTACATTCACATACGTGCCTGCCACTGGGCAGAAAAGTCCTGGCATAATTCCATATCCCGCGAAACTCGTTGGGATGGGCGGTGGAAAAAGGGAGGCGTGGCACGCTCGTGTTGCTGTTTAAGCAAGCGTGCGTAAACTTATTTAAAAGCGACCGACACACAGACCGAAGAACGCCACACAGGAGGCGCACTCAACCGCAAAATGGAGATGACAGAGGCCGCAGGACGAAGTATGTAGAATGGTGGATGAAGGACACAGGACACAGGACGCGGGACAGTTGGCGTGAGCATTACGTACAAATCTCTGTTGGATTAAACATTCACGCAGATTGATGGTGCGGTTTTGTTCCCGAGAGCGGGCAACACCTTGAACCTTTCGCCACAATCTCGCACCCTCACTAGACTCCACGTGGCAAGTTTGCGGAGCGTTTTCCGGCAACGAGTTGCAATGCAATTTGTTGCACTGACGCCGCCGTCCGTCCCGTCTATCCTGTCTGTCTATCTGCGGTTAAACGCTTTAAGAGCACGCCACTCAAGTGCATTTATCTGCCTGAATGGGTACACACCATATCCATATAGTACATAGTGTGTGCGATGTGGATACACACACGTGGGAGCGGAGCCAACATGTGTAAGTGGTTTACTTTGCCAAAGGTGGAACAATGAATTTATTCAACATTTAATTGCAAAGTCATGCGAATTTTTCCCCGCATTTTCCCAGCGTTAATGTGAAAAATAAACTGCTACGCTATATCATTTTTACTTTGATTTACTGTTATTGCAGCTTACGGCATTAACAATTCAGCCATCTATTTATTTATTTTGCCAACTCAGCCGTTACGATTTTAATTAAATAAGGCTTCATGGAATATTAAAATATCCTCAGTAAGTCAGTTAACAGTATCATTTTCATTAAATATGATCGACCTTGAGTTGGTGGAATTTCATTTGACCTAAGAAAGTTTAAATTACTGTTTAAAAACCTTCTACCATTTGTTGATTGCCAATAACTAATTAACATAATTTATAAAATGGCAAAATTTTAATTAGCATAAAGTATACGTATTTGTTTAAAAATTTCCAAAAATTTTTCCAATCGATGTTTAATTAAATGATTAATTTAACAAACCTTATCGTAGAAACTGCGTAAAAAGATGGAAAAATGTTGATAGTTGAAGTCAACATTGTATTTAGGTAAACTTAACATCACAGCAATAAAGAAAAACATTTCTAGATTTATTTATTTTAAATAAAGCCGTCCGATGATGACAAAATTAAAGCTTAAAATCGCTTTGACAGACAAATACTAGAAACTTTTGACATTGCCAGTGTGTTGAACATCACCTGTCCTCGTCATTGTCATCGTCCTCATCCTCGACTCAGTCCTGGCCTCAGTTTTGTGTGGCCACCGCGGGTCGGCTTCGTGTCCGCAACCTGCAGTGAATCCATAGAACCGAACCGTACATGACATGCTTAATTTAGCCATTAGCCACATTTGTTACGGCCAACATGCACCGCCTTTTTAGATGATTGTCGATGGCCCACTTGGCGGTGGTAAAAACCCCCAAAAAAAACCCTGTTATGAATTGAACATACCATATTGTTCGGCTGGTTTGGTTTAGGTTTTTGCCTTTTTGAGTTTCGGTTTTTTGTGTTGGGCTTGCTTTGTTTTGGGCCAACGAAATTTGCTGATGTGTGCATTACGTATACGCTATGTACGCAGCCATCCCCGAAAAGTATGCAACCTTATTTCAACATAGTTTTTCCCCTTGGCAGGGCCAAAGTACTGGAGTGCTCGGCGAAGGAGGACAGCAATGTGACCGACCTGTTCAAATCCCTGCTCTCCCTGTCCCGCTTCCTCCCCGCCAGCAGTAGTGGGAGCGGGGGCAGCGGGGGCGGCGGCGAGGCGGCACCCAGTGGTTTCAAACGCCGTTCGTCGGCCTACGTCAGCGCATCGTCCAGTCGCAGTAAGTAAATACCATCGCAAATAAAATAATATTAAAATGTGTTTATTCTGGGCAAAATTGCAGTCATCCTTTTTTTATTCAACCGTAAATTATTATCTTTTATTTTACCTCAGGTTGTCCCAATAAATTCTTCAGTTTACTATAAGCACATTTATTGGTTTTAAGAAAAGGAATTGAAATGATTTATTTTTATCTTTCATTTTTGATTCTATACGAATTTTAATCTTTAGGAACTTTCATTGAAAAGCTTTTAAAGGTTTGTTAGATTAACATAGAAGCCTTAGAGCGTGATTGCTTTTATAATAATATATAAATTAAATTAATAAATATAATAATATTAATAATTTATATAAATACATGTGCATTTCGTTAACAATTTTCTTTTTTACGCATATATAAATATATAGTCTTGAATCGAAAAGGATGCAATTCCGTTCGCGATCAATTAAATGATGTTTATTTTGGTCGGAGAATGCAGCAATAAAATGTTTAAGAAGTGTTAAATGCTAAGAAAAAATGTTATACCCTAAATATCAATTTTTTTGCATTAAAAAACGATAGAAAGTCAGGACAATTTGAAACCTAATAAAATTTCCCCTGAGTTGTATTACCTTTTTCACTGTAAAAATCAAAGAAGACGTTTCACAGTGTTTAAAAGTAGCGTCGATGGGAGAACACACTTGAAAATCCATTATGCTAGAGCACATGCCGCATCACATAGAGCTAAGGACTGAATCCACTTCTGGATTTGTTGCCATGGCCAAGCGAAATGAAAATAAAATCCGAATTGCTGCCGACCTTATTCAAACTGTTTGTTGATTTTTTTTTGCCCCCTGTTGGCCGTTGCAGTTTCAAATATCAATTAAGCATTCATATTCGCCAGCTCTGATTGAAAGTCAGATGTGTAACCATCGAGGCATCATTCTGAGTTCAATTACAGCTTTTTTCGGACCTTTAAATGCCAGCGTAAACAGCTTAATTAGTGCGAAATTAAATGGCCCGCTCATAAATGCAATAATTAAGCCGCTTGCAGCCCACAGGTGTAATTAAGCCCCAGTGACTAGAGCCCAGATGGCTGGGCTCAATCAATAATTGATGCACATTTATTAATATATTCAGTTTTAACCAAAAGACAAAGCCGCCCGGAACATGGGGCCAATTAATGAAAATTCTTTAAATGTGCCTAAGACTAGGATAACTTTTGGCAATTTGGCTAATTGAATGCAATTAGCATTGCTGCTTCAATAGCCGCCCTCTGTCCGCTGTCTTCGGCCTAATTAATTGTGGGAATTCGGCAGTCAAATGAGACTGGCAGTCGGGACCCTTTCTTCCGACCCAATTGACAAAGACAAACTCTTTTTCATTATTCATCGGACGACAAAACGGTGCCTAATAAAAGAAACACAGAAAAGCAAAGCAAATCTAAGAAAAAAGCCGTCGAGACGGGGTTAAAAGCACAATAAGGCAGCATTCCTTTTCGGGGCATCCTTTTCCCTTCGATGTTCAAACGAATTCAATTTTATTAAAATGTTCTCGGCAAGCACGTGTATTAATTAAACAGCTTGACCTTCTAATTACCCTGTAATGGAATGCTTTATTATCTCATTAAAAACTTAGTTCGCAGCATATGAAAATAGAAGCAACGACGGAGCAACACAAAGGCAACGACGACAGCCAAGGGCTCAAGAAGTTTTAAATTTGCCCGAGCTCGTCAAAGTATAAATATCTAGTTAATTAATGTTGCCCCAAAATGTTTCCTCTGCTCCTTGACTGCACCTCCTCCCGTTACACGGCGGCCAAATAATTAATTTAATTTCCGTGGAAGAAAAAGTTGCTGAATCATTACAGTATCCACCCCCAGCTACCAGTTCCTTTCAAGCAAATGCCAATAATTTTATTTTTTGCCCTAAAGACTTTTGTGGCCGCTGCAAAAGTCATTCAAATAAAGTGCAAAGTTTGCCAGTGGCGAAGTCGTCAAGATCAAAATTGCGCATATATGCAGGCATATAATTTTGAGCAGATTTAAATTGAAATGGCCGAGAGCCGCACATTAATGTCCCCCCACAAAACATATTTAATGCTGGCCGAAAAATGTTGTCAAATACTTGGTCGAGGGTCCTCGCAGAACACAGAACACACAACTGTCGATGACAGGCAGACAGGACCCGGCGACATTTGTGGTCTGAATGGCGAAGGTCGAGTGGCAGACTGACTCCCGGCGGTTCAATGGACGCCATGATGGAGAGGTGAATGCGGTGACAACGACGCCTTGAATGTGCCACCGAAAATAGGTCTAAGCACTTAATCACTTGCGGCTCAAGGGGCCGCAGTCAAGTAATTGCCTTAAAAAGTACAGCGCGACGTATGCAAAGCAAATCGCAGAAATTTCATTTACGACGCTGCCATTTTGCGGCTGAGATTGTGCCACACGTGTTTACGGCCCTGAAGTGGTGGTGGATGGTAGGTGGTAGATGGTAGGTGGCAGTTGGCATATGGGTGATGGGCCGCATGGAGAATGGACGAGCTCGTAAGTTGAGACAAAGCCAAAGCTGCAGGCCACATACATGTGCTGCGGCCGGGAAAGCGGCTTTTCCTCCGGTCTCCACATTGTTCCCCGCCCTCCCACCGCCCCATTCGTCTGGTTTTGGGTGGTCCGCGCCGCAAGCCGTTTTATTTCCAGCCACACAGAGCAGGTCCTAACTCAATTGTGGGTGTTTCCCGACACACATAACATGGTAAATATATTTAAGCCACGTTCATGCGTCGATACACTTGATTTTGAATGATCCCTATAGGATGGAAAGGTAAAACAAGCGAATTCAAATTTTATTTGTATATTTTGAACCCTCCATTTATGTTCTTTTTTTTTAATTTTGTGTTCTTTAATATTTAGCTCTTCTTTCTTAAAGTTTAAAAGTCAGGTTTGATTTATTTTATGATACTTAAGCACATGAGAAATCTGTTATATATATGTGTCTTATTCAATCACATAAAGAACAGTAGCCGCTCCTGTATAAGTTTATTGAAAATTAATTCCCTCTAAATTCAAGGTAAGAATTTCCAAGTCATGATTCCTAAAATACAAATCGATGTAAACATAGCCTATTTTGACATATTTTGAGGCAGGATTTCATTCATGGCTGTTAAGAGCAGTCTTTTTTATTAGTCTTATTTTTAAGCCACAAGAATAGATTGATTACTTGTTCTATAAAATAAGTTTTCCCTCAATATCTAAAACCATACATGTTGCCGTTCTTGGAACGATTATCAAACCATTGATTGAATAATAAATTTAAGGAAAGCTTCAGATTATTTTAAAATGTATTGCTTTTCGAACTCAATTGCAGCCACACATTTAAGCATCTTCTTATAGTGGCCGTAAAACATATAATTTTATACAATAGCCGAAGCCCCTTTTTATGTAAACACTTTAACTTCAGGGTATCAGATAAAAAGCAATTGATGTGGCAAAACCTTGTTATGTTCGCACTCGAACCATAATAAACACGCATTGAAGCACTCGAATGTTTTGTGTGCTTCCCTCTTTTTGGTATCCACGCTTTTTTCATGGTCGTGTCTTTCAGATGAAACCCGACACAGAGCGGGAAAAGTGAAACAAATTTAATTTAAATTTCTGTTACGCGACGCACGCATCAATTGCCGTCGCATATGCACAATTTATATCCCCAAAAACCGGGCCCAGGCCAAAGGCACATCCGTTTCCCCCTGGCTCTTGTTTGTGTGTTTGGGTCCGGACGGCGGTTGTTTTGTATCCTTGTTACTGATTCACCCGCAGATCAGTGGGGATGCCCGGTGTTAGGAATGGGAATGCCCCCCGAACGAAGCATTTTCGCGCGCTCTCTGTCAGCGTCAGCAATTGTGTTTTTTTTCTTTTTCCGACAACAATGGCGTTGTCGGCCATTTTGTTTGCACTTGACAACGCCGACGCCCAGAAGTATGCAACACTCCGGCACAGAGTGTGATGGCGCTCTCAATAATTCTGTTTGCACGGATCATTTGGCCAACGTCAGGCATATTTTCCCACAAAGCTGTAAAGTTTAATAACTAAATTGACTCGGCTTTGGATTTAACTTTCCCTTTGTATTTGTCTTGTGGTTCTAATGCTTGACACCCCGTTTGCCAGCAAGTTATCAATTGTTTTCCCATTGTAAGCCCTTTTCTTTGTTTGCGGCTTTATTGCTCGCTCCGGCGGAACAAAAAGGTTTGTTTACTCTGAGGGCGAGCATCTTGCTGCCAACACCTTTTGTGCGTGCCCAACACTTTCTTTGGCAGTCTAAGCCGGCTGATTGAGGATTACCGGAAAGTTAATGACTTCATTGACACTGATTTGTCCATAGCTGCCATTGCTTACTCAATTGTTTATACTTTAAAGACAGCTACAGTCTTTGACAGCTTCCTTATTTGCAGGTACTATTCTTTGGAACTGTATAAAATATTTATGAACAGTAAACATTATGTGATAAATTCGTAAATTTGAGGACTGATAGCTAAGAATACGGCATTTTCCAAAGCTTTTCATATCTTTAAAAGAAAACAATTTTCCTTGAAATCTATTATCCTCTGTAAGCTTTAATTTAAAGGAAGATTCTTTAAGAAAAGTAAAAGCACCTTTAAAAAAGTCTTAGCAACCTACAGTATATATGTAGAAATGTACGCCCTGATATATATTTTAAATTTATAAAATTTTAATTTGCAGACATTTTTACAGACGTTTTGAAGGTTGTCATGACTTTTGTAACAACAAGGTTACCGAATTGTGAAAAAATTGTCAAGCACACGAAATTAATTTTTTTGATTTTAATTGACTGGCACCTATGCTATTGATGACTTTCTCTGCCCACTTCGAAATGGTACCTTTGCCATCTGGTTGCCACTGGTTATTCCTTTGACGGAAGATGCGTGGCAGATAGACCGAGTCGGATCCAAAAGGCTGAGTGGCATTGGGAGGGTGACGTAACGACTGGGACCTCTTATCTTGAGATGAACTTTGGCTGCGCAACCGGCTGTAAAAAACCCATTTCGAGCGGTAACTTTGCGATGTGCAACTCCCTTTCCCCGCTTTTTGTTTGAGTCGTTCATAAGTTAATTACATCAGCGCTTGGCGGGTGCAGTGGATGTTCGGATGTTGGGATGTTGGGATGTTGGGACGTCCGGATGTCCCAGTTGCTCTTACAACGGGCAAGGACGTACTCAACCTCAGTCGGGAAATTGGATTTTCCCTGCACTCGCAGCTCCGAAATCGCGCAGTCTCTTTGTGCCGGCAGACGGCAGTCATTAAATGCACTCGTGGATATTAATTAGCCACGCATTACCATCTATTTGTTGCAGATAAAAATCGCATGAACAGCCCGGCATTGGGAGGCGCCGGTGGCAGTGGAGATAAGAAGGGCTCCAATCTGGTGGACGCCGTCGATGTGGCCAGCACCAGTGCGGAGGCCAAGCTGAAGCCGCGTTCCAGGTGAGTGCGATGCACTCCCAGGATGGAGATCTATTGAATACCCATCACCTCATCCACCGTCCAACCGCTTCCATTCCAGATCACTCATACGCCGCGCCTCACGCAAGACCAAGCAGCAAATCAACAACGCATCCGACGACTGCAATGTGCAGTAAACTATTATTTTTGCCGGCAGCGCTGCGCTTAATTATGTTATTATGTTTTGCCACAATATCTATTAATAATGGACGCCAGTTAATTAGCGTGCATAAACAAGTGGAGCGGTATTTACGTTTTGTGCAATGAGCTGATTATGCTGATAATATAAAACACACTTGCTCAAGGGTAAAAAAAAGCCAATGCGCCGTAGTTTTTAACGATAAATTCTGAACTTGATAATAACTTTGGTAATTTATTGCATAACTGTCTGTATCGAATCAGAACCTCTTACACGAAATTAAGTAACTTGAGCTTAAAAAATATGCCCTGATGACACTGGATTAAAATTAGAAATTGGTTTTAAGCTATTGTAAGTCATTAAACAACATTTGTGTAATTAAATAGTTATGTATTTTTCCCTAAAATTCAGTTTCTTTATCTTTAAAGGCATTGCAAAATGGATTTGTTTTTATCAATTCTTAAAGCAGTGCTTTTTGTTATATTGACAAATTTATTTTTCTGGCAAGTAGATTGGAAGTTAGTTCTATACTTTTGGAAGTCCTTGAACCAAATTTGCGTAATTTAATAAATATGTAGGAATGTATTTACTTTAAAAATAAGTTTTATTAGTTTTAAAGGCATAGCAAATGCCAATTTTATCAACAAATATGTTTTTCTGATAAGTATATTGAGTACGGATGCTATGACACTTTAATCTAATATCATCAGGGCATAAAAGTAAAAGGATTATTTCGACATTGAGCTGACTTGCAAAGTTATAATGCACATAAATCGATTTAAGTTCCGGTCATTACTGTTTAAAGGGACCAGTTTTATTTAAATTTAAAATTAACTTTTATACGACAAAAGATTTCAATTTAAATTTTCATAAATTTTAGTATAGACTTTGGGTACGCAATTTGAATTTAATTGAAAGATAAGCAGAGAGACAGGGAAGAGATTTCGAAGAATCGTAATGCCGTTCAAAGAGTTCCTTTTGATGAGAAATTAATGGCTCAGTTGTTGTTGTTTGTTAATGTTATTCTCGTTATGAGATGGGCGAGGGGGTTTTTTGATAAAGGACTAAGTTTAATACGTTTTCCACTGATGGATTGTCATAATATTATGATAGGTTGCATAGCTTTAAGGTAAATTCTAGAATGCTAATTTATAAAGCTCTATCTGCACCCTTAGCTGACACCATAGTTAATAATACAACGTTCCATATAGAAATAAGAATAACATTTTTGATGGATGGCCTAGAATGCTTATGTTTGCTTTGAGTCGCACTCGCTTGGGTTGAATCCGGAGTAAAACGGCAAATGGAATCACAGGGGCGGGGTGAATCTGGACTCAAGGCAAATTTTGTAAAAACAAAGCCATTTCGCGGCATTCTCCTTTGGCTCCAGCCACGTAAAATAACAAAAAACTTTAACAGAGAGCACAAAACAATTTACTATGCAAAAAACGTAATTGTAAAATAAATTTGTTGAGTCCGGGGAACAGAGAAAGTCTCGAAATGCTTATCAAGGATAATACAGGGTGAACTTCTTATGCTAAATTGCCAAATCAAATTCCCCACAATGCACATCAAACTCACAGGAACTCTGTGAGGAGATTTATGGTAGAGAATAATCGATAAATCTATATTTAATTCGCAACTTTTGCATGCGACTTATTTTCTCTTTTTTTTTTGGCACAAGTTACACTTGCAAATGCGGCAGTGCGTGTGTTCGCCAGTGTGTGATAAGAATCCTTTGTGTTTGTTTACCGGAATGTGCTTAGCAAGTAAGATTTATTTAAAAGACTACTTTTAGGAAGTACTGAGTATAAAAGAAATATTTAAAGGACATGTAAATGAATGAAATACGGCATATGCAAAGTGAATTGTGATTAAACCAAATACATCTAAACAAATGTGTGTACAACTGAGAAATGAATGCAAACAATGCAGTAATTTCAGTTATGAAATCAAAAGTACTGTAAAGAAATGGAAAAGGGGGCAGAGACATTTTAATGTCCGTATTAAAATAGTATTGTTGCTTTCGTCCAGAAAGGATTGACAGGCCAGACCTAGTTATACACATATACAGCATTATGCATAATGGTATTTAGTAAACAGTTTGGATGTTTGTTTTATAAGTAATACGTTTATACATTGTTACTAGGTGTAGTTAATTGACAACAAATCTGAAGAGCCCAACCCGTATTTGATCTCTAATCAACTAATCGTAACTTATATCGTAACATCAACCAATGGGAACACAAGGATGAGGTGGCATTCGATCGACGAGGAGGACAAGATGCATGTTATATCACAGTATATCAACTGACTTATCCAACTTACCCGATTTTAAAATACATATTTGTGTACGTAATTCGATTGTTCTACCAAATGAATGGAATCAAAGCGACAAACCGTTATTTACCTACTCTACAGAATCGAAAGATTGTAATCTTAAAATAGTCAAAAAGAAAACCAAATTAACTCTCTAAGTGTGCGTATGTGTGTCATGTACTTGTAAACTAATTGAATTTCAATTCAAATTGAATTATTGACAATTGTATTAGCCAGTTAAAATAAACCACAATGCGTCCCAGGCACGGGTGTAAAATGTTTGATTCCGTTGCATAATGCATTTCATTTCATTCCGCATTCTGTTTCCATCACGGCAACATGGGGATCCCCTTGGTTGCCGGCTTTCACCGGTGCCGGGAAAATGGTATGGTGAGCAATTTCCACTAAATCAATTAAAACTAGTGCCCGCCTAGATGCAGCACCCCAGTAAACCGACCGCAGCATCCATTAAAAGTAACTAATGGAATTTTATTCAAATTATAAATTGCATTTCCCCATAAATTCCGCAATTGCGAAAATGCCGATTGCCGGCTTAAAGCAGCCGGGGTGCCAACACCATAGGCGATGATTTGAAATTTGCATATGCGTTTGTGGCGGGGAGTGGGGGGATGGGGTGCGTATACGTGGGTTTTCCCAGAAGCAAGCCGATTTAGCATCCACTGCAAACAATAAACAGATTTGCCGGAGCGGCCTAATGAGTTTGCATTATGCGCAATTCCGAATGCAATTTACTGTGCCATTGATTTTGCATTAAATTGGCTTAAGTGATGTGTTTTTTTGTTTTGGGAATATGTACACAAACCTAATTTTATGCTGGCACGTTGTTGTACTTAAGGTTTTAGGAAGGATTTATTGAAATTTAAAAATTCAAACGGAAACTACCACCAGCTGGCGCCCTCTGGCGATGGGCAGACCGTGGCAAGTGGCGACCCCTATCGGAAACCGGCTTTGTGAACAGCTGTTTTGCTGGAATGTGGCTTTTTTAGGGTATTATCCTAATGCTGCGGCGATATTTTGGAATTGCAATGAAATATATTGGTACGTTGACTTAAGATGTTTAAATTAGATCACTTAATACAAGGATAAGCTCTGTTCCACAGACATTGGGGCCAACCTGACGGATCCCATGTTTCAGGGCTGCTACGGCGGAACCCAGAAGCATGTGGCCGACCTGGACATTGTTTTGGAACGTGCGTGGCAACAGGGCCTGCAGAAGATCATCGTCACCGCCGGCTGCCTGAGGGATGTAGACGAGGCATTGGAACTGGCTTCCAAGGATGGTAAGCAACTCCATTCTAAGTGCAATGAAAGTCCATACAAATTCCATTAGAATTTGGTTGAAAAAGAATTGTCGATCGAAAAAACGATTTTATTTACCTCTTTATTGATTTAAAAAAAATGTCCCAAAGATTTGTAAGATGGTTAGTTTAAAAACATCTTAAACAGTATTTCCAGAATTTTGAAAAGGTAAATGCGCATAGAAACAATTTTTAAGAGTCTACTCTTCGGTTGTCTTTAATCTTTTATCCAAAGTTGAAAAGGTTTCTGGGATGACACCATGAAAAATTAATATTAACTTTAAAGGACTAAAAATTCTTAATTCCCAGCCACTCATCAGTTTTATTCTTTACCAGATCGTATATACACTACAGTGGGAACACATCCCACACGCTGCGAGGAATTCCTTCCAGATCCAGAGGGTTACTACGACCAACTTCGATCCAAGATCAAGGCAAACCGCGGAAAGGTGCTGGCCATTGGGGAATGCGGCCTGGACTACGACCGACTGCAGTTCTGTGGTCAGGAGACACAACGCCTATACTTTGAAAAGCAGCTGGACCTGGCGGCTGAGTTTCGATTGCCCCTCTTCCTTCACATGCGGAATGCTGCCGAGGATTTCATGACCATTCTGGAACGAAATCGGGACAAGATCAGGGAATGCGGCGGCGGAGTGGTGCACAGTTTCACAGGCACTCTTGAGGAAGCCCAAAGCATCTTGGCTTTCGGTGGCCTCTACATAGGAGTGAATGGCTGCTCCTTGAAGACGGAAGAAAATGCAGAGGTAGTGCGCCAGCTGCCCAACGACAAAATAATGCTAGAAACGGACTGTCCTTGGTGCGGCATTCGTCCCTCGCATGCAGGACATAAGCATGTGACCACCAAGTTTGCCACCGTCAAGAAAAAAGAGAAATGGACGGCCGAATCTCTGATAGACGGACGATGTGAGCCCTGCCAGATCAGGTTAGCCTTTTGAATACATTTCCTAGACATGAACTAATATATTAATTTATTTTCCTATTTAGCCAAGTTCTGGAGGCCATAGCCGGAATCAAAAAGGAGCCCAAAGAGCAACTGGCAGATATTTACTACCAAAACACTATAGATTTGTTCTTTAGCAAAACAGAGAAAAACGATTAAAAGTCCATGCATTTACATTCAATGCGTTTACATTTATTTTATTATTGTTTCTCGTGTCTAAATGCAAATGAATTCAAAAATACGCATTACAACTTTGATTTGTTAGGTTACATTTTTTGGTTTGTTCGTTCTGCAGTTAACACATAGAACCACTTTAAGATTAACATTTAGACTTGTAAATAATTGTTGCATATGGCTAAGTTAATTAACTCTTGTGATTAAGCACTGCTATGTGGTGTATATAGAATGGATTGCCCAAAAAAATATATGTATTTGTTACGACTCAAATTTGTATATGCTCTCTGGAGTCTAATCTAACCTTTAGTAGAGTTTTATAGCTTAGTTATTGCCACATTTTTTGGTTACGAGTTTGCCAATATGCATCGATCATTGGTGAAGCCTTAAAAAGCCTATATACAAAATATTTTGTAAATATTTAAAAAGTTGATTACCTATAAGTAGTACGCTATTGGGTATTAAAAGTTTGCAATGTTAGGAATAGAAAGTTTCCCTCGGTAATTTAAAAGTGAAACACCCAGGATCCAGAATTAAAACTTTGTATTTTGTTCTATGTTTGGTGAACTGATATGAATGCAAACGATATTGGTTGTATTTAACATTGAGAATGTGGCCTATAGACTACTGGGTGATGCATTTAAAATGACAAAAGATTCAGTCCAATGGAAACGTTATGATATGAACATGTTCATATAGCACTCTAAGTTGATGCGAAAGATTTTGAGGAAGACTGATCTCTAAAGTTTCCCTTTCCGCTTGGCAGTAATTAGTTTTTCATTTCAAAAGCAGATCCAATTGAATTATTTCCTTGCAGAAAAATAGTTAAGTTAGATTGGGTTTTCCAGTATAAATACCACGCGTTAACTCTATTTATTCATTAATGTTGATATTGGGTATATTTGAAAATACGCTCAGACCTGGCCCAATTGACATGCAGTTGCTAACGGAAAATAAATATAATTAAAGTAAAAAAGTACTCAAAACTTGTACGATAAATTCCATTTATTAGGCGTCAGATTAGTTTCGAGTGATTGTTAAAATCATATTCATATATATGTACATAAACAAGGGAAATTATAAATATGGTAAATACATAAACATAAAATATCTTTAAACAGATGTTCACTAAAGATAAATTCGAGTTTGGGATATAAATAAACATACAAGTGCTAAACAACTGTCTTCCATTTTGTATATACTTAACAAAGAAAGCCTTTCGGACATATTTTTGGGATATAGGAAATCAAGAAAGGTATTGATTAGTTCGAGTTAAGCTTAATGCGCTTGTTAAATATCGTATATTGAATATGTAGTATCGTAATCATATGTATTTATGTTGTATGTTGTGTGTTGAGTTTTCAGTTTCAAACCAAACTCTGCAGAGCCCTGCAATCGAGCAGGCGTCGGGCCTCATGATTATTCATAGATTAATTATTATGGTAATAAATATGTTATTCCGCTTAAGTCTATAGGTTAATTCAATGTATTTTGGGAGCGCTGCGATCGTTGATCTTCTGGTTACGCTTTAAAGTAGCTCCACGTTTGATTTGATCCATCAGCGACTCGTGACAAATGCGAGGGTCCGGCTGAAATGGTGCATCAAAATTCGAATTAGAGCTGGACTTTGTTGGCAAAATCATAGATTTATCGTTAGATCGAAGAGCAGTTAATTGGTAGAACGAGGCACTGAGTGGATTAGCTGCCAGCTGGCTTAGTAGGCATCAAACGAACGAGAACGACTAGGAACGAACTAAATACCTTAGCACTTAGCACTGATCTTCGCAAGTGGCATTGGTGGTTGTGCTGGTGTTGGGATAGGTGGGTGGTCTACGGTATTGCGCACTGGGTCGCGATAGTTTTTGCGGATTTTGATACATCTAATAGCCATGGTGTTGTCATGGACAGAGCATAGAGAGTGTTGGCTAATCGAGTGAGTTGCTGTTGAGGTGCGCTACTTACCAGGGCCTTGCTGTTGATGAGATTTCGCACGGCAAATGCTCGTCCAGACATTCCCTGCTTCGCCAGTTTCGCGTTGAGATTCTCGAGGAATTCGGCCTTGGTCTTGGCCCGAATACTTCCAGTCTTTTCAATATTTGTGCTTGTGGCATAGTCTATGGATATGCGTTGTCGTTACCGTTACGGGTGCATAAAAGAAAATCGTAAGCAAACATGATTGATCAATGGGTGTGGATGTTGGTTTTTGCGATAGAAGTGGTTAAGATGTCAATTCAAATGGAAATGCAAAATAAAAGTCAACAACCAACAATTGTTGGTTAAAGTTTGAATCAGTGATGATTGATGATTGGAAAAATTGAAATGAAAGTTGACTGCGGATCGAGCTGTTGCGGCAACTGCAATCCCATGTTGATCCGCGAGTTTCCAGACGCACTTGACACAATCGCAATCAGGTTAATAGGCAACACTATCCAAATGAAAACTCAAACGAAACAAAATCAAAACAACATAAGCAGCATGCGCCAAAAGAAAACTTAGGGCTAACAACAAACCAAAGTTTAATTTGTTCAATTGAGAGAAATCGAAAATCAGCAAACATAACAAAAAAATATACAATTCAGCGCTCATTCCTTGCAATAAAATCATACGAAATGAAATCAAATCAAATCGAATCGAATCAATTCAAATCCAGCTCGCGCGCTTACTTGAATGATGTGCCTGGGCATGGGCATGAGCTTGGGCATGGGCATTGTGGTTATAGTAGGCAGCACCGCCATTGCTGTTGCCCCCAGCAACATCGCGATAATAGTGTTCCTGCTGCTGCTGCAGCTGCTGAGCATGTTGCTGCTGGCGATGGTGGCCGCCACGCGACGTTGTGGCATAAATGCTGGCCAAGGATCCAGATCCAGTCACTGGCGAGCCGCAAGTGGGCGAGGCCGAAGGCGAATGAAACTTAACGGCCGTTGTCTGTATGAATGGATTCGTCGAGACGAATATCTTTTGCTGCACACTTGAATGACGAGAGGGTATGGGCGGCTGGCGTTGCTGTTGCTGCTGCATTTGAAGTTGCTGCTGCATCTGATGTTGCTGCTGCATCTGATGTTGCTGCTGTTGTTCCGCCAAGTGCTGCTGCTGTGCTGCCCGCAGTTTCTGCTGAGGCAGCGGCAACTGCGGACGCTGACCTAAGTGACCATTACCGTTGCCAATGCCCATGCCTGCCGGTTGTTGATATTGCTGCTGTTGTTGATGCTGTTGCTGCTGCTGCAAACGGTGCTGCTGCTGCATCATGTTCTTGGGCAGCGTGGCCGTGGCCGAGGCTGCAGCATAGGCGCTCGAGTGGGTCGCATTCTGGCCAGTGGGCGGGCGTGCCATCTTCTTGGGCATCGTAGCCGACGAACCGGCGTAAATGGGCGGCGGTGGGGGATCCTCCAGTGGAGGCGGACAGGTGTAATGCTGCTGTGGCGGCGGCTGGTGGTGCTGATGGGAATGGGCCTGTCGCATGTTTGGCGAATGCGCAGCTGCTGGATTTTTGGTAAACGAACTTGAGTAGGTGGCAAAGTCTTTGCTGTTAGCAACCGCTGCAGTCGGCGGCTGAGGTGGCTGATAATGCGAGTTGGCCGAGCCGGAGGCCGCTGCCGTTGGTGGTGGGGATGCGGATGAAGAGTTCGAGAATGAGCTGACTTTGTGGAGCAACGATGATGTGGATGAAGACAGGGGGAAGTGAGGCAATGCATTGAAAGAGGTGGTCGGTGTTAGAATGGACGGCTTAGTGCTGTTGTTGGCCACATGGGCCGATGACATTGCTGATGATGAGGTGCCAAAACTAGCGTAAATTCTATGCTGTTGCTGGTGTGGCAGCTGCATTTGCTCTGATTTACCGTCATAGTGTTGCTGCTGTTGCGGCTGCGACATGGACAAGCCACTCCGCATGTAGATGGACTCTTCTCCCGGTGCCTGCTGGTTGCCGTAGATCCCCTCGACCTGCTGCTGCTGCTGGTGCTGCTGTTTACTGTTGAGTCGTGCATTGAGCTGTGCAATTAGATTCGGATTCGCCTTTGGCTGTGTCGGTGGCAGTGGGTGAGCGTGTCCGTTGGGACTGGGGCTGCTCGTGCGGAAGCTTGACATGGTGTTGACCAGTTTGGGCTGGGCGTAGATGCCGCCGCCACCCCCTCCGCCCGCGGCTGGTGATGAGGTGCGGAACGTCTGGTGGTGAATGTGTGTCAGTGATGGTGGAGTTGTGGCATGAGAAGAAACGAGAGGAAAACAGGCGAAAATTAAAAGTTTAGCCAAAGCAAAAGCTAAGCGATATGAATAGTCGACTAATCTATAACTATGTGGCATTACAACTAAGCTGGATGGAAGGGCCAGGCAGTCGTGTTAGGCCAGGAAGGCGCTCCGTGGACGGCGTTAGTCTTGGTTAGTAGCTCCGCGTTTGGGTTCCACGATGCACATTACCCGAAGTGGCCAATCTGACGTGTATCAATTCTTATGTTCAATTTTGTAATTGGGTTATGTCTTTAATTATGTCAATTGAAAATGCATTCCCTAATTATTCAAATTGGCAAGTAAAATGCATAAATCTTTTCAGTCCGTTCAAGAACTAACTATCGCTTTTCAAAAAACTAGATTGGATGTTGATATAATCAAAAGATTTATAGATTGCGGGCATTGGAAATATTTATGTAAAACGGGTCAACTATTTTTTAATACTGAGGTTTTTTAAGACTTCTTCTATACATAAAATACATTGGGATAAAAGACTTCTTTATCTTTCGTCAAGGTTTATTGCAATACAAAACCTCTTCAACCGTTTATTAGTTTTCTCGCTTCCTCTAATCTTTTAACTGATACGTGCCAGATTGGTAATTTTCGGCACTGTGCAGGCTGTGGTCACTTACGGCATCGATAGGCGGCGGCGCTTGATAAACAGGCGATTGCTGCGGTGGCTGATGTTGCTGCTGCAGATATGGATTTGGCTGCGGTTGGTGTGTAAAGCGTTGCTGGCTGGCCATCTGCTGGCCCGCAGGCTGTTGGCCATTGACCAAGCCGTGGGCGTAGGCATAGCCATCCAAATAGGAGTCGTAGTAGGCGGTCAGGGGGAAGTTGTGCTCAGACTATGTGGGGTGTTTTTGGGGATTTTGATTTGTGTGGCGGTGTGGCATAGGCAAAAAAAAACAGTAAGTTGAAATAAAAAGAAGAAATCATAAGTTGTAGAAGAAAAGTTCTAAGAGTAGTGGTGGGTCCATGCCTAGACGCGTGCACACACCTGCAAGAGGGGTTGCTGCTGCTGCAAGTGTTGCTGCTGTAGCTGTTGCTGCTGCATGCGTCTGAGTGCCACAGGTGAGGCTGGCTGGTGACGCATGGCGGCTAGCGCTCTTACCGTCTCCGATACCTTCAGCGCTGAGCTGGGCATCTGGGGCATGGCGTCCAGCATGAATGCCGGCGGTGGCGGTAAGTGCTCGCTGGAGCTGCTTAGTTGAAGATTCTGCTGTTGCAGTGTGGCGTGCTGTTGTTGTTGCTGTAGCTGCGTTGCATTAATAATAATTAAATCATAAGTTAAAGAATAAAAGTATAGAGGAAACCAAAAGACTGTGTGACCCAGTGTTGAGCGGCTTAGCGACTAACTTAGTTTAGGTGTCTAACTTAATAGGGGTGGCGGTAACTGAAGGCTGAACTTACCCCGACCGAGGCATTGGGACTGGGTGTTACCGACGAACTGCGTCTCACTGGCGGCGGTGGCTTGGCCTGGTTGATGGATTGACGGCGTGCTATGCGCGTGGAGCCACCGCCTGCTGCTCCTCCTGCGAATGGTCAGAGATCGAAGTCAGTAAGGCGGTAGTTATGAGGATTTAGTTATTAGGTTGCTGTTGTTATTCACAGTAATGTACAGTAATCGGTTTATACACTTGGCACACAAAACACAGGACACCATCTAATACCAGTAGTTAGAGAGAGAATCAGAGTTAGGAGCTGCTGTGATCGAGATAGGTTATGAAAGACGCTCGGGCGACTGATCTAAGACTTGATGTTGACCCCCAAGCGAGTGGAAAAGCGATACAAGCCGTGACCACACTTTTGATAACAATCCATGGATAAATGAATTTTCTTTCGATTCAAGCGATGAGTCCCCACTATGCAAATTTCGACAAAATTTTATAATTACGATAGCCCAATTCTGAATAGTGCATAGGCATTTGGCAGTTAGTGGCAGTAGCGTGCAGTTTATCGGTTTGTATGTTGTAATGATTGTGGCGTGGGCATGATCTTATTACTTAGTACTTGGTGCGGGAGACCAACTCCAATTGCAGAAAGGTTAACACATCGAACTAAAGCAGAAAGTCAAGCAAAGTTAATACAGTGAAGAAGAAACCAAAAGCGTGAAAGAAAGTTAACTTCGGCTAGCCGAGATTTTACACCCTTGCAGTTATGACAAAAATTTACTTTGCAGCTTAAAGATACATTCTAAAAATTAAATAGAAACAGTCAAATTTATATACCTAAGATTTAACGAAATAATTCATACTTTGCCCGTCTTATTTTCACAAGTTTTAAAATTTGATTTTCGTTAAGAGGTTTCCTGGGCCAAGGATTTATTTTTTTTTTTCTGCATCGAATATTTTTTTGCCTACGCGTTTTCCTATATTTAAGTTTACGTTTGCTTAAACTAATTACTGTTTTTATAAATACTTTAACTTTACTTTAAAAGGAAACAAAAGAAAACCTTTAAGGAAATAAACGAATCAAAGTTATAAGAAATCAATAATTTTTAAGAAATACCCATAACATTTTTTTTAATAATTATTTATATTTATACAAAATGAATTTAAAAATTCAATTAAAAAGTTATGTTTTGTAACTGCTTAAAACCCTTCACAATTATAATGTCATTTGCAAGGGTATAAAACTAAGAAGCCGAAGCAAAGTAAAAAGCGTTTGAAAATCAGGTCTCAAAACAAAACAAAACTCGGGAAGTTGAATCAAAAACCAAAAAGAACCCAAATAAATCAAAAATCAAATCGAAACGAACCCAACAACGAGGCCGGCCTGGGTGTAATGCACGGCTTGAGATTGGCATTGGCAGTGGCATTGGTAATGCTATTGGCATGATGGGGATTGGCTGGGGCATTGGAGCACACATATGGATGGGCGGGTGGTCGGTCACTGGCGGGCAACATCGATGGTGATGATGTGGTAGCTGGTAATGGTAATGACGAGAGCGATGACGATGATAATGGCTGATGGCCGCGAGGTGATGATGGTGACAATGCCGTTGTGGCGGGCGTCTTGCACTGCTTGTGATTGGATGTGACTGTCTGATTTTGGTTTGGCATTCTATGATTTTGGTTCGAATACGGATCGGAGGATGCTGATGCAAATGCGGATGCGGATACTGATGCAGATGCAGAAACGTTGGCGGCTGGTTTATTAGTGACATTACAGTTTCTGGTTTGGGGCGACTGTGGTGAGTGTTGCTGTTCTTGTGGTGCTTGCTGCTGCTGCTGCTGCGGCGATTGTTGCTGCTGTTGCTGCTGCAATTGCTGTTTAACCTTCTGCTTTTGCCTGCGTATTTTCTCATCTAGATCGGACTTAAAGTCGGACTTTCTGGGCACCATTGGCCTATCACCCGCACTGGGAGCGGGCCCATTGAAAAGGCTCAAGCTGGTGGGCTTGGGCGGCAGTTGGCGCCTCGCAGGATCTACTGGCTGGCTACTGCCTTCAATATCCTGCTGCTGATGTGGCTGTGGAGAACGCCGTTCCTGTGGCCTGCTCTGTGTTGCCTGCTCAGTGGGTGCTTTACCTCTTTGCGGACTGCCGCGTCCGAGGAGCTGCAACTGCTGCTCGCTGGTAGCTCGAAACGAGGAGAGTCGCTGCTTGGCGGGCGCCACAGTTGCTGTCGGCGGCGCCTGGCCGCCGGTCGAGTCCGGCGACGAGTCCGGCGAACCGGCCAGATTGGTCGGCAATTGCTGCAGTTCCCTCATCTCGTGCAGCTGCAGCGCATTGGGCTGTGGATCCTTCGTACGCAGCACCACGATCTCCGAGTTCTGCTTAACGAACTCGATGTCCGGCGTGTTGGGGATCTGGTGGTCATAGATCACCACCACTGCACTGCCGCTATCGCTGCAGGTGTCCACGTAGGCGTGGCGTGGCTGGCCCAGACAGACGCTGTCCGAGGCCAGCGACACGACATCCTCCCGATTCGCATTGGCCACAAAGTGCGCAAACGTGGGATTCTCATAGCCGCCGGCTGTCAGGCCTCCAGTCAGCGAACTCGTTTCGCTCACATAGCAGCGACTCAGCTCCGAATCGCTGGCCCCCAACAGATCCCGATCCCGATCCCGTCGCCTGGCGTCCATATCGTCGCCGGCCAGTTCGTCGGACGTGGTGTCCGATATGTCCGTTCCACAGCCGCTCGAGTTCGTCTGATTGCTGATGGCGCAGGGCTCGATGTTGCTGGTGACTGGCAGATTGTTGTTGTCGCTGCTGCTGTTGCTGCTGGTCGTCGTATTGTTGTTGTTGTTGCTGCTACTGTTGCTGTTGCTCATCGGCTTGCCCTTGCCCTCATCGATCTCACGTTGGAACGAGTCTAGTTCGCCAATTAAATTATTTAGTGCTTGTATTGAATCTTCGAAAGACTTGTCTGTTAGATCATATTTTTCATAGTTGTTGGTATTGATTTTTGGAGATGGTGTTGTTGTTGTTGTTGTGCATTTGGTTCATTGTGAATAATAGTTTACAGATGACAGAGATTTTGGGTAAGGTGAACATGAAGTCAAACCAATACAAAATAATAATGGTTTTGGTGCATTTGTTGTCGTTGTGTTTGCACAACAAACCAAAAAATTGTAGAGAAGAGGGAGGGAAAAACAAAATAAAAGAAATTTTGGGGTTAAGAAATATTCTCGATATGTTTGTCAATTATAAATTATAAATGGGCGCTGGACGAGTAAAGTGAAGGCGAGGAAATCTCATGTTCAAAGTGCTCTTTGGTGCTGGGTGGGCAGTAGAGTGGGTCGATTTCAAAGCTCTAAAATCGTAGGAAAGGAAGGTAATATTTAGAGAATTCAAAGCAATATTGGCAAAGAAACTATTGGTTTAAAACCACGTTTGGCTTAACCAAACCCCAATAGAAAAACACATATTGAGAACAATATCAAAGTATCCAAACACATATTACAAGGATCGAATTTCCACAAAAGAGTTTCCAAGTCACCCCGATTATTTTATTTAAATAATTAAACCATTAGTTTCATCATCAATATTGCTTAGAATTTTTTAAAGATAACTTTCCCCATACGAAGTGTCGATTCAAATCGACCCAATCTAGTGGACAGGGTGCAAGATCATTGACACACTTCCTCATCAACGAACTTGCTGGATGACGATTCTACTCACCCATTTCCTGTTGCTCCGACTCGGAACGTCGTGCTCCCGATGCTGGGGAAGCTGCTGCTGCTGGGACCTGAACGGGAGCTGGTGGCGATACCGCTGCCGCTGCCGCCGCCTTCTCGAACATGGAGGCCTTCTGCAGAACGGACGTTCGCGACCGCTCGTCCTCCGCCTCCTCCGCCCCACCGTTGGCCCCTGGTCCTTGATCTTGTCCAGCTGCCGTCTGCTCGGTGATCTTCAGCACCTCACTGGAGGGCGGCGTCGGAGAGCTGACCTGGTAGACAAATCCCAGAGCGGAGCCGGGACCTACGCTGCTGCCGCTGGGTGTACCTGCGGCAGTGGACGTGGGGGAGTTGGTTAGCAGGGGCGAGTAATGGTTTTGTGGCGTGGAACTGCCACTGGACGGCGAGGTGGTGGTGGTGTTCGTGTTGGTGCTGGTGCTGTGGTTGGCCTGGCCCACCAGCGAGCCACAAGCGACGGTGGAGTCGATCGACGGGTGCGAGTGCAGTGACGAGGCCGTCGAGGATATGGAATGGGAGCGTGTGGCAGTGGCTGAGTGATGATTCAGCTGCGATTGATGCTGCTGCTGCTGTTGCTGCTGTAGGAGCTGATGCGAGCCGGAGGAGTCATTGGAATGCTGGGAGCTAGTGGAGTCGATGGAGCTCTGTTGCTGCAGAGGCGGTGGGGAAGCCTTCTGCTGCTGGTTGGTCAGCTTCAAGGCCGCCATGGTGGCCAGCTCGGACATGTTCACATAGGTGGGCGGCGTCTGGGGCTGCTGCTGATTCTGCTGCTGCTGCTGCTGTGCGTGATGCGCTGCGGACAGCTCTGTGTGCGGATGATGTTAGCGGGGACATGCGGGTGAACACGGTAATTAGTAAGACTGATGGGATTAGCCAAGGGCAAGCGTGCAAACAAATACACGGAGACAAGCTGGACAGGTGCCGGACATGGCGCACCACTCACCTTTCGTGATATGAGCCGGAATCGGAGAGGGACACTGGCGCTGCAGCAGGTTGCTCCCGCTTCCCTGGCGGTGGTTACTCTGGGCCGAAAGCGGTCGCTCCAGCGACGAGCAGCGCTGAAAGGGGGAGGAAATCATATGTAAGTCACAGCCACAAGCCAGAGGTTTTAGGTTTAATGATGAGGCGACTTAAGGGACCTAGTTGTCAGTGGTCTAGCGGGGCGCATGCAGATGAGCGCTCTTTTGGATCTACGAACGGTGAGGGCTCTGACTCCGAGGTACTCACCACATGGGCTGGCTTCTATGCCGAGTGTCATGGCCAACAGAACGAAAGAGACAACTTAATAGCATGTAAAAAATACAATAGTCGGTTTCCCGTCTATTCGAACTCTCAACTTATACTCTTCATTCATCATGCTTAGATTTAATTCCATGACTAATCTTAGTTTTTATTAAATTTTGATTCAAAATTGATTTTAAAATACTTTTTGAATCTAATAACTGGCAAACGGAAGGTTTAAGGTTCAAAAATTTTCAGAATCGTAATTTCTCCAATTTTGAGGTACGTTTTTCAAAATCAATTAAGAAAGTATTCTTTTACTAATCTTAAAAAAAATACAGGGCACCTTTATTAACATAGTAAAATTTTTAAATATTTGGCCCGGCGTTTTTAATGTTTTAAATTAAAACTTTCAATAAATTTTCGCATTTTTTGTAACTGTAGTTTTGTGTTATAGAAGATTGACTGTACAATCTAACCATACTTACAACTGGCAAGGGTGGCCGACTAAGTGAAGCGGCCGGAGACTTCTGGGTGGCCGGTGTGGCCTGACCTGATGACGGCTGTCCATTCGGAGCTGTGGATCCGTTGTTGAGGCAGCTGTTTGACTCGTGAATGGTCTCCGGATTTTGGAACGTGTAGACGGTCAGCGGCGGTCGCTGGTGACCCTTTTCGTAGGCCGTCGAAATCGTGTGCGGACGGTCGGCGGTCGGTGGCAGGGTGTCCACCACGTCCTGGGAATGTGGGGGCCAGGTGGAGGCATTCGCCGTCTGATTCGTTGCATTCGAAGTCTGGGGGGTGACGAAAGCGAAAACGTTAGCACAGAAAAAGGAATTCCAAGACGACGGCACACAAAAGGTATTTATAATTTGTAAAATCGAACGGAAGAAAATAAATGAAAACCTGTGTTGTTAGAGCTGGCGATGAGCAAAAGCCACTATCACTGGATTCACCAGGTTTCAAGCGAATTGCGGGCGTTACAAACTAAAGAAACGAAAACGAAACACAAAAGAACGTTGATGAAAACCAAGAAATGAGCGGACGTCACAATGCCAAATGCGGGTTAAATGATAAGCGAGGAGGAACACCTCTGGGGCGACGCACCTGCGACAGGGAGCGCGGATAGTGGTGGTGGCCCGGCGAGTTACTGGATCCACTGCTGTTCATGCTGCTGATGGAGCACACGGAGCTCTTCCGGGAACCCAGCGAGTTGGAGCAGCCTCCGCCCTGAGATCCGGAACCTCCGCCTGGCGACTCCGGATAGAGATTAATGCTGGCCTTGGCGTCGTGGATGAGCTCCTCTGAGGCCTGGGGTAGGACACTGGGCTCCTTGGTTACCAGGGCAATCGACTGCATGGCCTCCTATAGATGTTAAAGATGTTAGATTCTTTTTAATTATAGTGTGACTATCACTACGCACCTGAAGATGGCCCAACTCTGACATGACCTCGCACTCCTCGTGCACCACGGGCTGCAGCATGTGGACGAAGCTGCAATAGCGCAGCCGCTCCTCCACCATGGCCGCCCGCAAGGACTTCTTCTCCACCTCCTCCAGCTCAGCCCGCCGCAGGGTGACATCCTGCATGTGCGAGTCCATCAGGGACTGCAGGCCGTCCGTCTGGCCCTTGCGCGCCTTCTTCTGCAGACGCAGCGTGTCGCTGGAGCGCTTCTTCAGCTCGCTGCGACAGCGCTTGTACTCTTTGGCATGGTCCTTGTCTATGGTGGCCACCGTGCGCTTCCAGTCCTCAATCCTGTCCTGCAGCGGCTGCACCAGGCAATCCATGATGGCGCTGGTGAAGGTCTTCAGACGCGTCTCCACCGCCTTGTGGCGCAGGCAAACCCGGGTCAGGGCGGTGCCGATCTCCTTGGAGGCTCCTGCAATAGGAAATATACGATTTAGTATTGAAAAAAAACCAGAAATTATTTGACCAATTAAAAAAAAGAATTGTAAACGGTACTATTCGGTATTTCTTATATATAGTCATTCCAAAAGCTGAGTTAGACAGACGGAATATAAATACAAAAATACCTTATTGTATTGTGAATAAATTGTCATCTTGTTTGTATAAACTTAGGTACTTTACTCAAGCATTTCTTTATTACATAAAAAACAAAACTTATGGGTCAGCAGGTTTTGTTAGAATGTCTATAACTAAGATATTTTGTACTACAATTTAAGTGCATCTATCAAACCGACCGACAGTTCTGTTTAAACCAGTAGGCATGCAATATTAAACAGTTGCCAAATTAAATTACTGAAGGGGAACATCCAAGGGGAATGAGGCGCAAAGCTGGCAGCGGAAATGTTTAGAGCATGCAGCAACAATCGCACGCCATGAGCTGTCGATTCGATTTGGAGGCGCAGCAGACATTGCATGCGACACGATTCGGGACTCCACTCCTCCAGTCTTTGGTCCCGAGTCCCAAGTCCCGTGTGTGCCCATTATGCCATGCCAGAGATAGATTTGAAGTCGGATCCGGGAAAACTGGTCAGGCTAACTGCTACTGCTCCTGCTTCTGCTTCTGCTTCTGCATATCCCCAACAAATGACAGCCGGCCCGATTATCTCGAACTGCCTCCGACTCAAACTGTGACTCTTGCCATCCTCATTTAATATGTAATTATCTGCCAAATAGGCAGCAGCTTACTGATTCGGCTTTGACTGGCCCGCTCTCAGAGCCACTTGCTCCAGATCCCTCCTAATTGAATGGAAATGATCAGGGTGGCCAGAAACACCACCACCTTAAGGGTCGCCATGGTGGCCATGTGCCAAGTGCGAATCGAGAATCTAGAACCAAGACTCGAATTGCGTTTCACCCTCTTTCGGGGTGGCACAATGCGAATAACTGACACTTGTGCCGATGCTTGACCGAACTAAGCCAAGTAACCACTAAAACTAATGAAACCATTTAGCAAGTGCAAACGACCAGGCCAGCAGGTTCTCGATGCCAAAAGGGGTGGCTAGCTAATAGCAGGACTTACGAGGATATGCACTTAGCACCAGTCAAGTATACAAAGGCCACGAAGGGGCGCAAAAAGTGTCTAGAGCACATGGCGGGAGTGGATCAATATATGCTAATGCAAAACTCCGCGCGAAGATGATTGAAAAAGTTAAGTCTTTCAATCCGCCAGCAGTTGTAAATAGGAATTCGGAAGCTTAACTGAATAAAGCCGGTTTCAATACAGTAACATTCATCTTAGGCTTAATTGATCAGCAACGGCTTTAAACAGTGAATAAACTGCATAATATATTGCATTTAGCTGTGAATCAATAGAATTAGCTTACTTATCATTTGGAATTAACCAATTTAATTTCACTACATAAACAATACTTTTTACAATATTTCGCAAGGAAGTTCCAAGATACTAAAAGATGTTACTGACGTTACTTTCAACTATAAAATAACATTCATTTTAGTTGCATGTATTTATAAAAACCAATGCATCAATTGCATGTTATAGTTTAATTTCCGAATAGCGTGTTTATCAATGTTTTTATTTCATTAATTAACGAGTTTTTTAATGCGGAATGCTGCCTCAAAAATGTAAACAAAAAAATGTTTATTTCAATCCTAAGCACATTGTTACTTCATTAATACTCCGGTTATTTATTTGTTAGTAACATAAAAAGATTTCATAATTTAAGCAGATTTATAGTCTCTGAATTTAAGTACAGATTCCATTCAAATTGGCTAAACCTACATTTCCCACTCAAAAACAATGCAACTTAAACTGTCTAAAGCATGCAAATGCAAAACAGCCACACAGTGTGCTAAATACAAGCTACTTGATTTTCTCTGAGGGGCGACTGCGTATGATCAAAGCTCTCCTACTTCGCAGCTAGTATCTGGCAATTTTCGCATTTCCCGTCCTGGCTGGGGTGAGCTGTGAGAATCGGACGTCGGACATTGCATAATCGGGCACTCGATGAGTGCGACGCAAAGCAGCCAATAAATAAATATAAATAGCAAAAGCAGTGAAATGCGTGAGCTCAGACAGAACAGCCACATACATCGCCATCTATCCATACGCACAAGGGGGGAAATCAACAACATAAACATTGAAAGCGTGAATGTGAATGTGAAAAAAAATCAGATCGATGACCGCTGCCAACTGTGAGCAGAGGCATGAATAATGAGCAGAGGAAAGAGATACAGTACATAGGCCGGTGGCAGAGGGGATCCCCCGGTACACAAAAAAAAAATGGGGAGGGGGGCTGCCAACCCAGACAAATACACGATTTGAACTTACCTCTTGAATTGGTCGCCGCATCGGCTATCTTTTGGAAGGCATCCAAATAGGCGGCGATTGCCTGGATGGCGGCCCTGTGAAAAGAGAAGAGGAGAGAATAATATCATTATTATGGTGGGCCCATGCAGCCAGATAGATTTAATAAACATCTTCTTCAATTGCCCGTGGGAGACATTTCAATTAGACGACAGCTAGAAAAATAACTGAAGACAGACAATCTGCGAATACCGAAGAACATAATACCTCTTTGGACCAGCTGGCAGATATATGATCGCATAATAGGATTATGTATAAATAAAATGCTATTTCCTATGTTTGGTGCTAGTCCATTCATTAGCAACACAGTTAAACTCATTTTCAATAATATTTTATTGGTTAAACTTAAATAAAATTAAATAGAATTTGTATTATAATGGCACTGTATCTATGAATGTTCTATGCGCATGAAATTTCAACGATCATATTCAAAATACATAAAAAAGGGTTTACATTAAACTTAAAGAAAATAATAATTATTACAACTAGGAAGAAAAGATCTCTAAAGACAACTCTCAAAAGGGTAAAGTCTGTGGCAAACTAAAATATCGGTATGCCCGAAAAAAAAAGTATAAAAACATTGCACCCCAACTGCGGGTCTCTTGATCCGCTCAAGTGCTTGGCGAGCGTCCTCATCTCGCGTGGACCTGGCCAAGATGTGTGTCAAGCGCAGTGGGCAAACACTCGGAGCGAGTTTTGGCAAGCTCGGTGATTTCAATTCGGACAACAGGATTGGGGGTAATGATTAATGCAGCCGCTATGTGGCGGCTATATACTTCTGCCCAGACATTGATGCGGGGACCCTCGCCCGAAAGCAAATTTGGGCCAAGTCTGAGCATAAAAACAACAGAGAAAATAAAATAAACAAAAACGCGAAGACGGTGTCGGTGGTCTTCGCCCAACAACAACAAATTTAGCAACTAAAGCACAACAGCAGAAAAAGCACAAAAATATTCATAGACACATTATGCCTGTGTGTGAGGAAGTGGAAAGCATAAAAGCAAATTGAGGTAAACGAACAATTTGTTTATTCATTCGCATGTTCTCATTCTAAAGTTTTGCAATTGCAGTTGTTATTTTGCCGCTGTTGAAATCTCGTTAAAGAAAGAAAGAAAATATATTTCGTGATGAGGAAACCCATTTTACATCCAAAATAAACTTACCTCAAGCATGTGTGCAGTTTCCCGGCCTTAGCCACAAAATCCTCCCACAGTGGCGAAGTATTCTGCAATAGAGGAAAATAATAAATTAGTATAAGTTGGCCCACAAACAATCAAGGAAATCCTAAGCTATAACATATTTACTAAAAGTACTTCTTACCCCATAAAATCTAACATATTCCAAACCTTTGGCCAACCCCCAAACAAAAAAGGCAAAATGGCAAGGAAAATCAATGGCTAGCCTACCAAATCTGTAATAAAATTACACTCGGCTGACAAAAAAGTAGATAAATGGGGAGTACGTGTTACATTAAAATGGTTTTCTTTTTTTCCCCCCTTTTGGTATACTTATTAAAGTTCAAAGCTAGAAAATAAAACCCCGTAGCTCTTACTTTTAGTTATATTTCTTAGCACAAAAGTTCAAAGTTCACAGAGTCATCGTCGTTTTAGCTGGATTTAATCTAATTGAGTTTGACTTTTGTTGTCTGCGCATTTCATTAAATCTGAATAAAGCTGATAAATATTGTGGAAATTCAACGAGTAAATAACCCAACATGACATGAATGGATTCGCAAATTGAGAGACACATTTAATGTAATCAAAGTGGGGGAGTGGGTCCGATCCATATGGTCCGATTCAACACAGTATTGACCCCCGTTTTAATTAAATTTTCCCTGGAAGTCTGAGGTAATTTGTATTAATTAAATTTGCATCGCAATATGACTTTCGAAAAGAAAAGAAATACAAAGTAATCATAGAGGGCAGTGATTGGCTAGACTTTTTTTAAACCATGGGGACTTTCTTCCATTATCCGTAATCCCTACCCCATCAATTTTTCCCTCAAGTAAATATGGTAAAACCATTCGAGAGCGTGTGTCAAGCGAGAGTGTGAGCCAAAAAGCAAGCTAAAATAGCTCCCACATGGGTTTTCTCACATAATCCTGTCCAGCCAACTTATTTGGACAAGACCACAAAGAGCTGCCGCTGGTTTCTGGCCAAGTATCAGTGTCACGATGGTGGAACGGCAGTGGATTGTTAAGAGCCGGCCGTAAAAGGCAGCTAAAGATTTTATGTGAGCTTCTTTTTTAAAAAGAAATAATAGCAAGTTAAGAAGCGCAAATGGTCAATAAAAGCGAAAACGAGTTTTTCGTTTTGTTTTGGTTCGGTTTTGCCCATAATAATGTTTCAATTACACAACAAATGACATTGAAAGCAAAAGTCAGAGAAGAGAGCGATGGAAAACAGCGGGAGTCGTCTTAATAAAGACATAAAATGTTCCAATTTACTGACCAACTCACCCAAACCAACGAGGCAGAGCGATCCATCCAGCACAAATGCCAACTGCAATTCCATTTCACTTTCGGTTTCTGCGCAATCGGGCAATAATTAATGCCAAACACAACTTTTAAAAAAAATCATCAAAATGCCAATTGCAAAATCGATTTGAATGCAAAATGCCCAAAAGAAGTCGGGTCTGGGCCAGGGCAATTGCATAAACAACACGGCTCAAAGGTAAACGAACGAGACAATAGCAACGGCGAAACCAGGAAAGATACAAATAAAAACAGCACAGCAGAGCGCAAACAAAAAATTGAACGGAAATCGATTTTTGGCCATTTTCTGCAAGCTTTTTATTTTTGCCCATGCAACAACAGAGCGCAACAAAAACCCTTAACAATTGTCGCCCCCCACATAAATGGTTTTCAACGTGCCACTCGAGCGATGATAATGGCTGTTGTGGACCCCTTTCACAAAATACAATATGCTAAATAAAATAAATATAAAAAATACAATCAAAACTGGGTTTCCGAAAATGGTGTTTTTGCACCCGGCTCTCATAGAGATACACTTAAATTGTATCGTAAAAGGGAGAGGAAGCGTTTTAAAGTTATATATTCTTAATCACCATCGACAGAGAAGTTGATCTATCATCATTTGCATTTATATATAAATCAAAGGCAAATAAATGCAAATAAATCTCATTATAAAATGTATGTTTTATCGTTAATCAGTTTCTAATTATTTTGTATTTGTTTATTAAAATGAAACCAAATATTTCACTTTTGAAAGATGTTGAGTGACATAATCATAAAAAACTCAAGAAATTCAATGAATTTTAGGTGTGGGAAAGGCAATTTAAAGAAAATCAATAAATTCATGAGGAAATCTAAATAGAATTAATTCCAAAAGGCCGAAATCAAAATTTTTATAACTTTGTAAGCTTATTCTTCAATGATTGAACCACGTTTGACTCCAAGACGCAGCCCACATGCAAATTATTGTTGTTTATTCGTTGCAAAACCATTTTTTGTGTGTGACAACCAACAGCCAGCGACAGCTTGATAAGCGGTTCTTGCCTCGATTGCGTGGGCTGCGGCTTGTCGGCATTTTGTGAATGAACATTTTGTAGTCTTATGGCGGTTGCCACCAAGCCAAGCCACAACGCCAGCAATCCACTCGCGGGCCAAAACACGCAAAGCTGTCATTACATTGACCAGGCCCAAACCGTTTGCGTTGGCGTGGAAGTTGTATTTTGTGCTGGCGTTGGGAGAGAGCTCAGCTGGTACTAATCTTGCTTCGGTTATTGCCTTATGAATGGGCGAAATAAGCAAAAGTGTAGAGAAGTTAGTCGGGGTTTTTAAAATCCACGAAATAACTAATATTGCCATGGTTTTCTTGGTAACGTTATCCATGTTCTATGACATCCATTTCATGTCAAGTCAAATTTACTCAACTTTCAAAGTCTATAAGTCCTTCTTTATCTCGTTTCCGCATTTAGTTATTTTGGCAATGTATTAGCTCACTTTGAATTTTTGGTGTATAAGTAGAAAAAAAATAAAAATATTCTATTTACTCTATTAAATACCAGTAATATATAAATTTAAATGCACCCAAACTTGAGCTGAGAGAACCCGAACCAGAAATAATTCCCGTCAGTACGTGGTTGTATTGAAAACACTTTCCAGTTTCTGCCAGACATCGAAATCGAGTCTGTGCTGGGAGGAAGCCAGCGAGTGCAATGTACGTGGTGCATCCATGTACACAGATAGCTGAGCACCCAGCATCTCCATGTGTATCCATTTATCTTGGCAAACTAACTCTCAGCCAGGCTGGCAGTGAGCTAGACACCTAAAAACCCACAATTTATGCCAGTCAGAGCAGCAGCAACTCTCGGCAAACTGGAAAAGTTCACACAAGCACGGGAAGACCCACACCCATGCACACAGCGAAACGAGCTGGCTGGCATTATAAACTCTTGATCTTTCCAATAGCCTACAAAGGCGGCCCACACGAACCGACTCCTCAGCTGGTTCACAGCCCCATTCATGCTGCAATTTTGTTGCTGCCGCTCGATAATGCCCCAAAGATTCCCAGCAGCAACAGCAGCAGCTAGAAAGAGGCGGAGATGGCCAAAACGGGTTCAGAGCCATCCCGTCGCCGCGTCCTACATTGCACATATTTTGGGTTGCCGAACAAAGCAACAGCCTCCAGAAAGAGCCGTTGTTTCTTATGCAAAATCCCAGAGCCTGCGAAGCAGAAGTCCGCACTGATTGATTTTCTATGAGATCTAACGTACTATATATACGGTGGCCCGCGGCCATAATTTTGGTATTGGCCAGATGTTGACTTTGGCGGATTGCTCGGAGGGGAAGGCCGTAAAATCGTGCGCTGCTAATTTGCACCTAGAGACGGTTTTTGTTTCTGGCTTTTCGGTTTAGAAAGTAGAAAATTATTCAACGGGAATATGAAATGAAAGTGTTCCGAGGGCATCCCTCTCTTCTCGAAAGTTTTTCGCAAATCTCCAAGAAACATTTTCCGTGAATTGGCAAATACACGCAGAGAGCTTGGCAAATCGATTGGTTCGATTTGAATCGATCGAAACTCACGCCAATCATCATCGGGTAATTCAATAACCGACTGTTGCCTGTATTTGCATATTTCCCATATAACAATGCCAGTCGTGACCCCAAAAAAAAATCCAACTTATTCCCTGACTGGGCGGTAGGTGTATATATATAGTTTGCTATTATTTATTTATTTTTCACTCTCCTTCCCGTCGTTACCCAAGAAGTTACTTGCAACACGCGGCCACCCGATATGGAAACCGCAACATGAACTCAAGTTGCCGTCAACGCGTGCCACAAACCGCAGAACAAAACGAATCGAAACAAGAAGTCGAAACAAGAAGCTCTAATCGTAAAGCAAAGATATAGCACAAAGTTTTCAAAACGGAAGAACCATTTTTATATCAACAATGAGAATAATAGAATGGCAGAGATGAAAAGTTTGCAAAAGTTTTGCTTTCTTTTTTTAGTGAATCTTTATTCAAAATTCCAATAATTTATTTATTAACAGTTTCTGTTTTTTATTCCACTATTTCAACTTTAGGAACTCCCCTCTGATCTCTACACAAATAGGTTTTGGGCGCGGCACGTTGAAATCGTCGAGTGCGTGAAACGTTATTACCATTTTATAACGTCCTCGAAGAGTTGGACCATATAGATTCATAAATTTAAGCCTTACATCGAAGGGTTCATGTACCAACACGACCTGAAATTAAAAATTAATTAATTTAGCTTTCCGGATCGAATGCTAAGTACCCTTTTTCGCAGTAGAATATAGAAATTTTATATTCAAACCAAGTACTAAACACGTTTAACTGAAACTGCAGACAACAAGGGAAAATCTGACTTGGCCCGACCAGTCTTATTTCGATCAAATTGGATACGATATAAGCTTGTTCTATTTGCAACGGAAATATGTCACAAAGAAAACAACTTTTGAAGTGGTATAGAAGAAAGAACAGGGTCACTGCGTTTGCGTAAAACAATAATATTCTCTGCACGTATGGAATCAAAATTCCAAGGATGCCACTTACACCAGGCCCTTTGATGCACTTCTCCTCAACCTCATCGCGATTGATAATATAGGTAGTCCAATACTTATACCAGTACTGGTTCTTATCGTACATGATGGAGCAGAAGTCCTTCGCGTTCATTGTAAAAACAGTGGGCTCCCAGCTGCCGCGGTTGAAGTGTAAAAGTTCAAGCTTTGCCTGCAAGGATGCGAAAGTTAGGGTCTTAATTCTTGTGTTATTCCATTGGGAACAAGCTGGTTTACTGTAATACGGTCGGTGGGGTGCACATTCCAATTGACGGTGGCGTTGCCGGAAACGTGGAGTATATCAGCTTCAGCATTGATCACAATATGTTCAAAATCGACTGCCTCTCGGGCGTCGATAGCGCCGGGCGGACCGTCAGTGCACGGCGAAAGGATGTCCGGATCCTCGAGCAGAAATTCGTAGTCCGCGGCCCAGGAACTGGTCACGCCAAGAAAGAGCAACATCAGAGTTTTCATCATGAAGTCACCCCTAACAATGTGGTATCAGAGCCTTTATAGCCGTTTCCGAATCGTGTGGGATTATTTTCTAATTATTGATTATAACATAACATGCTTCTTTATATAATGTCATCGACATCTAACAATTTACAAGCAATCTGTTTGTCAGACAATGTCAGACATTAACATTGAAACTGGGAAGTTAATGTTAACTGATTATTATCTTCAAAAACCACTTTAATTTAGTCGAAATGTTCGTTATTCGACCAACAAAATCAAGCAATACTATGATATAGAAATGAAAAAATATGTCCTAATTCGAAAAGGAAGCCCTCACTAAGCAAATAATTTTAATAGTGTATTTTCGTCCCCTTTGTTTAATTCGTAAACAATTCCAATTCCTGCCATTTTTTGTTTGTTTTGTTAACCAAAGAATGTACAATTAAAAGTCATTGCTTAGTGACAGCTTCGTAGCCGAATCAGGAAATATTTTCTATTACGATCAAAGAATCTTAAAGTGAGCCCAAATACCGTTTTGCTTTAAGCAGCAAGGATAAAGTGCTTGATACTTAGAGAAAAGCAAAGAAAGGTTTATTTAATACAATCTATGAACAATAAAATGTTTTGACAATATGATGAAGTCGAGCATTAGACTTCTTTGTGGGACAATTAACTGCATTCGGTGCAGAGCTTGAAAATCTTAATTCTTTATCTTCTCAGCCTCTCCTCTGATTTCGAAGCATACGGTGTTCTTTCGGGGCACGTCCCTTTCGTCGACAGCTTCAAAGGTGACCACAGCTTTGTAGCGTCCCTGAAGAGTAGCGCCACGTATGTTGTTTAGGCGCAGCTTCAGATCGAATGGATTATGCATCCAAACAGTCTGAAATTGTAAATTTTGTTGAAAAACAAACTGTATAGCTCGACCCCGCAACCCCAGCTTACACCACGCGTTGTCAGGCACTTCTCCTGCACCTCATCCCGGTTCGAAATGTATCTGGTCCACTGTTTGAACCATGACTGATTCTCGTCGAAAATCGCGGAGCAAAAGTCGGGCGTCGCAATGCTAAAGAGAGTGGGTTCCCAGTTGCCGCGGTTGTAGTGCCACAATGCAAACCTGGCCTGAAATTGCAATGGTTTTATAGTCTGTTAATTTCGTCTTAGGAAGACTGAATTTACGGAAATGCGATCGGTGGGCTGCACATCCCATATTGTGGTCAAATTCTCTGAGATGTGAATGATGTCGGCGTCCTGATTAAGAACCAGATCTTTAATGTTGAATGCATCGTGGAATCCAACCGATCCGGGGGGTCCTTCGGTGCAGGGTGCGAATATATCGGGATCCTCGAGCAATAGTTCGTAGTCCGCGCCCCAGGAACCGGACACTAATACGACGAGCAGCAGCAGAGTTTTCAACATGATGTTACACCAACAGAAGCATTATCACGTCTTATATAGTCGGTATCGTACCAGTTTCAAATCCGATTACGGATAAACATAACATAGCGGGATTTGTAAAATCTATCTTAAACACAAATTAAATTTGACATTTACAATGTACTCCGCGTTGATACTTATCAAAAAATATCACGAGTAAAAATGGCAATGTATATATATTGGGAAAAAACATATGTTTAACAAGATACCCACATATTATTGAGGCAGAAAAATTTGTTTGCAGCGGGGTTTGGAAACTAGAAAATCGGCCAAACGAGTTTAAATGTATTGTTCTGTGAGTAGAGTATCGAAAATATATCTAATAAATATTTCTTTAGTTTCATAACTGTTTTGCATAATTGGGAGCGTCAACAACACGCTCTCTATCATTAACAATACTCAACTATATCACAGCTTGTGAATCACAAATGCAATTTCATATTAATTTGAATTAATGGCCTTGTTACTGATATTTAACAAGCAGAGCACTCAACACAGTTCAAATCACCATGTGTCAAACCCAACTACGCTGGCGAGGCACACCAGTCATGTCATTCCACATTTACGGAGCGAACAGCATCCAGAATTGTTCCCGCAAAGTTATTTACGGAATAATGCAAAGTAATTAATACAACTAAGACGATGATTCTCATGCTCTCCAATTGTTTGTGGCGCTTGAAGGGGAAATGCAGTTCACATTCTTGTCTCCTCTCCGATTTCAATGTCTGTGTGTGGGAGAAGGCAGACAGATGGAACGAATTGTAATGGTAACCTGCGTCATTATCAGTTTGGCCTGCACTCTAAACATCTGTAATCAAATCTGGTGTTGGAAAAAGCTGTCTTATTCATTTTTGTCATTCTCAACATTACAAACAACCATACGACTGCGAAATAACGGGCCGGATTGGACGACTATATGATATAGCTGCCATAAAACAATTGGAAAAAATTAGAAACATAAAACTTTGTGTTTTTAAACATATAAGAAAATACTCCGAGATATTAGTATTTTACAATTTCAGAGTAGCGGTTTAAATTTTATAAGAACCGGACAATCAAAAATGAATTGGAAAACCGAAAAAAGCTGCACAATTTTTTAAATTATACTCATAAAAATATAAATAAATCGGTTTAGAGAATATTTCACTTTTGTAATAGCTTTATAAACTTATTGTTTTTATACCCTTGCAGAGGGTATTATAATTTTGGTCAAAAGTGTGCAACGCAGTGAAGGAGACATCTCCGACCCTATAAAGTATATATATTCTTGATCAGGATCACCTCCTGAGTTGATATAGCCATGTCCGTCTGTCCGTCTGTCCGTCTGTCTGTCCGTCTGTCCGTCTGTCTGTTTCTACGCAAACTAGTCTCTCAGTTTTAAAGCTATCGGATTGAAACTTTGCACACACCCTTCTTTCCTTTGCACGCAGTATATAAGTCGGAACGGCCGGGATCGGCCGACTATATCCTATAGCTGCCATATAACTGATTGATCGGAAATGCCATAACTTTCGTGTTTGTAAAGTTAGGAAGTTGGGATTTTCTATGGGTTTTATATATGGCCAATCAATCCGACCTACCAAATTTCATAAGGATCGGACGACTATATCCTATAGCTGCCATATAACTGATTGATCGGAAATGCCATAACTTTGGTGTTTGTAAAGTTAGAAAGTTGGGATTTTCTATGGGTTTTATATATGGCCAATCAATCCGACCTACCAAATTTCATAAGGATCGGCCGACTATATCCTATAGCTGCCATATAACTGATTGATCGGAAATGCCATAACTTTGGTGTTTGTAAAGTTAGAAAGTTGGGATTTTCTATGGGTTTTATATATGGCCAATCAATCCGACCTACCAAATTTCATAAGGATCGGCCGACTATATCCTATAGCTGCCATATAACTGAACGATTGGAAATGCCATAACTTTGTTGTTGTTAAAGTTAGGAAGTTCGGATTTTTTATGAGTATTAAGAATGCATCATATGAATAATTTTGGAGAATATAATTTATAGAGTATTCTGCAAGGGTATATCAACTTCGGCTCCGCCCGAAGTTAGCTTTCCTTTCTTGTTTTTTTTTTTAACAAAATGCAGTCCATTTGGAAATGCGGAATCTCTCAACTGTATACATAGGCACATTTGCTCACAAAGCAAAAGGACCTTGCTCTAGATACATCATGCCTGTTGAGATCCGGTCCACATCCTGTTCAGCATCAACTCTTAACTACATATAAAATGCACTGTGAATTGCCATTTTCAGTTGAGATTCAACCTTGAAAATGGCTTTCAGACTTTTTAAATGCGCAAACAATACAGGCGAGGGAAAAAGAGAAAAACCGCGAGACATTGTCATAGAAATGGAAACAGCTGCGAATGCTGCCATAAATAAAAACTCATTAGGTCTTGTCGATGGTATTCGGCCATATAGTAACTTGTCTATAAATAAACAAAACATGAAATTTGACTTTCTTACAGCCCACACAACCATAACAAATTCAATACTTAGAAGCAATGCCAAAGTTCGCAGACAACAATTAGAGAACATTTTAAATAAATTAAATGGAAAAAAAATCATTTCGCCCAACGTGGGGCTCGAACCCACGACCCTGAGATTAAGAGTCTCATGCTCTACCGACTGAGCTAGCCGGGCACTTGTAACGACAACCACCAAAAAAACCAGCCAAAGAGCAAAGCTTTTTTGGTTTCGAATTGATTTTTTTACACCTGCTAAATAAACACATATTTTTAAAGAGATTTCAGGCTCTATAATTAATGCTTTCCAATCAAATTTAACTTGTAGAAGTATAAACCCAAATTTACTAATATTTATATAGTTTTAAGAGTCAAACCAGGCAGAGTTAGTTCCTTGTCTCATACCAATTTTACTCCGTTCCAGAATATTTTTTTTCTTTTGATTTAACGTTTAATCTGGTTTTTTAAATTTGTCTATAAGGTGGAATTACAAATGGAAATCACTGACAAGGTTAGAATCATTTTACTTGAGGGAGTGTAGGGGATAAACAACTACTAACTTAAATAACTTGACTGTATATTAAATTGTACTATTGAGAAGAAATATGTGGTGTTTTATTTGACCACCTAAAGATAGTTTCGTATCTTCATCGATCAAGTGATTTACAAAAATGTTTAATTTAAACATTTCACAAAATTCCACACTAAGCGTATTTGAAAAACAGGTTTTTAAATCCAAATTAATTAGGTGTTAGCCCTATTTTAGGCAAATTAATTCGAAAAAAAATGTTATTAGTTTTGTATTCATTGAGAAACGAAGAAAAAAAACAATTCGCCCAACGTGGGGCTCGAACCCACGACCCTGAGATTAAGAGTCTCATGCTCTACCGACTGAGCTAGCCGGGCATGTGGGCGTGTTGACGGTTTTTCGAAATTCGGAGAGCCAAAGTTCTTAAAACGTGAAAAAGATTCTACCTAGCCAACATAAATGAATAAAAGTATTTTAAATACACTTATTTTTTAAGTGATCGCTAAATAAACAAATGTGTTTATTATTAGATAATACACAAAAAATTGAAAATAAAAATAAAATAATTTATTATCGGTCTAGATCATTACAGATTAAGATAAAGACCGCAGAGCAAGTGCAGGTAACATTCGCGATCAGTATTAGGGGCTGCACGTGCCATAAAAACAGAGCACTAATTCCAATCGCATAAAAATCAGACCTAACATACTTATTAGCTTGCCAGAATGGATACGCCCATTTATGATGTTTTAATGAACAGATATTATCGTATTTGATTGTGTGTGCAACTAGAATTATTGTTTAACGACCCGTTACTGTATATATATAGAGCAGGTTCTGGCCAGTGTATCCGGATACCAAAACCTTGTTAAAATGAGGGCTTCCTTGAAGATCCTGATGCTCCAACTGATCTGCTTAACTGGTGCCATTGATTACCAGTTAACATTGGACGACAACGGCATTTTTGCCCCATGCACTAATATTCCTGGAAATCCTTCCAACGTTGAAGGCCTCTTCGACATGTCCTTTTTAAAAGTAACCAACGATGGAAGCAAAATTAAAGTTGAGGGAAAACATACAGTCGTTTGGAAAGATGTTCAGCCTGGGGACACAATAAAGGTAAGTTGTCCATAAGAAATCTGCTTCTTATATACTATTTTATTATGCGTTAGTTTTTGGGTCAAGTCAATCGCCTGGAAAAGGGCACCTGGCAAAAGACGATGTTCTCCACCAGCAGCAACAATTTTTGTAAGAGCATGTTTGAAAAGAATCAGCAGTGGTATCAGTTCTGGACGCAGTACATCAGTAATGCCGATGAGATCAAGAGCAAGTGCTTAAACACACCTGGGGTAATTGATTATACCACCCGATATTTCAGACAATCCTTCAATCAGCCCTATCTGTTTTAGGCAGTTTTCAATTATGCCCCTAACTACGAAATCGAATTGAAGGCCAGTTTGAATGTTCCCAATCTGGAAGGGCGCTACAAGCTCGCGATGCAATTTGAGGCCTTCGACAATCGCAATGTGAAGCGACCTGTGTCCATTTGCAGCGAGTTCCGCGGGACATTAAAGAAGCTCTAGCACTAATCGTGACAATTATATATGCATGCTGAACATACAGCGAAACACCATTAAAGTTTATAATCGAACACAACCCACAACATGCCTTTGAACATTGGGGGGCATTACAGGTATTGTAGGGGTCGCATGCGAGGAACTTCCGTTCAGTTCATCATGAAGTCCCAGGAAAGCCAGCCGATCCATCCACACAGCTCGCACGACTGGAGCGCCGAGGCTTGCGAGGAGTCATCCATCCACGGCATGCCCTACGTGGCCCGCAGGGATCTCCACTGGACCGAGCGCGTCTTTTGGGTGATCATGGTTGTGGCATCCGCCTACTACGCCATCAGCAGCTGTCTCAACCAGTGGGAACGATTCCGGGACAATCCGATTGTCTACGAGTACGAGTACCTCTTCGCACTGCGCAACTTCACCTTTCTGGGCGTGACACTCTGCACCAACTACGAGTCCGACGAGCAGGTGGACCAGATATTAAATCAGTGAGTTTTACTTTGAATCGAATGCTGAATACAGATTTAATAATACACTGTTTCTTATATCCAATCGAGGACTTGGGGAGTAAACTCTTCGGCAGATCCAACAAAGGCAGCCTACTACGCCGAGTTTTTGCGTGTTCTTAACCGCCTGAAGTACACCACTTTGGACAAGCTAAAGCCATTCGAGAATGACACTAGTCTGGACAACTTGCCCTACTTGGACATTCTGCTGAAGCTACAGGAGAAGGTTCTTCCCCCTAAAAATCATGTGCTCCTGGCGCCGATCATAACGGAGGTGGGACTGTGCCAGACGACCAGCCAGTTAACCAGGTTCGGGAATCCCTACGGCAAAATGTGAGTATGCCTCCTACAATGGCTTTAACAATTATAATAATTAAGTTATTGCCTACCTTAAAAATAATAGAATCTATATATAAAAGGTTTTGCAAATTTAGGTAGATATTTGCTGATCGAGAAACTGCTTCCACCTACTTTACAAATATCTGGTCTGGTTGTTTATTTTCTTTTTCAGAGAGGACTTGAATGTGACGGCAGTAAGGCAGTGTGGTTTTTTCAGCGAGTGCCAGATAATGCACAAGCCGTTTAATAGCATCATGACCCATGTGTTTCTGGTGCGAAGCTATTATATCTTTTAAATATAAATCATATAATCTTAAATGACTTTAAAGTACCTGCACGATGTCCATGAAATGATGCTTCCCCACGATCTTCGTACTGTCACCTTTGATGCCAAGGTCAAAAGCTCCTACGTTCTCAAGCTTCTGGTTCACTCGATTTCGGCGGATACCGAGGTGCGAAACTTACCGGTGGCATATCGCAAGTGTCGCTACAATGACGAAAACAATCTCGAGTACTACAGCGTGAGTTTTGAATGTTTGTCGAACTTGGAAAGTTCTAAATAGTTATAAATGCTTTCTTAAAGCCGTATTATCCAAGTCTGTGTCGACTGGAGTGCCGGATTAAATGGGCCTTGAGTCTGTGCAACTGCAAGCCCTATTTCTATGTGGCAGCTCCCAATGCTCCAATTTGCAACATATCCGGAATGCTCTGTCTTGCCCGCTCCAAGTGGCTGGAAAAGCCCTGCGATTGCTTCCCGTTGTGCCGGGAGAACACCTACAACATCATCGAGGAGGACGAACAGAGTGGGGTGGGTGTGATCAAGGGAGTGGCCCTCTTCTTAAGACCCCCAATTAACCTATTTTACCATTCCTTCAGGGCGATCAAAACTACGTGGGCGAGCAGTTCGAGCGCACGATGATCATCAAGATGGGTCTTCCCAAGATGGGCATGAAGCGGAGGGTCGTGTTCAGCACAGATCAGTTGATAATGTCGTTCGGCGGAGCCATTGGCCTCTTTCTCGGAGCCAGCTTCATGACCATATACGGTCTGATTTACCTATCACTTAATTTTCTAGCCACAAATATCGGTTTAGAAGAATAATAAGCAACTAAAATGGGGCACCTTTAAGTATTCTGTTTATAGAAGTCTTGAAGTAATGTGAAACTTCAGTTAACATTTTAATTTTCCCTTTTTTATCATTATGACTTGAAGACAATTTTTTTTTTTTTAAATAGTTGGCATTTTGAGCGTTACATTTTGGTTTTTAATTACCAAACACCTTGAATGTTACTATCGATAAAAATACAAATTATTCGTTGTCTCTTTATCAAACATTAACTTTAAAGATTATGGACAATATTAAAACTTTAAAAGTGTCTTACATTTGCCCTAAAGTTTTTAACGATTTACCTAAATAAAAAACACATTGCACTATATAAAAGCACTTACATAAAAACAAAAAAGAACGAAAAGTAGCACAGGTTTCTTTTACTAAACGCACATTAACTTGCAAAATAAACACAAAGCTAATGAAATTGTTTTTACTTAACGACATTAAAGTGGTCTGATGGCCTGGCCGAGCATCTTAAGCAAATTAAAGCTGCGGCAATTGTTGCAGGGCCACAAACGTGGAAGCCGCAAAAGTGGCAGCTTGGCGAGCAGTGAAGAAAGCGACACGTTCGGTTCAGCTGGGTTCAGAGAGCAGAAAAATTTCACTTTTGCGGAAAACTCATAACAAACTGCAGTGCGTTTTCCAGTCGTTTTCTGTTACCAACAATCGCGGCAGCGTAGCGGAGATTACCTATTGTCAAAAGTGACAATTTGTCGGCTTAGCCGGCAATTGCTTGTCTTTCGTTGGGGTGGCTGGTTTAATATGTATCTTCATCTCACACACTTGCCACACTTGCCCCAAAGTGCAGCCATCGGAGCGAAGCGTGGTTGGGTGAAGTTAACAACCTTTAAGTTTGCTTAATGCGATATTATATCTTTCGATTCGTTTTGGGCTTGCGTGGATAAACTTTGGACCGACTAACCAATCGAGAATTAGCCGCACTTAATTGCCGGTTCCCGTTAAGAAAAACTATTTCAGAAATGAAATTAGCAAATAATGTAAGCCTTTTTTCTGTTTCGACTTTACGCTTATTGAAGTTGCGGCAGCCTCTAAGAAGTTTCTGTTTCTGCCTTGGCATGGGCATAAATTTGTTCTGGTCTGTTGCCAAAAAATAAAAAAAGGTAGAGAAAAACAAGAAAGGAAAGCTAACTTCGGGCGGAGCCGAAGTTGATATACCCTTGCAGAATATTCTGTAAATTATATTCTCCACAATTATTCATATGATGCATTCTTAATACTCATAAAAAATCCCAACTTCCTATCTTTAAAAACACCAAAGTTATAGCATTTCCAATCGTTCAGTTATATGGCAGCTATAAGATATAGTCGGCCGATCCTTATGAAATTTGGTAGGTCGGATTGATATATAAAATATAAAACCGATAGAAAATCCCAATTTCCTAACTTTACAAACACCAAAGTTATGGCATTTCCGATCAATCAGTTATATGGCAGCTATAAGATATAGTCGGCCGATCCTTATGAAATTTGGTAAATCGGATTGATTGGCCAAATATAAAACCCATAGCACATTCCAACTTCCTAACTTTACAAACACCAAAGTTATGGCATTTCCGATCAATCAGTTATATGGCAGCTATAGGATATAGTCGGCCGATCCCGGCCGTTCCGACATATATACTGCGTGCAAAGGAAAGAAGGCTGTGTGCAAAGTTTCAACTCGATAGCTTTAAAACTGAGAGACTAGTTTGCGTAGAAACAGACAGACGGACAGACAGACGGACAGACAGACGGACAGACAGACGGACAGACAGACGGACAGACAGACGGACAGACAGACGGACAGACAGACGGACAGACGGACATGGCTATATCAACTCAGGAGGTGATCCTGATCAAGAATATATATACTTTATAGGGTCGGAGATGTCTCCTTCACTGCGTTGCACACTTTTGACCAAAATTATAATACCCTCTGCAAGGGTATAAAAACGAAGTCAGACAGAAAGGCAGCCAAGCAATTAAAATGAAACTAATTTTAGTGCCCGGGCTACCACACAGCCTTCTGCCTTTTGGCTTAACCTTTAAGCAAGAGCCAAGAGAAAAATGCTGCCGCACTCTCTCCTGCGGCTCATTTGCATCTTCTGCAACTTTGTGACATTTGCAATGGCATTTGCAGGCTCTGAAAAAGTTGGCCAGCAGATCTGCCCACAAAACGGCAACGCCGACAATCTTTTGCCATGAATCAGGCCAAAATCAGAGCAAAGCAAGGCAGCAAGAATTACCTGGTAAGGTGATCCAAACACAGTTGTATGTAGGCATTCATATTGCACATGCTCTGGCAGTACGAGTATGTGTTTCTGCTCTAGTTCACACTCAGGTTGAAAAAAAATGAGCAGCAACTTCTGCACAATTGCGTGCCGAACAATTTCCAAATTTCATAAATACAAAATGCACTCGCCCGCATCTGACAGCCGTCGGCTGGCTCCAAACTCGGGTTCACACTCCCCGAGGGAAGACGCCGAGCATTTTCCTATTATTAGCAACCTGCGGGCGGGAAGGCGGTGCCATTCATCTTTCCTTCCCCGCCGCTGGTTTATTTCGGTACTATGCCCCGCCGACAGACTTAAGACGCAGCGAATTCCAACACCTGTCCATGAGGCGACGGTGAGCAGCTGGCGGGAGAACTACAATCACAATGTGCTGAAAATGTAATTTTCCTCAGCATAGCAAATGAGGCAACGGGAGAGCTAGATATCGTAAACTGCAAATACATTGGCAAAGAAGGAAAATAATAGTTTCTTGCTTCAACTTGATTACCATATTTTAAATATTGTATTTTATATTAGTAAAAATAATAGTTATTTGCTACTTTTATGTTTCCTAAAAAAATAAAATACAAAATATAAACTACAATTACTTTAAAAAGAGGTTAAGGTTATTACATTTTAATATTTCTAGTGCTGCCTACAGAAAGTGAATAATAAACACCTTTTTTAATGAAAGAGTGTCGGATTCAATACCATAAACATTTTTAATATAGGTTCGGTTTAAATTTATTTTAAAAAACGTTTTTCGCAACGCTTCCTAACGCCAATATACCCTTCAAAAAAAGGATAGCAAATGTTAAAGTTCATATTCGTTCTGCTGGTATTAAAAATAGAATGTAAGGCAGAAATCGGAAAGTAGTGAATGGAGGAGATAGAAGCGAAGCAAAATGAAGTGAATAAGAACTGGGAGGGAAGTTAATGTATTACCTGCTTTCAATTCGTGCCATTAAGTCACTAATCATTGGCAGCTGTCAGTAGTTCGTCCGGGGGAATACAACATCCCATCCCATAATATCATATCCCGGGAGCCTATCCCAGCGATTTCCTCCCAAGAGGCTAAGTCAGCGATAAAGATTTTCCCATTTCAGAAACCCAGCACACGGTGTTAATTTAAGCTTGTTAAATGAAATTGCCTGGCTCGACTTTATATAACCGCAATAAACATTTTTTATGAAAGTAAGTTGCCACAAATGGCGTCATGGGTGCCATAAATTATTGATACCACTCAATGAACAGATAGCAATGAAATCAATTAATGATAAAAAAAATCAACAAAAAGCTTGCGAAGTAAAGTTTCGTGTTTCGCCACGAGCTTAAGATAAATGAGAAAAATGTGGAGAATTTTTTGTGTGACTGCTAGATACGATTTTGCAATTTTATTTCTTGCCATTAAATCAATTAGAGATACATAAATGAAAAACAAAACCATTTCAGCATCAAAGTTAAGAGAATATACGTTTCAAAATTGTCTGTTATTATTGTAAAGAAAACATTTCTTTTGCATTAATTTATTACTCTGTATCAGAACTTAATTGCTTCGCCCGGGCTTTTGTGTGTTTGCTTTGACCTTGGCTGATGATATTTGTTTATCATTATTAGCTTGAGGCTTTTGTTTACACACAAGAGCATTTCAGACCAATTCTATGAGTTCTTGGCACAATAGCAAACAATTGAGACAACCAGTCGGTTCATATTGTCGAACAATTTCAGCAAAAATAAAATCATTTCATTTTGTTGGTTTTCTGTTATATGATCGGGGTCAGGTTATTACGGTTTCAATATGTACGTTTCCCCAAAATGCTTTTAAGTTCCAAGAACCCGAAAACGGAACATTCGGTAGCAGAGTTCGTGTTTAAAATTACATTGAATTTCCGCAGAAACTATAGAACAACAAGTTGGAAAACTCACCTTCATGTCATTGATAATCTGCTGGAACAGACTACCCAGCGCGGAGCTATCGCGTTCCAGACTTAGATCCATGTTTTCTTAGTATTTAACTGGCTTAGTAGAGATATCGATTGAATTTCGTCGTTTGTCGTTCAATTATTCGGTTGAGTTTATTTGGATAATTTTATTGTGTTTTTATATTGATAGGAAAAACCAAGCAAATTGAACATTTCCTTGTGGTGCGGTGGAAAGATCTGAAAAAATATGGAAAATATTAAAAATTCAGCAATTTATAAATAACCATGCTTAACAAACAGATCTACAAGCACTTCCGATCGAAATCTCTGTCTCATCCCATCCATAAATCTTCGAAATTCGTCGCTGATGGGGCTGAACCAGATTATTCTCGTAAATAATCAAAAATGTAAACCAGTGTGTCTTTCCAAACAAGAAATTATGCTTAATTAGGCTTATTAATATACGACATAGCGATGGAGAGTGTGGGGGAGTTTCCTAGTAGCGTAGGCGCAATATACAACTTTATTTGGGGATCGTTGACCCAAATTGAGAGTGCTTTAAGTGCGTGAGTGTTGGGCTCCTGCTGATATGAGCCTTTTGATTTATTGGTCATGTAGCGCGGCTAATTGTTAATTATTAATTGATAATTGATATATCTTGGAGCGACGGACAGGAAGTAGCATATACAATTTACGGGCATTGCAATTGAAACTCCGGACCTGAGGCCCATGCAAACGACACTCGTCGGGGAAGTGCAATAGTTTTGACCCATTTGTGGGTTCGCCATACGTGACTACACTTATGCAGGTTTCCGCGGCTTTCGAAAGTGCAGATAAACCGAGAAAACTATCGCGTCTCCGGTCGCCATCAAGCCTTGGAAGCAATTAGAGAGGCGTCAAATTTACAGGTACCCTCGAGTAATAACCTTCGACCAGGAACTGGCCTAAGCTCAGCTCGGGTCTCAAGATACCACTTGAGGCCGTATCTCTTCACTTCTATGCTTTTTCGGGCTGATTATGACATTGACGGCTGCTCCGAGTGAAGTTCTCGGGTACAAGTGTTCGTTTATATGTACATATGCATGTACATAGGCCTGTGTAGCACCGCTGCATTCAGAAAGCGTTCACAATAGACACTCAAGCGTGGAGGAAGCCAAAGCCCACAAGTGATAAACAGCCGTTGGAGCTGATTGCCTAGACTGCGTATCTTTTGTCTATGTCTGCGTGAAGACGCAGAAGAAAGCATCACAGAACAAGTTGTGGCAAAAGAGGAAAAACGAAGGCGATAGGGACGAGATTTCCGACTATGGAATTACCAGTACTGAAATTTGTATAGAAGGCACTCGAAAAAGGGAGAAGAAAGCGTTTCCGACCCCTCCAAATGCACCTAGAAAAACAATGATGGTAAGTAATTTGTAATAAAGTTCTTTGTAATTCATGGTAATTGTAATACTATTATTCATAATTATCTCTTTCCAAATCAGTTAAAAAAGTATTTTTGGGTATCACATCAAAAGTTAAGAGCTTTTTATTTGGTATATGTAATATTCGAACTCAGGAAGAACTCTAGTTTCCAATTATATTCCATATCTTTAATGTCATGGCGATGCTTTTCAAGACAATAGTCCGATTGGCTCTATTTGTTGGTAGACTTTTCAATATAAGTACAGGGTACTTAAAGACGGGCCCAACAAACTCGCTGGGAAAAGCCAGACGCACATTCTCACAAACAGCGTGGAAGTACAAGTAGACTTTCTGCTGTCTCGCTTTTTGTTCGCTCTCTTCTTTTTAGCTGAATAGTGTAAATGACCTCTCGAGATAAAATTGTGGCCACAAAGCGAACGATGACAGGCCCGCTTTGTGGTCGTTGTTGTTGGTGTTGTCGTTGTTGTTGTTGTTGATGTTGTTGTTGGTGTTGTCGTTGGTGTTGCTGCAGAGTTGCAATTTCCTTTGCAGTTGCGGAAATAAGTTGTTGTTGTTTTTGGCAATTGACTGCGTTAAATCTGGTTTAAGACGCATAAAGTCGGCTATATACACGAAACATTGACCCAGTTAACTGGCTGCATTTAAATCATAAGCCTCAAACTGGTTGGGCAAGTAGTGGTGTATGTTCATATTAGGTCTACGAGGCGAGGTTAACCCATATTACTTCCACAGCGGAAATAAGAGTTTTTCTCAACATAAAGATAACTCGCTAATGCTGGCTTGGGAAATTCAGAGAGAGAGAAAGAGCATGGGCCGCAAAATCAACCTGAGGTCAGGACTGCAGATCGTGATGCGATCGGGGGAACTATTGCGGCAGTAGCCAAAGTCCAAATTACCAAATCGTGCAATAAAAACAAAAGCAGGAAAACAACAATTTCGCAAAGTAGCCCCAGAAGAAGAGCAAAAACCTTTTTCCCGGCCACAAATGTATACATATTTACAACGAGGGAACATTGGATAGTGAGAACTGGGGATTTGACTCCGACTCCGAAGGCAACCCGCATCAAAACTCGTTCAAATGTCAAGTTGGCGATGATGATGATGATGCCAGGGTGTTGTTCTTGTTATGTCTAATGATTATGCTGGATGCGTTTTAATTTCAACTACGCATAATTTTCCGCCCTATTTACTGCTGCCGTTCTCTTTGCGGCTCTATATCTGCGGTTTATCTGAGATTTCTGTTGAAACAAACGGAAGCTGCATTGCATGAGAAGGGAGGAAATTGGAAGGCACGAACGTGTGAATCCTATATGTACCGCTTACAGAAGGGTGCAAAATAATATACAAAAATTATCTTATTCCATGATTGAACGTGAAAGCTGCTTATCGAGCTTATTTAGATTATCCTTTTTATACCTTGCAGAGGGTATTATAATTTCAGTCAAAAGTTTGCAACGCAGTGAATGAGACATTTCCGACCCTATAAAGTATATATATTCTTGATCAGCATCACCAGGAGAGTCGATCAAGCCATGTCCGTCTGTCCGTCCGTCTGTCCGTCCGTCCGTTTCTACGCAAACTAGTCCCTCAGTTTTAAAGCTATCTGCTTGAAACTTTCCCAAAAGTTGTCTTTCTATTGCAGGTAGTATATAAGTCGGAACGAGCCGGATCGGGCTACTATATCATATAGCTGCCATATAACTGAACGATCGGAAAATCCATAACTTTGGTGTTTTTCAAGTTAGCAGGTTAGGAAGTTCTATGGGTTTTAGTTTTGGCTAATCAGTCTGACTTACCAAATTTCATAAGGATCGGACGACTATATCCTATAGCTGCCATATAACTGATTGATCGGAAATGCCATAACTTTGGTGTTTGTAAAGTTAGGAAGTTGGGATTTTTTATGAGTATTAAGAATGCATCATATAAATAATTTTGGAGAATATAATTTACAGAATATTCTTCAAGGGTATATCAACTTCGGCTCCGCCCGAAGTTAGCTTTCCTTTCTTGTTTCAAATGTTATCGAAAAAAAAACATCTACCTCTGCTTTTATTTTAAAGGACGAAAACTTAAGATCACAATTTTTCTGATCTTTAGTTTATTGTGCCCATCATTAAAAACTTTTGTTAATCAAAACATTATGTATAAATTGATTATTTTTATCAGAAAGGTTATTAGTCCTATTCTATTGCGTTGACCGCATCCGTATCTGTGTGTACATCTTTCATGCTGTGTTGCATGTTGCCTGTGTTTCTATTACAGGAAGTGACTTGACTGCCGGGAAGCAGGAGAGGGGCAAGTGTTGCAGACACTTTTGTCAAGGGCGACAGACAGACAGAGTTGCCGCCGTTAATTGCTCACCAAAAGATGTGAGCACACGCACCGCCATATCTGTCCCATTTGCATTTCCCCCCTTTTGTTCATTGTGTTGTTATGCGTAAATGCAGATGAACGACACTGGGGTGGACCAAACAACAACGTGTCGAAGTAATAACTCTGGGGACTTATCCCAAGCTAGGGTATACTCAACCCAGTTTGGCACATTCTCAGCTCGTTTAAAAATACTTACTGATAACTCAAACACAAAGGAAGTCTGGCCAATATTGGCGAGTCCCAAAAATGTTAAGATATGGAACAGGAACTGTGATAACAAGTTTTCAAACATTTTAAAAACAAATTATTTTTATTAAAAACGAATTAAAAGCGGTATAGTCCAGTTTCTTATCATCAAATAATTTCTGAGAAATGTATCAGAAATTTACATACAGTTTTGAACAAAGGACTTATTTTAATATATGTATATTAAAACAAAAGAAAACATTATTTTCACAAATAAAATATGGAGAATTCTTAATAAAACAAATTGGTATTAAATCAATTTACGCAGTTCAGTGGAAATGTCAACGAACTGAAAATAGACCTGAAAGTTCTAATTTCTCCTGCCCACCACTTTAATGCACTGCTGGAGACTTTCATATCCACTCCGCCTATATAAGTTCTGTTTTTCTTGGGTTTTGTTTTGTCCCATAAGTTCTGAGTGGGATTTGGTAAAACAAATAGTTTTACAGCTGCTTCGTGGATTTGTATTCCTCGAAAAATAGAGAGCGATTGCGGGAGAAGGTCTACAATGTCATGTTGGCTTTTAGCGGATTTATGTGGTCAGTTGGAAGGTAAGCGATACGTTGTTGCTGGCGAATTGTGCATCAGCAGCAGACCGTCATGACTTTACACTTTCACCAACAACTAAGAGTATCAACAGCTTGGACAACTATGGCCATCTGTGGTCAGCCAAGTGTCGAGATGTCTCGGCCCTTGGTCTGATCTTGGTCTTGGGGTCTTGGGTTTGGGGTCTGGGGTCTTGAGTGCCGGGGTCTGGTCTTTGTAATCCGGAGTTAGAAAAGCGTCGATCATCAAATGCGTCGAGTGGTTGCTCGGTGAAAAGAAAAGCGAAAAGAACGCATAAAACGATGATAATCAAAAGATCAAGTTTTTATATGAACGGAATCGACAACGTCACAAGCACAAAACTCACACATGTGCTCAAACATTCATGTTTATCTATGGTTTTCTATCTTTAGCGTCATCTGTGCTTTGCATTGCATTTTCTATTTGATGTTTCTGGGATTTGTGAGGGCATCTGCTTTAGCTCTCTCCCCCCACCGCTTCCCACCCACCTCCCCCTGCCACACCCACCGAGAGGCGTATGGCACGTCATTAACCCAAATTTTCTATGAATAAAATATAGCAACAAGGAAAACACTGAGTGTTTATGTTTGCGAGCTTGCGTTGGGAAATCTCTCTTTATTTCGTTTCTGTGGCTGCTAGATTTGAATTTAATTGAATAATTCGCAGCCCATTCGACTTGTTGTAAATTAGGCCAATTCATCGATAATTGAAACTGATAGGCATCCCACTTTGATAAGTTGCTTATCTAATCAGCGGCAGCAAAAGTGGCAGCGAAGAAGTGTAAACGCTTATTTGTTTTGCCCAACAAATGTGGAAATCGATCAATATCGATCGGAAGTTATCAGGCAACTGAAACTGTCCGAAAAAACTGAGAACCGAGAAAAGTGGAGCACAAAACACATTTCGCCACGCAAACGCCCACAAATCTGTAAACACCAAACTCGAGTGTTCTTTTTCACTGGCCGCTGGAAATAAACTTTCGGTATTTTGCGGCGTTTAATCGATTTGTGCATAAAATTATAAGTTTACACATGGCAAGGCAGCCGAAACAAAAATAAAATCGAGAACACATACATAGGCGGGGCACAGCTGGATGGAATTGTTTTCTCAACATAAATCAGATATTTTCCACACAAGAAACATTTTACGGATTACTCATTTAAATCTCTTATTAGCCTACACCTAAAGTTTTTAAATGATTTTCAAGCTAAATTCATTTATTAAAGTTTTAAGTATTAATTAAATAATAAAAAAACAAAATTTAATATTTAATTACTAATGATTTTTTTATGAAGAATTCCAAAACATAGTAAAATCGATAAGTGCTTTTTGTTTTGGATTCGTCTACAATCGTACTTTAAGATCTTCTTTACTTTCAAGACTAATTTTGAATCATGGCTGATATAAACGATGCAATCATTCTTAACTTACAAAGAACTCATCAGAATATACAAATATTTGACAGGCCAATGTTAAGGTGGGTAAATTTACGTTCACTTATTTTAACAAAAAATCCCAGAACCCGTACATTTTCTAAAATTAACACTAGAGCTCCCGCTTTTTGTCTATTTTTCTTGGCGTTTTGGCCATGGTAAATGGTTATTAATGATTAACCAGAGTGCCGTTAGCCGGCACATGTTACCCTGTACTTTATCATGTTTGTTATGTTCTTGTTAGCCGGTTCCATCAGCACGTTTTGTTCTGCTTCCTTCATGACAGCTTTGTGGCCATCAGCAAATGTGAATTTTCACTGCCTTTTTCTTGCCTTTCCAGTCTCGTTAGCATAAAAGTTGTTCACAGCTTTTGTTTTTTCATACATAAGAAAATGGCAGTCATTTACTCGGGCCGGGGAATTCCACAAGAATCTCGGTTTTGCTAATTTGCCAGCCCCACCAAAACTAATGTTCACTAAGTAGAAACGAGAATAGAAGGAAATCCGTTTTTGTGTCGCTTCTGGGGCTGAACTCTTGACATTTGCCCAAAGCAGCAATAAAGTTTGGGACTTTTTTAATGAGCTCTCTCCATACTCTTAAATCCGCGGGAATAATCGGCACGCAACCCGCTCCAATTAAAACCCCTCGGAGGCCACACTTGGGTTAGATTATACACGATTTTCATTAGGACAAACCCCAAAAATCGAAAGTGGTTACGAAAGATTCCGAAATCCAGACGTGGGGAGTGGGCGGGCAAACAGACTGGAGACTCGGATTCACGGCTTTGCACGGATTCATTCACACAACAAGATACGCCCATGCAGTTCACCAATCAAACGAAAACGAAAATCTTTTTGTGAGTGGGCAGAGTAGCAATAACAAAATTTCAAGTTGCAGTCCCAGCAACATGCTAAACAAATGCAGCCATTCAAGCTAAGTTGCTCTAAAGTTTTACAAGTTTTCAGCCGTTTTTCTTGTTTACCAATTGAAAACAGTTGGCGACTATAGTTAGATATCGGTCAAAAGGAACACCAAAAATAACCAGGCAACAAATAGGCAAACATCAGTGTCAGCGAAATGGTTAATCACTGTCCCCTAAATAATTTTCAGTTTTATGAATCGTACTTTATACTAAGAAGAAAAAATTCCTTATGTGAGATTTTTATCTCAAAAATAATGTCACTAACAATTTTTAATAAAATAAGGTTGCTTCTACCAAAAATAATCGAATAAATTATACAATGTTATTAAAAACTACACGACTACAAAAACAATAAACAAGGATGGGAGAGTAAGGAATGAATAGAATTGGACGATATGAATGAATTAAGAAGAAGACACAGAGCTAAAGCAAATTTGCACACCAAACAGTTTACGTGTTTTCTTTGTTTTGGCCATATTCCCGTGTTTAGAAAAGAACCAGAGCCTACCGTGTTGTTTCTATGCGACGAGGAGTGGGGTCGGTGAAGCGGCCTTTCTCCATAAAGATAAAATTATTTTTATTCACTGGTATTTGTTTTTCTCCTTTTATGCAGTTTTGTTTGCATTTTGTTAAGACGCAAGTTGCTGGTTTCTGTTTACTTAGCGTGGCAAGTTCACCGAAAAAAACTGCATCATGATTTTTTTTTCAATTTGAAGGATTTTTAAGATTTAATTTTATTTTGACAATTTTCATATTTAGTATGAATTTTTTAAATTGTAATAAAGATTTCAGTTCTAGATTGACGGTCCTTTGGTTTTTCTTCAAATTAGTACTGGACAATTCCAAAAATATCAACAAATATTCCTAAAATGTTTTTCTTCCTTCGTTTTAAAGTGTTTTTTAAAAAAAACTTTTTAATATAATATAAGGACCGATATAATTGTATTTTTCTCTGTGCAGGAGCAAGTTTTTTCCAATGCCCGACAGCTGTTTGCGGTTAATTTTATCTTTCTTTCTGTACCCCTTCTGCCGTTGTTTGTTGTTGTTGTGTTCTCTCGTTTTTGGCAATTGCACAGGTGCGGCAGGTTGGATGGTTTTCGGATTGGGTTACTCTACGCGAATCAGATAACCCAAGGCAGCCACTTTTTGGCCAGGCATCCCGGCGTACTTTCGAATCTGAGTACTACCATTTGTCTAGGCTATAGCGAATGCAACGCCAGCCAGGCATTCCGAGCATATCGCGTTATGAAGCAAGTCCGAAACAGCTCGTTTTTGTTGAAAAGTTCTGCACATTTGTTTATACAAATGTGCAAAAAAATAATCTCGAAACGTAAACAAAATCCAGGCATATTATTTCAATAATTAGGCTTATCTCCATTTAACATTACGCCGCGCACAAAAGTCGTTTGAAAGGTATGCAAAGAGAACAAAATCGAGCGATAAGAAAATAGGGAACAGGCAGAGGCGAATGGGAAATTCAAACTTTTAAACATTTATTCTGATGGGTGTCGACGTGCTGCTCTGGTTCCTGTTGCGATTATAAATTGAAAAGGAAACACAAAGCCACCCCACAAAAAGACGACCCAGGCGGAATTAAAAAAATTACCTCTTTCGAGATAAACAGAGTTCAGGTAACAATTCCAAAGAGAAGTCCCTGCACTTGCGCAATTACCGCGTAACTTCAAAAGGGGAGTTGTGCACAGAGAAAAGGCACACACGAAAATTTTATTTTGTCATTAAGTTGCTAACTTTTATTTGCATTTTAACACTACCTAGTTTCGGTTTTAGTAAAAGATTATTATAAATTTGGCACACAAAAAAAACATTAAAATATCAAGTCGATCTGAACCAAGCTTTAATCAAACTTTTCCATAATTTTCTCAAAAATGGCTCCACTGGGTATTAACAATGATCAATGAAACAAAAATGTAGAATTTTTTTAAAGTCCCAGAATAATATAAAACTATATTTAAAATAATTTTGCCCACTAAAATACTGTTTTGATTTGTAAATTTAAATTAAAAAGTTATATTTTTAGGAAGGGTAATAACTGTTGTATGTAATGGCAACTTTTTTTAATTCAATTATTTACTGTGTATAACGAATCCTGTTTGGATTGGCCGTGAAAGGAGTTTTTGGTTCTCACGACCGCCTGGAATGGACACTGGAAGTCCTTGGATCTGATTCCCAATGGAATGGAATCGGTCCAAACTTGTTGTTGGTGAACTGCAACGTCTTTCCTTCCCGCTCTACTGACCCCCCTGTTTTCTTACAACCCCTGATAATTGGCATTATTAGCTCACTCCCCACTCGATTCTTGGTTTATGTTGTTGTTCCACGAGCACCCTTGAAGGATACTTACAGTGCACTTTCGTCTGGAAAATATCCTAGGGCGACTTAAATGCAATCGTTTGTTTGATTTTTTCGGCCGACGATGCTGCAGACAATTAAGCGTTGTTCTTTCCTCCCCTGCTTCCCATCGTTCCCTTGCCGTTGTTGTTGTTGGTGTAGCATTGCATTTCCAGGCGGCAAAAGCGCACACAAAGGAGAGGAGCGGGTGTGTGTGTGGGGTGTGCTCTCCCGTTATCCCCCTCTCTCTATCACTTTATTTCTCTCACTCCTGCTTTCGTGTGCTTTGCGTTTGCTTTTGCTTTGCTTTGTTCAAATTCAAACAAACTACCCTGAAGAACCGTTGATCCTGGCTGCCTTGTTGTTGTTGTTATGTTTTCTGTTATGTTATACACTCACAGACACGCACACACACGCAGCCAGCAGACTTGCAGACAGACGCTTAATTTTCCGTTTTCCTCGGGAAATCGCATAGAATTATTCGCCGATTTTCGCACCGAGTTCGACACTTTTCCCCGCTTGTATTTCCGTAATGCAAAATTTTGTCGCGCACTTTTTGCCCGGTCAGACAACAGTTAGAAGTTTGGCGCTGCAACCGTTATTTTCGCCCCGCCTACGACTGATTTTCCGAGCGCATTTTCGATTTCCTTCGCTTCGAGTGGGCTAGTGGGCTTTCTAGCAGACAAACAAAAAACCGCGACCGAATCGTTCGAGAGTGTCCGAAAAACAATAGTGCTGGACAAACATCGATGCTAGCATCGATGTTTTAATAACATCGGTAATATCGATGTTTGGCATGTTGTCATCGAGGTTTTCCCTCCCACCACTGCAATGGTAATAAAATGGTGGTTGTACTCGTTAATTGCTGAGTAAGACTCCGCTAACTATCGGTGTATCCGTCAATGGTTGGTATATCCGCTAGTGATGCTACTACTGCTTGTAGTGGTTGTACTCGCTGAACGCAGAGGATTTATCCGTTAACGGGAAAATGTAAACCGTTAAAGTATAACCGTTCTGTAGTCGCTTTATTTGAAGTGAAATAACAGGGCGCGTATTTTAAAATTGAATTATACTTTAATCTTTCACAAAATACCAGAACTCATAAATAAAATTTAAATCAAAATTTGTTTCACTAACGTATGCTATCTATGCACACTAGTTTGCTCAATTTTAGACGGTATTCAAATATTTTAAATCTTTTTTTGTCCATGGCAAAAATCATTGTCGCTCAGTAACTACACATTTTTTAAATGTTAAAGGATTAAAAGAAATGATTGTGTCAGTCCAACATGACCAAAAAATGAAAAAAAAAACTAAAAAGGTAATAATTTATGGCGCCAAAGGATCGTATGCAATTTAAAAAAGCACAATGAATTAATGTAACAATTAAGGTATTTATTTGTTCATGTTGTTGAGCTTGGTGCAGTAGATTATAAAAGTCATCGTCAGCATTATCACACAAGTCCACAGCTTAAGGAAATCAACGAATTAAGTGCATATACAAATATAAAAACATCTTAAACGCTTTGTACAGTAAAGCAATACCGAAGCAAACAATACAAAATAGGCGTTACTCCTACAGAGGGAGCACTCTAAAGCTAATCCACCCGTTCCACACTGAGTTTGATGTCCGATTTGGGCATCAAGAGCAGTCTCCGGTTGTCGTACTCCATGGGAATCGTGGTCTCTGCACAGGGGGCATATCTGTGGTCCTTCAGCAGCGCCACCAGACCCACCAGCAGCTGCTGCTCCGCGAAGCGAGCGGCAATGCATCCCCGCAGGCCATCACCGAAAGGCAGGAAGGCAGCCGGGGGCCGGGATCGCTTGGCCTCTTCCTCGAACCGATCCGGATCGAATCGCTCGGGTTCCTCATAAACCTCCGGATCTCGGTGTATCGCCGCCGTGGGTATTAGCACACTATTGCCCCTTGCAATGACGAACACCGATCCGGACAGCTCGAATTCTTTGGTAGCGCGACGCAGCAGGAAGGGATACGGCGTGTGCAGGCGAAGCGTTTCTGCAAAGGAAGGGTAGCTTAATAGGGTGGTAATAGATCACCTTTAGAGCGCACCAAACTTCTGACAAAAGCCATAGCAACGGAAGGTCAGCCATCCTTACCATTTAGGACTTGCTTCGTAAATTTTAGCTCTCTAAGGCACTCCGGCGTCACTTGGCCACTGTGCTGCTCCAGCGTCTTTCTTATCTCGAGTCTGCATCGATCTTGCAGCTCTGGATGGCGGGCCAACTCGTAGAGGCAGAATCCCAGGGTGGCCTTCAGGGGACCCAAGCCCGCCAGAAGGAATCCAAAGGCCTGGGCCGCAATCTTTACGTCGTCGAGCGGCTGATCGGCATTTGAGTACAGCTGCAGGAAAGTCTGCAGCGGCTGGCGATCCCTCCGCCGATGTTCCTGCATTTGCGACAAGGCCACTTTTTGAAAGTAAGCCATCGCCGGCTCTGCGTAGCTTTTGTACTGCAGTAACCGAGCTATGAGCGGGAACTCCAGCGCCAGGTACGCCTGCCACAGCTTAAAGCCGCCCCAATAGTTGCGCGTCCACTTGGCAAACTCCTGGTGATCCTGGCCTCCCAATCCAAAGGCCATCGAAGCCATCACATCCATGCTGTAGACACCCACTAATTCGCTTATGTTGCGGGTTTGCTGGTTCTCCTTGCCCAGGTCGCATTGAATTCTCGCGGAGATTTGTGTCAGCGTGGGCAACAGTTTATGCATGTTGGTCGGAGTGAAAACCTCTGCAGATTTGGCGTGCAGGGAACGCCATTTGTGGCCATCCAGCTGCAGGAGATTAGCCGACAGCGGTTCTCCGCTGGGATTGCTGTAGAGACCTCGCGAAGTAAAGTGCCCCGCATCGGTGAAGATTATTTGGTGCACTAGCTTGAGGTCCAGCACTAAGATGAAGGGTTTGAGGCAGGCGTAGAAGCCCACAAAGGGCGCTTTGCCCTTGTACGCGGCATAGATTTCCCGCAGGGCGTCCTGGGCATGCCGCTTGCCGTTCACTACGCCCTTGATGTTTCCCCACAGGAACTTGGGCTTTTCGTGCAGAATCCCGCGTCGCTTCCAGTAGCCCAGGCTGATTTTGACCAGGGCGTAAAACACGGAAACTGCACCCAAGGCGGTGAGCAGCGCGCGATGAATCAGATCCATGCTCGCTCAGCTGTCTTTTTTCGGCTTCTTACGATAAATTCCAACTGTTTGCTAATTCTAACAGCTGGCAGTAGCTGTTTGTCGAGTATTTGAGTCTCAATGCCGCCGGCTTATCAGCGCCATTATCGGTCGGTTGGATTCAATAATTGATAATGTCCATTGGGCAGCAGCGGCTAAAATGGAAGAGAAACGTGGCTATGAGGCTACATGCAATACAATATGGGTAATCAAGGTGCTCAGCTGGTTTTATTGCTAGAATAAGTACGGAGAGGTGCCTCTACGGCTGCATTATGAGGCAGAGATTGTACGTGCTGGCGGGGAACTCGTCGACGGGTACCCAACGGACGTAGCCCTGATCGATTAACTGCTGCCGGGAGCTGGGCACGCCCTCGAAATGGGGATCCTAAAAAGGGAAGCAAGCGATGAGTTCACCAGGTCATAAAATGATTTAACTTCCTGACTCACCACCACCAAGAAGAAGATGTGACCCTCTGCACTGGAATGGTAGCCAATTATGGCCTTGGAGGATGTGTCACTCAGTCCTCCCATGGCGATGAAGCCCTGATAGTCCTCGAAATAGCTGCGAATCTGGGCGAGGACCTCCGGCGAGCTGAGCTCCGTGGCGTGCAGAATGCGACAGGGGAGCTGGTAGAGCACATCGATCACGTAGAACTCCTCCAGAGTGCCGATCCAGTCGCAAGAGCCCTCGAACTGGGCTCCCTTGTCGCCAAGGGCGACCAGGATCTGCTGGATCTCCCGGATGGAGGGCACAGGCTCATGTGCCTCCCGTCGTCGGCAGACCCACGAAATGGCCGACTGCAGAGTGCGGTAGCCACAGCCCCAGCCCGCATCCTGGTGGCCATCGCATCCGTAGTGGAAGTAACTGAAGCCACCGCGGATACCAAGCGTCTCGCCGCCCTCGGTGGGCGGGGCGAGAGTCTTTTGCGGATCATCCAGCAGTGGATAGGCATAGTCCTTTGGAAGAATTTTCAAGGACGCGGAGGTGGACTTGGAATTCTCGCAATCCGCTGCACAATTTTCCGTCGCCATAGTATTTGTTTGTTTGTTTTGGATACTGGGAAATTTGATAGCCTACGCCTTTTGCACCTGTTCCTTTTCTGTTTATTTACCTTGCGCAGCTTTAATTTGTTTTGTGAAAGTGAAATCGCAGCAGAGAAATTGGAATGTTTTTTTCGATGTCTAGAGATGACACATTGTGGTGTGTCATGCACAGTCATTCATAACAAATAATACGAAAATGCAATCAAAATTAATATTAAAGAATATAATCCATATTATCTAAGGACTTTACCCATATATATAAATATGGTTTTATATTTTTAAGAAATGAAGATTAATTATTATGGCTTACTCAGGCAGACCATCCTTAACCCTCTTATCGAAGTATCGATAACAACCAGCTTTTGGCGCCCTCAATTCAAATTTCATAACAAATCCAACTGGTTTTCTCTTATTACTCATGCATTTCAAATTTTATTTGAATTATTAAATGTACATTATTGTGTTTAGAATTCATAAATATGTATGTTTTCTGGTGAACGTGTGTATGTGGGTGTTTCAACGCTTTATATATTAACACCATTTCTCTTGAATTGTGCTCTTTTAATTTATAGTTTTTGGTGACCAAACGGTTTAGTACATCGTATTTAATAATTGGTAAAATTGGTAGTACTCTACGACTACGCTTTGTAAAATTTGCATACTTTCATTATTGAGTTTCAACTATTTTCGGATTGCTGATTGTTACTGAGTTGCAGTTTTGTTAATGTTTAAAAGTTAGCTTAAAAATGCATTGGATAACTTCGCTGAGTTTTACAATAAATAGATGGTGTTTGCAATGTGTGTCTGTGCACCAATTAAAATACCTAAATTACATTGTGCGCTTAAATGATTTGTTATCTTTTCGTTTTTGGTGTGTGCCAGCAACGGTTTGTTTAAAAGGATTTGAATAAAAATTATAAGTACAATACATAAAATACATTTATTAAATATATTTAGCGATATCACCACGATTTGTTGTTATTGTGCTCTTAAAAATCATGTAACAGAAAAGATTAATATGCTAAATTATTATTAATATTATATTTATACGTATATGTTATGTATATTATAAATATTTATACGATTTGTATCCTCCTCCCTCTCTCTATCGGATTTCTCTCATAAATGCAGTCAAAATACGCTTGCGTCTAAAAAATACATTCCGCTCTTCTCGTGTTCGCGTGTTTAAGTGTGCTTAAGTTCTGCAACTGCACTTACATCTTACCAAACTACAGTCAAGTCTACATCTGGATCGTTGCTCTAAGGTGAAAACTACAATTTTCGGTTTTGAGTGTGTGGGTGGGCTGATTTTTAAAAAGAACATGGAATAAAAGGAGCAAAAGGTTATCTTTGGCTGATACTGTGGTATAACATCAGTTCTAAAACTCCATAAACTTGTTATTTTTACAATTCAATAAAAATTGTTCTAGTCGATAAAACAAACATTATGTTTATGAACCATACAAATTATTTTCGAAAAGCTACCTTTCTTTTCTTTTAGGGGAATAGGTAAAGAAAAATAGCAAAGCATTGTCCAAAGATAATTGTTCGCCCCTAAGTATATTTATGTTAATTTGCAACCGTACAAATCGACCCATCCTACTGTGAGGCATCCTGCGGTGCTGGGATAAATGCAATGACACGCCCCCGTTTCCCTTACAAGGTGCAGTACTCGGTGAGAATGGGAATAGACTTCAGCAGCTCGTTGATGTTGTGCTGGTCCAGATGCGCCACCAGCTGCTCGGAAGACTTAAGCAGGTTCACGCAGTTCTGCAGGTTCTCGACTATCTCCTTGGTCATGGTGTCCGACGACTTGCTGATGAGCTCAGCCAGCTTTTTGCCCACCTCGCACTTGACCAGCTCGTCCTGCAGCCGCTGAGCCTGCGCAGCCTCGTTCGCCTGGGACAGGTAGACCACGGATAGGATGCACAGAGCGATCAGCGCTTCGTTCTGCATCACCAGGTGCTGGGCAGTGAGCATGCTGACCATGGCCTCCACGGTGCCCTCGTTGGCGAGGAACTCGCTCAAACTGCTGCGATCGTAGTCCTGGGTAAGCGGAATCCTGTCGGCAATCTGCTCGGCGGGTGCATCTCCCTTGCGCGGAAGGGCGTAGGCGATCTTGGTAAGGTAGGCGTGCTTAATTAGCCAGGCCATGAGGCGCAGAGACTCCCCGGTGACGCCCGCATAGTCCGACGATTTGCTCCAGTGCACCAGCTGCTCGATCAACGTCTTGTTCTTCAGCAGCTCCAGAGCGAGTTTCTCTGGAAAAACATATGTTGTCAGAGATGCGGATCGCGTGCGGTTTTCTTCCACCACTCACCCTGTCCATCGACGGTCATGCGAAGCGTGCCCAGTAGCTTGAAGACAACGGGTGGCTGATGGATCTCTAGCATCGGCAGAATGGTCTGCACCAGGCCCGCCTGGATCACCGCGTTCTTGTTCGGCTTCGGGATTACCAGGTTGCGCAGCGCGGAGAGGAGAGCGTGCTGCAGACGCACGTCGTCCCTGACGCCGTTGTTCTTGGCCAAAACTTCGAGCAGCTTGTTCATGGTCTGCTGCTCCACAAAGTAGATGCAGTGACTATCGGTGCGCGCAAAGTTGCCCAGGGCCAGCACTCCGGTGGTCAGCAGATCGATGTCCGACGAGTCCAGCCAGTCGACCATGTTCTTCAGCAGTGGTGTTGTGTAAAGATAGTGCATTGAGTCATCTGGAACAATCATAGAGCAATCAGTTTATCATATACGCATATAATCTTCCACCTACGTTAGGTTTTAGATCCAGACATTTTAAAAAGAAAGATATTTAAGTATTATCAAAATCGAAATACTTTTAAAAATATTTCAGTTTTAAACGGTCAGTGGAAATAGTTATTAACGGCTGTTAATTTTTCAATTATTAAGTTTTCAACGTTATTAATTAATTGCTATTTTATTTATATTTTAGGTAAAGCAATTAAAAAACTACCAAGTGAAACTTACCACCCGTGAGGATTAATACGATGAGCTCGCAGGCGAGCTTCATTAGCGCCCTGGCCTCACTTGTGCTGGCCAGGGTTTTGTACTTCTCCAGCAGGTTGTAAATGGTTTCGCACAGGCCGTCCTTGGCCAGAATCAGCTTGACCTCGTCGCTTTCGGCCTGGTAGTGGAGCAGCTCCAGGCACATCTCGGCAAGATCGGGGTTTGTGGAAGCGGCTAGGATGCGCGACAGTGCGATGTTCAGGGAAGAGTCAAAGTTAAGATCCGCCACGTTCTCGGTGAGTATGCTTAGCAGAGGCAGCGTGTTCAGCAGCAGATCCTCGTGTTGTTCCACATTGGAGGTGCCGGTGTCGATGATGCTCTGTAGCTTCTTCATCACGCCCAGCTCCATGGCCCGCTTGGCCAGGCCCTCGCCGCCGAGCAGATAGTTGGACAGCAGACCACCCCGAACCTTGATGAACTGCGCCGCATTGGCCACGTCCTCGATGCTGGCGATGTCAAGCAGACGCAGCAGAACAGCATCGCCCTCCAGCTCCAAAATCAGATCCCTGGCCTCGTCGTTCAAGTAGCAGATGTTCCCCAGAGCCCGACAAATCTGAATGGGCAGCTCCATGCTGCCATCGGGCGTGGGCACATGGCGCAAGCACTCGAGAAAAGCGGCTATTATGTCCCGCTTGGTGAACTTCTTGCGCTGCACCTCCGACTTGGTGATCTCCGCAATGCATTTGGCCGCCTCCTTGCGCACATTCGTGTCATCGCACTTGGTGAGGCCCAGGAAACAGTCCGCAAGCTCGTGCTTGTCGAACAGCTTGGGATCCTTGGTGGCCGAGATCTCGCAGAGCAGGTTCGTCGTGTTTGCCGGACTGACGCTGGTCGTCTTCAGCTTCTCGATGAGCTCGTCGATTTCAGCTGAGAAAGACGATAAAGAAAAGGAAATGGTAACTAAGAAAAAGGTTTTAACAGTTTCTTAAACTATTCCTAATATCTTTTAATTTAACTTTATCTAATTTGTATGAAAATGTGTCGTTTCTTTAAGTATGTATAAGGTATAACATTCAAACGGTTCCATTTCAAGAAACACGCAATCCACCAATCAATCTATTCACTGGATCTATTGAGCACCGCAAAATTGATTGCCAATTTCGATTATCGTTGCTGCCACGGTCGAAGTGAAGACAAATGGTTTTAAAGAGAGTTATGGTATGAGAGGTGGGTCCCAAGCCAAAACTTTCCTTACTTCTTTGGATTGAAAGGTATTTTTTGTGTTTCTTGCTTTACTACTTAGAACCGTCTTTGAACCATTAGAATCTACTTTGTGGAAATGCTCAAGAAAACTCTGAAAGCGTGTGCCACATTAAAGGTTCATTTCTCCTCCCAAACAGATGGCTAGGATTATAAAAGGACCCAAGATGGGCAGCGATTTGCATAAGTCCTTGCCACGGACAAAGGAAAAGAAAAACTGGTAAACAATCGGGATTTAATGTATTGTAATGATGGAGGTTTAGGCCTCCGAAGAAATCAGGAAATCATTCAAGCATGGAATATAAATACATAGTTATTTAGTTCCAAAAATAAAGAATTGATTGTATGAATTAAATTTAAGTCTATATTACCTATAAATAATTTAACTTCAGTTGACTATTTAAAATATAATAAAAATGATTGGAAAAGTAATGGAATTTGTCTATTCTTTTTGAAATCTTAATAAGCATTAAAAGCATTTACGAAAAACAAGAAAAATCTCAGTATTTGTATACAGTTTCAAGCCATTTTTTGTTGTACACAAAATAGGTGAACCCAATAAATTGGTTTATATTTAAATTTTACATTTTCTGCTTTAAGCCAGGGCCTAGAGTCTCGCTTTATGGCCGACATTATCACAATATTATTATTTCAGTCAGACCTTTTTTGCCGCCAAGCACACATGCTGAAAAATACATTCCGATAAGGCACTCCAGCAGGACGAAGGACGAAGGGCAAGGGCCAGACTCCGGCACTCGACAACTGGCGACAGTTGGTGGCAACATCAACAGCAACAGCAACAGTGGCGGCAACATTGAGTGGACTGGGGTTGGCAATTCAACAAACTTTGTGGAGCATAAATAATGAATAAGTGAAACAAAAAGCAAAAAGAACCCTTCAACTGGTCGGGCAGCCACCATCATCAACATTCACATCATCAGCGGTGTCAGCATCCACGATTTGGCATAGAAACAGCAACAAAGGGCGCAATAGCAGCCGGCAAAACATCCTGCACAAGAGCAATTACAACAACAGCAAACTAACTCGCAGACAAGTTGCACTTAGAAATGTAACCCCAACTCTAAGGAACACAAGTGGAAACGTGACAATCGACCTTGTTCCGACTTCGAGATACCTTGAAATAGGTATTTTTATTATTTTACTGGACAATATATAAAATAGTTCTATTGAATTCATAAACCTATAATAAAATCCTTTACATTTTTCAGATAAAAAAGGAAAATTTAAATCCGCGTGAGCATAGGAAAGTACTGCGTCGGCAATTCATTTTCCTTAGCATTAAACAATCTCGGTTTTTTTAAAAACTTTTTTGCGGTGTGGCTTGCAAAATAAATAAACTAATTTTTACTTTCAAGGACAAATGATTGATGTGTTCAATAATTATACCCATTAAATAACATTTCATGAGTGGGCAAATATCTATATAATGAACTGTTATGGTCGAGTAACTTATCTCCTACAATCAACATAAAATAAAAAGCAAAAGTGATGGTCAATATGTCGACTTTTATAAATCTAGGTGTCAGACCTAATTCAACCCTTTAGATATATTTTCACGAACACAATATACCTTAAAACCTAAAAGTACCCAGTGTCGATGCATCTGCATATTCCGGTATAGGCATTTGTTTGACCCTCCGCAGCTGACTGAATGCAATTGGACAGGTGGCAGAGTCGCGTCGCCCATTGGAGTGACAGGTTGACGAGGGTGAGGATGAGGGATATAGAGATGCAGGAGGACAGGTGCAGTGGCGGTGGTAGCTTCGCTTCCGTCTGAGGGAGCTGGCAGGAGGTGGGCCAACTCCTTTAATGCGTCTCGGTTGCTGCCTCACCGCCTTTTGCGTGCCTTCGAATGTTTGCTTTGGTAACTGGTACTCGTTGGTATTCAGAGTATGCCATTCGTCCATCCATCCATCCATTCCGTTCGAGTTTCGTGGCAAGTTCGTTAGCTTTTCGTTGCGGAAGCAGGCTTCGTTCGAGGCATTTATTCGCTTGAATTTCTGGGGCAATTGCTTTATTTTATTTTCGTATTTTCCTTCTTTTTTTTTTTGGTGGTGGAGGGAATTTGGCCTGCGTTTCATTTCCAGTTCGCTGTGGTATTTTGTTTTCTCCATTAAACGATACACTGACTTTGGCCACATACAAAAATAGCAAACGGCACAAAAATAAGAAAAAACTAGTGCAAAACTTTTTTTTATTTATTTTTTTTGGCCATTGCATGTTTGATTCTTGTGCAATTTGTGTTGTGTTAAAGTCGGTTTCAGTTGTATTGTTGCTTTTTGGGCCTTCTGCAACCCACAAAATTTGGGAAATGTGGGTTAAGTGGGAGGCAGAGACTTGGCACCAAAAATGGGAGTCATGGGAACCGGCGCATTTAACTTAATGCTTTTTTTGGATGAATAACAGGTGATGTAACGAAAGTCGTAAGTACGGTATATACTTGCGATTGAGCGCCAGGGATTAAATTATAATTTCACCATAACTGTCACAAACATTAGATAACCAATAAATGGGGGTCTTTTTAATACAATGGCGGTGTAATAATAAATATATACAAATGATTGATGCCACCTATGCATTATACCATGGCCAATAACATAAATAAATTATTAGAAAGCAAACATAGTAAAAGGATGTAAATAAATTAAAAGTCTGGTTGATTTCTAATTAAACAACGTTTGAGATTTTTATAAACTTTTGTTTTATTTCCACACAGAGCCATTTCTAGCAATAAAAAACTTGACACAAATACCCTCACACCTATTCCTGCTTTAAATGAGGCTCTCGGATAGACCGATTCTCCAGTTGCAGTGGACTGTTGCCAGATTTTCCCAGTTTGAGCAGCGCCTGGCAGGCCGGAGTGGGCATCTGGCTGGCATGTTGAAGCAGCTTTTGATTGTTTCCCTGCCTCGCCCTTAGCAGCAATGTTTCCCCTGGAAGGAGAAGTAGTTAAATATCTCTGGGATTTGTTGGAGTTCTGGTCAAACTCACGCAAAGTTCGCTCTTGCTTGCACTTCTGCTTGAGATCAGAGATGAAAACCTGCTCGATTTCCGATTCCAGATTGACTAACTGCTGTTCTGTGTATTTCGCCAGACTCTTTGGATCGATATAGTAGGTTATGTGATTCGATTGAGTGACGCTACGAAAACTGTGGGTTCTGAAGAAGATGGGGATGGCTTTTAATAGTAACCTCAGCACCCGAGTGAGCCTGGAACTCACCTGGTTTGCGTGAAACTGTAAGCAGGTGTGGCTGCTATATAGTGCATGATGATGAACAGGAAAACCAGAGCAGCCACCACTCCGATTACGAGTTGCTCAGTTTGGTAGAGTGACTGACGCTGGGGCATCCGCTGATTGGCCGCCTGATACGGCCTTCGATGATCAGTCCCCAGATCAGCCTGGTCCTCCTCATTGCACCCACTACCACCCGGGTAATCCTCGTACTCAGAGCGATCCACTGCCGTCGCTATGTTATACTCGATCCGCTTCTGGCAATCCGTAAGGCAGTCTGCAGCCTCGCTGATCCGACGGAAGGCCTGCTCCGCTCCCGGCGACCTGTTCTTGTCCGGATGGAGGCGCAGGGCCAGCTTGTGGTAGGCCCGCTTCACCTCCGAGTAGGTGGCGTGGTGCGAGACGCGCAGCACTTCGTAGTGGTTGCGGCACCGAAGCACCTTCTGCACCACGTCCAGCATCTCGAGCGTGAATACGTTGGGCAGGGCATCGGACTGGCGAGTTGGACCGATCGTCCGCTGGGCCTCGCCCTTTAGTCGCAACCTTACGACGATGTTCTTCAGCTCCAGCAGAGCCATAATCTCCCCGTGGTCCCGTTTGTCTTCCAGATCCTTGTTGATCCGGAACAGAGCCTGCTCGTAGTCTCCCAGGCAAAGGTCACTCACGACCTGGTCGACGCACTGTCGCCTCCGTTGCCGGATTCCCATTGCGGTGGTGTCCTCTTCTGGTTTCTGGTCCTTTTTCCTTTTTCCTCCTTCCCAGCAGCGTGAGTAGACAAAAAGTATTCGTTTTTCTTTGTTCGTATGCAAACTTTTAATTTTGGTTGGTGGTTTTAGGGACAATTCTGGATAAAGCGAGACCCAGCAGAATAGTAGACAAAGCAAAGTGTTCATGTGGTGGGCGTGTCAACCAAAGTGTTCAGGTTGGTGCATGTACATTTGTTCTGGGAGAGCTACAATACCAAATTAAATTTTTTTTTGCCCATTTATTTTTACTATTCAAAACAAATATGAATAGTAGAAACAAGTCAACTAAAGTTTTTCAAGCAGAATGTAGTTATACCATATAAAGATTTCGTTGTCGGATAGAAAATATATTCAATTAAGATTTGTATTATAATAAGCCCGATTTAAAAGGATAAAAATGTTTTCACATTCGCTTTGCCAGCGCCTTAACTTTAAAGCAGATAAACTCAAAGTTTTCACACAAGTTGTTCAGCTCTACAGCCACTTGAAGTAAGTTAAGTAAATTTCGGTCGATTGGGGATTCCCCTTAAAATAGCAACCCTCTTGTGGCCCCAAGAAGTATGCTTCACAACTTGTCATAGGGACATAACCTTCTCCAAAAGACTCGAAAGTTAATTGAAATTAATTTCTATGCCAATTTGAATAGGGCACGAACTCAATTAAAACAGAGCTCGGCCACCCCCACGCTTTCATCAATCCTCCCGCACTTCCCCACTCATTCATTCATTCTCAAGGCCATTAGGAGGGCCAAAATCTTATTAGCAGTAAAAAGAATAAAGCGAGTGGAAGCGAGGGTGAAGGGAAGTCACAAGTCACACAGCTAGATGAGGCAAATGAAGCAACGACGCCGGAATACGCAAAAAGGAGGTGGAAAAGGGCAATAAATTCCTGGCTGGGTAAACTACAATAACAGCCAGCTAATCTGGGTAAGCTGCGTGGAACGAATGAAAAAAGCCCAAAATAATAATAATAACAATAAAGAGGCAGCAGCTACAGAGGCCGATGAAGGGGAGCGGCCTGTTTTTATACCCTTGCAGAGGGTATTATAATTTCAGTCAAAAGTTTGCAACGCAGTGAAGGAGACATTTCCGACCCTATAAAGTATATATATTCTTGATCAGGATCACCTCCTGAGTTGATATAGCCATGTCCGTCTGTCCGTCTGTCCGTCTGTCCGTCTGTCCGTCCGTCCGTTTCTACGCAAACTAGTCCCTCAGTTTTAAAGCTATCTGCTCGAAACTTTCCCAAAAGTTGTCTTTCTATTGCAGGTAGTATATAAGTCGGAACGAGCCGGATCGGGCGACTATATCATATAGCTGCCATATAACTGAACGATCGGAAAAGCCATAACTTTGGTGTTTTTAAAGATAAGAAGTTGGGACTTTCTATGGGTTTTATTTTTGGCCAATCAATCCGACATACCGAATTTCATAAGGATCGGCCGACTATATCTTATAGCTGCCATATAACTGATTGATCGGAAGTGCCATAACTTTGGTGTTTGTAAAGTTAAGAAGTTGGGATTTTCTATGGGTTTTATTTTTGGCCAATCAATCCGACGTACCAAATTTCATAAGGATCGGCCGACTATATCCTATAGCTGCCATATAACTGAACAATTGGAAATGCCATAACTTTGGTGTTTTTAAAGTTAGGAAGTTGGGATTTTTTATGAGTATTAAGAATGCATCATATGAATAATATTGGAGAATATAATTTACAGAGTATTCTGCAAGGGTATATCAACTTCGGCTCCGCCCGAAGTTAGCTTTCCTTTCTTGTTGGCAACTGATATCGGCCTTATCAGGATGCGAGCTTTGGGGTTGATGGAAGCTACAGCCGAAGGGACGGCAGTCAAATTGTGCCAAAGACGCCAGGCCAAAGCGTCGACAAAATGCAGTCACAAAGGACCAATTAAAGTCCAAAGTGACTGAGCCACGGGGAGGACGTGGCAAACATCCCGCAACTGGGAACTGCACAGGGAAGAAAGTCCAGAAAAAGTGTCAAAAATAATACGAAAGCGATATTTCTGAGGGTTAAACCTCTTGTTGACCCCTCGTCATAATGGACATTTGCCAAAGCTCCAATGTAAATATGTTTTATTTAAACAAGTAAGAATGTTTTAGGGATATCTAATATTATGGCCGATATTATAATACCACTTGCAGACCTTCAAAGATGTTGCGTTTCTGTTATTGATCTCCCAGAAATCAACATTTAATTGCCTGCAGTTAATAATTGATTAAATAATTAAGAGTAAACTCCTTAGTTTGCAAACACTTTCTTAAGGACAACTATTTTGCTATTGGCGTGTATTAAGGGCATCGACTTTGAAATCTTCAGAAATCCAAATCTTTGTCTACAAAATGAATGCTTAAATGTTTTATTTTGTATCTCTAATTTTGAATAAGAAATACAATATAAGCTTGTACCTTCTTATACCGGGTATATAAATATGTTACGGATCCATAAGCATATTTTGTTTTCAGTGTGGCAATGGGTCTCGCTACGATGGGCGCAGCTGGTGGGTTAGTAAGGGGTTTGGGATGCACTGCCGCTCCTGCAAAGGGGGAAGTTTTAAGGGCCGGGATTGCCAGCACGTTCAAGTGCTGTTTGTTGTCGTTCGGCACAGGTTCCCCCTCGGGAAAGGGTATATACAAACAGTACAGTCTGTGAGCAGTGCGTGTTTGTGTTGATTCAATGCAGTGACATTTGAAAACTAAGAAGTTTAGAGACTTGTTTACATTAAGCGATTCACATCGGTGACTGACCTAAATATACACATGCACCAGGCGTGTATATACATAATTACTTAAATATACAATGGTTATAATTCCATTTAAACAAAACATAAAATGGTTCCTGTTGATTTTGGAACTGACCTTTTAAGACACAATGATTTATATAAATTCACCTTTGGAAAAATAGTATTCAGCGTATTAATTTGAAAAAAATTCTAAACGACAGGACCTTGTTTTTGCGACCAGACTCAGATGTTCTTAAGTAAATTTTATATGTTGTTTAGTATTATTTATCGAAAATAAAAATTTAAACTTCTTCAAACTACTTTCTTAGGGATTTAATTCATTTTAGAGCCCATTATGAATCAACAGAATTATCACAATCTAAAGTAGACGGAAATACTGTTTCTGCTGTGATTTGCAGTTTTAAGATATGAAATCATCTGAATCATATTATTCAAATAAATCGCACCATAAAACAAGGCTAGAGAAATTGTGGTCCACACTGTGGATTTGAGACAAGGTTTAATCTTTTTACGTACTACGTAGATATTTATTTATTTAAAAAGCTGTTTAAATTGTAAATCTATTGCAATTAAATGTTTCTCTTAAAAGAAAATCGGATTTTAGTGTTAGGCAAAGAAATTAACAGCTCAAAATCATATTAAAATTGTCAGATCGAATAGATGTTTAAATTTTATTATATTTGAGATTTTTGTTTAATCGAGATGAACTTTACATTTTGATGAGCATTTTACAAAAACTCTGTTCAGCTGCACAATGATTATTTCCCTTTCTCAAGTAATATTTCATTGAAATCAGATTAATTGAAATGCTGTTATTTTTATCTCGTCCAAAATTATATTTTAAATAACAAAAATGATTTTTTCTTGTGTATTTCTTTTGAGTTTTGTTTGCTATGTCACCCCCGGGGGGATAAAATGAATTGAGGACTGTGGGGAGAGTGTTGAGACACGCCGGTAAACCTGGCACCTCGCAGGAGGCATATTCTCATTTATTAATGCGTCGTCACTGCTGTTCCCAGTTCCCATTCCCCAATCCCCGTACCCCGTCGCCGGCCAAATCCTGCGGTGGAGTGGGGTGGCTTGGGTGGATGGTTTGTGCCAAACGGTGGTGGCCAATGCTTCGACCGCACTTGATTCCCGCCAGAATTGCCGGGGCCATTAAAGGATAAAAAGCGGGATTTCTGATTGGGAAGTAGTGACCCAGCTGGCTGTGATAACCAAGTGTATGCAGCAGGGCATCGGCCTAATCCGATCGGCCCACTGTGCAAGAGAGAAGCGTAAATATTGATTTTTCTCACATGTCTCCGGCAAACACACACATCTCGTCTAGGGAGCCGTAAAGCCCCCTCCCCTCCTCCGGAATAACTCCCCCCGACAAGTTCGAGCACCTGGCAGCGATTTTGAAGTCTTCGCAGCTCGTAAACGCTGCACTGCACCCATAAAATGCCGCACATAGGCACACATAAATGACTCGCATGAGTTGCATTTGTTTATATTACGAAAAAAGAAATCCGGAGTCTGTTGTATGTGATATGTAGTGCGCTATAAAGCGAAGAAATACCCCGATGTTACTCACTCGCCATGTTTGCCGCCTTTGTTGATTGTTTCGCTGCTACTTCTTCCGCTCCGTCACTTTTTTTTTGTTCTACGGTCGCGTTTTAGGCACGTTGTATCACTTGTTAACTGGTTAACTGATGGGCTAATGGCTGCTCGTCGCAATAACTGAACACATTTCACGGCTTTTTTCTCGCGTCTCCGTACAATTTCCGCAACGTCCGTTTTTCCGTATTTCCCGAATTTCCCGAATCGCGTCCACACGTTCACCCGCACCTAGAGGTGGAGAAACTTCGATGCCCTCATCGCCGTCATCGATGTTTTCAAAATATCAGTGATATCGATATTTAGCCGGGCACCATCGAGTTTCTTCCATCTTAACGAGCTTCGGAAATCCGTCTTCAGTTCTTGCGCACTGTTAAGGATTCTACTACTGTTAACGCTTTCACTCCTTTCATTCCAATTATTCGAAAATTAAAAAAAAAGGTCACACCAAAGAATATTACTCCAGTTTTTAAACTTCCTATTACTTTCCCTTACTTTTAGTTTAATTGCAGGAATTATAGTTAATATGAAAACATAAATTATAATAAGATTGAGAGAATAAACGATTTAAATAAATGTATTGGGCTTCTTTGCAGACCAACGATATGGCAGTACTTTTCGAGCTCTGGTATCCGTAAACCATCTATAAGTCTCTATATTGGGGACGATTTTAATTTACTATATGTACTCTGCTTATGAATTATTAATTTATAAAAACAACTTGTTTATATACAGTATCGAAACTAGCTTTTTTCTAGCTAAATCGATAGATGGCAGTATAATCGGTAGGTGGCAACACTGGTTGGCACATCCCAGTCACACAACAAATTGTTTACCACAAAAAACCGTGCTGAAGTTGATAAAAAACAACGTGCAGCAAGCCACCGACCATTTGCAGTGAACCACTAGACGCCCGCCAAGAGTTTTCCGTAGCGGTGTCCACCCAATTTTCCTCGCATTGCCGGAACCACATCATTCCATTTGGGGAGCCCCTCGGTCGTTCGGTTGTTCACAAACGCTTATAAAATTGGCAAGATAACTAAGCAGAGCACAAAGATGCCGCCAGCATCAGCGGTGAACAATAGCAACGCGGCCGCCCAAGCGGCAAAGGCCGAAAGGGCGGAGAAGCTGCGTGGAGCCCTGAAGGGCTTCATAGTCTCAGACCGTCAGCGACGTCAGGAGGAGTTTGAGGCGCAGTGCGAGGAGCAGAGGCTGCGGCAGGAGCGCGAGGAAGTGGAGCGCCAGAACCAAGAGGCCCTGGATGACACACGTGGTCAGATCACGCGACTGGACGAGCAGCTGGCCGATCTGCACAGCCAGAAGCACCAGCTCACCGTCCAGTTAAAAAAGGTCCTGAACGAAGATGAAACACGGAAGAAGCTGGCCAAGGAGAACGAGCTATTCGCCATCCAACAGGCGGCGGCCAGCGTGGCCAGTGGTCCGGTCTTTCTGCCGCCCCTGCGCCTCCAGCATCAACACCACCCGTTGATGCAGAAGGTCCGTCATCTGTGATTGTCGACTCCAGTTTTTAATGGTCTGATTTACCCCACAGCCCACATCCGGTGGACAGCCAGGAAAACGGGGCCGGAGTCCTTCGCCGCCGAGTCAGCAGCAAGCTTACTACAAGAGCGCTGCCAGCTACGCCCAGCAGAGTAAGCCAGGACGAGCTCGAGGATGTGCCCCTTGGGGCTCCAATACAGTGAACGCTGCCAAAGGCCAACGTTCGAAAGTCGCAGACAGAAGCAATCACTCCCGGTTGGATTTCTATAACTCAAACATTGCCCATAGTCACAGAATAAGTAGTAATTGAATGCTAGTTATTCAGATTCCAATCGCATTAGGGCACAGGCATTTTTTTTACTGAATTCTATAACAAGCTTTTAATATTTTCTTGTTTTAAAGATTGTCATAATATTCAGAAGGCCAGTTTGGGTTTACTTGACTTTAAATGCAAGTTTTATTACAGATTACAAATAAGGCCCCAGACATTTCAATGAACCAATACAGGCATAGGCAACATTCACGGTATTATATTGTTTTTGACGTTAATCGCAAACCATCCTATGTTTCTTTAAATGTTCTAGGATTATCAAACTTTCATAACAATCTATATAATTAGCAGTGTACGGTTTTCACTTTAAAATGTCTTACTCAAACTCAATTTTAGCCAAATGTTAAAACGCTATTAAAAGTATTTTCTTAGGATAAAATAAACAACTAATAACCGCATATAAATAACTTTGCAAATACTACAATAATTTAAGAAAATTTTAACCTATAAATGTAGTATTAAACAAAATCTTTGCGGCAAAAACTAAGTTATATTGGTTGCCAAATACTTTTTGTCAATGTGCAACGGTTTGCTACTAGTTTGAGTTATTGAAATCCGACTGAAAACTATTGTTACTTTACACTGATATAAAATCACCCGTTAATCTGCTCCGCGGAGCTTTCACTGTATTTGATTAACTGCTCGCTAACACCCCGCCCCGCTCATGAGAAACTCATTTGACTGCGCACACTAACGTCTAACAACACAGGCACACAACTTATGTTCATTTCGTTATTTGTTTACGATCGATTCGCAGAACACGATGACTACCGTCGTGCCGCGGACTATGCTAGATTATCATGGAACAGTAAGCACCTCACTCGCAATACCAACTCCGAGATCCTCCGCCGGAACGATCGCAGCCAAGATCCCCCAATGAACCCCCGATTTCCCTCTCTTCCAGAGACCACGGCACAGTATCCGGGCACGAACACGGTCTTTTATCAGACGGCTCCAGCTCCGCCCACGACGTCCATCTACAACTACAACCTTCCCTTGCGCCAAGCATACCACGTGGAGCTGCCCAGCGCCACGGTCAGCAAGCCACCAGACTCGCAGTCCCCCAAGGCGCCCTCGCAGCCAATGCAGGTCCTCCACATTAATCTCGACCAGCCGGCCATTTCGCAGGCAGACCTGGTGGCCCAAGCGGGCGGCAGCATCTCGGTGAAGACCTCTCAGCCGCAGGTGACCATGGAGAAGCTGCCCGACCGCTACCACATCGAGGTGAAGCACGACGGCCAGCCGCCGAGCCACGTTCCGCCTCCGCCACACCTGCTGTCGGAGGGCGTCATCTACAAGCCGCTGCTCAGCGAACTCTCGCTGCATCCGAACGTGCTGCAGATAAGCAGCAGCCAGGTGGGTCCCATCAAACAAAAGCAAATCAGTTATAGTCAAACGGTGTCCCACAAATCTTTTCCAACCGAAAGCAAAATCTTTGTGTCCCAAGAACCCCACTAACTTTAAGTGTTGATTTAAATTACGACGATTTTTTAAACCCATCACCGCGTTGGAAACTATACGTTTTAAAGTTTTCGGAAAGTTTACGATTAAATATAAAGGCTATTAAAAGGTTATCAAAACATAATAAATTCAGCTATAACTTTATAAACAGGATATTATAAATGTAACTCATTTATTTTTTAACCATTAGTGCTTTAACTACTTGACTAACATCTCGCCAGTTTCCTCCGCAGAATCCGAAGACAGCGGGAAGCATCACACAGGGCTATGCACCCGGACGGGGTGGATCCGCCCACGAACAGCAGCTGTCCCGGCAACAGTTGGCAATGCTGCCTGGCCAGCCGGGAGCTCCATCCGGATCCGTCTCCGGATCCCCTCAGCCGCCTCCAGGTCAGCAGATGCACTACACACGACGACTGTACTAGCCCCGGCTAAGGGTCTAGCCCCATTTAGCTAATGCTACGGAACTCACTCACTGATATACTTACGATTTTAAATGGACATTACATTGACTACGCTACTTACGTGGAGTCGGAAACACGAAATAAAGCACACAACTATGGCGTCCCTATTTTCCAATCGATAATGCAATACTGAGGTTTGTTATTGATTGGTATCCGTGGGTTGGTATGACTTTTGTACGGCTATATTAAAATTAGACAGAACAAGAAAGGAAACCCGGCCTGTTCCTACTCATATTCATCCAAATAGCGTAGTTATGGACTTAATGGGGTCTGAAATCTGCCTTTCTAGGCGTTGCAAACTTTTGACTGAAATTATTATACCCTTTGCAAGGGTATACAAATGATCTTAATTTCACAGCTCAATAATTCGATTATCAATGGAAGATGCTTGTGTTAATTTTGAAGGTAAAGTTGTATGTTTGGATAAGAATGAATCATGACGAAGGAAGCGTTAACGATCAGCATAAACAGCCAAATTGTTGTTGCATCAATTGTTTGGCACCTGAGTTCCATGTGTCCAACACTAACATTGCGGTGTAAATAAAGGAGCGATTTACATTTAATTTCGTGATAAAGTTGTTAAATGCACTGCCATGGTAAACGAATCAATTGTCTAATGATTCCTATTTCTGGCCTAAATATGAAATCCAATGAGTTTTCCTTAACAATTTTTGTGCTTTATCCGAAACCGAAGTGTTTCTTTTTATCTATTATATTTACCAGTTGTTTTCAGAATTTAATAGATCAAAACCATAGGCTGAAAAAAGGGGGATAAGTAGATAAAAAGAGCAATCAATAAAGCAAAGAGCTTTATTTTGAGTTGGTTTTTTATCGGGTCATAAGGCATCTGGAATTATAAAATAATTGCAAGATTAAAATATATTTTTGGAGTATTGGGAAAGAGAAACATATCTACATATTCATTCATAAAATACATTTACATACAAAATGTTAGCCAATTAAAGAATAAATATAAAACTGATTTTTATTTGATTTGTACATTAACATATGTATTTATAATTTCTTATCTGATTTTTTGAGAGTTGAGAATTTTCTGTTGTGTGTAGATCGGATCGAAATCGCTCATGGATTCATGGAATTTTTTTAGAGAATTTTTGTTGTGCTACGCTTGTTTACGAAATTGCTCGAGTGTGACGCATGGCAGTTTTTTCAATCTCGACCGCAAGCTTTTCCTTGCCAATAATTACCTCCCCTTGGGAGACAATCTCATTTAAGTCATTCTCTATTTGAAGCTAATTTGACATTTACAAAGAGATGTTTGTTGGAGAGGAAGCTAACCAGATATGACAAACAAATGATTCATAATTGTTTCTATATTGTCAATAATTGGGCACATTACACAGTGGAAAAGTATTTTAACCTCAGTTCCATTTGGTCATCTCATAAATATTTTACAGCGTAGATCGATATTTTTTCATTTGGATTAATATAGTTAACATTTTTGAATACAAATAATGGCAAATGCAACATAAGTTAGTTAATTGTGTCCAAATATATCACGTATACTGCTGATATTATCAAAGTTTTTAAGCTTTCTTAAATTAAATAGCTTTGGTCTAGTGGAATAGATATGTATTAAAATAAGTCTGAAATTTTTTGATTTAAATATCAATAAGTTGTTAATAATAATTTTTCGTACTAGCAGATTTGGTTCATAAATGCGAAGACTTGTTAGGAAAAAATTATTTCAAATAATAACTATTAAATGATAATGGTTTCCGACACTTAAATTATTTTATTTATGCTCTGGAAATGACGTGAATAAAAATTATTTTTTTCAATATTTCGTGCTATATTTCAAATTTAAGATACACAAATAGATGAGGAATTTGGCAGTTTTTATTCTGTGCGTTTATTGTAACAAATGGAACGTATCATTCTTTCACGTTTAGTAAGAGTAAACCAATCTATTGAAACGATATTATGTTTACTTTCTTTGGGGTGCGAAAAATCATGATTCATATTCATCATTGATATATTAACAATATTTATTAAAATTCCACATTTATACAGCTTTGATGCTTATATTTCTCATCGTGTGCTTGTTGCAGTGGAAATACATTTAAATGCGGAACAACGTGAGGTTAATTGCGAGGAGCACACTTGTTAATTAGGAATGTCAGCGGGTGCGACAGTTGGCGTTTTCTTCTCCAAATCCAAAAATATTGCTGCCAAGCCACGTTTACATTGGATTACGATTACGTAACATGGAAACCAGTTTTGATGTTGTTATTGCGGTTGCTGTTGCTGTTGTTGTTAGTGTGTCAAGGAAAAGTCTCAGACAATTACAACGCCCTTCTGTCTAGTAATTAAAAACGGAAGCCATGCCCGAAGCCATAGTAGGGTGACTATTGCTATTGAAACTTCCAGCGCATCAGCCCAAACTGGTTGGCTTATGGCACTTTCGTGAAAAGTCCGCCCACGACAATCCGAAAACCGCAAAACACGTTCGCCAGCTGCAGTTGAAATCGTATCGAAAGTTTTGCGGTTCAACGTTCCGAAAAAACTTCTGAAAATTAAAATGTCTCAGTACAATTTATAGCATCTACGCAGATCATTTTTTTTTTTTTGTATTTTCAGATGTAAGATTAAATTAATTCTAAGAAGAGGCAATTTTTTCAGCACCAACATATTCATATTTAAGGTTCAGATTTATATCTTTCGAAATCTTTCCATATTCGAAATATCAAAATTTATTTAATTGTTTTTTTTTAATTTTGCTTTATTTGTTAGTAAAAAGAACTTTTGATCCTTTTCAATCCTTTATATTTATTATTATTAAAAAATTTGAGAGGTGTCAAAAAAGCCATTGAATAAGGAGATTTTAATTTATTGTCCATAAAATAAGATATTTTCATACTTTTTTAAGAGATGAAAAACTCGTGTATTAATTCTTAAGCCCAAAAACAAATTATTGAAATTGATTTTTTGAATATACATTTTTACCGTTACATGGTTTTTTTGTGCCTTTAATAAATTTCATATTTTTCAATCTTAAAAGCAGATAAAAAACAAACGACGACCGCGGTAAATTTGCATAAATAAACAAATGGTTTAGTCACCTGGAGAGGGGAAAACAAGTTAGTGTAATTACCGTTGGAGGAAGGGGGATAGCGAAACGAAACCAAAACCAAAACAAATGCCGTGCGTGTGTGTCGACCTGCGTCGGTGTGCGGGCAACAGGCGGTTGAGGCTGCTATGGAAACAAGTACCGCATAGCGAAGCTTTTGTCCCAGCTCGGCGTTCAGTTAGCATCGACAACGACTGAGGAACGGTTCGTAAGCCGGAACGCGCGTAAATTCATTCAGCAAATAAAAAAGCGGAAAATCCAAGGTGTGTGTTTGTGGGTTTTGTTTTCAAACTGCATGTGCTTGTGTGTGTGAGAGTGACTGTTGGAGAGAGAGCAGGTAGTGTTGTAAAGCGCTTAAACTGCGATCGATGCAATGCCAGCACAAAAATACTAGTCGTCCCGCTCGCACTGTAGGCAAATGTCAAAGTCTGTTCAGTAGCAAAACAGAATTGTGGCCGAGAAAAGGCCGAATCACCGACAAAATTAGCCATTAGCAGGTCTTACGTATAGATTAGCCCAACAAAACGACATAACGAATCCGTGTGGTAAAGTGACACAGGCCAGTGGATGCCTAGAACCCAAGATAACCTAACCAGCGAACCATTTCCAGTTTCTCAATGGAGTCGACCAAGGATTTTGTACGGGCCAAGTACCAGGACTTATGTAACTTCCTGGAGCGGGACACTCTCGGCAGCGAGGTGGCTATCTACGGAACTTCAGCTCTAATGCTGGCCGTGGCCTATGCGAAAAGGAAACCCGCCTATCTGGTGCGCCAGTTCAAGCAGCCCTCCCACATCCCGGAGCGCTTAATCAGCGAGCGTGTCATGCACACGGGTAGAATCGCTGGAATCAAGCAGCAGGAGCAGGACACTTTGCTGATGATCCAGCACAAGCCACTGATTCCAATCTTCACCAGCCGCCGACGCCTGCTGCCTGTGAAGCTGCCAGGGGTGCGAGTTAATGCCAACGGCTACTCTTGGCTGCAGCAGTGCATCACTGGACGAGAGGCCACCTTTCTGCCCTTGAAGTCTGCCAAAGGTCAGGACTTTGTCGTCTGCCAGCTGTGCCTCGTGCATCCGCCAAAGGGTAACCGCCTGGTGGACATTTCGGAGACCCTGCTTAAGCTCCGATTCGCCCGATTCGTCCAAGATGCTGCCTCTGGAGTGAAGAGGAACGGAAAGTACTACCAGCATCTGAAGAAGGTGGAGCAGTCCACCGCTGGGAAGGAGGCCTGGCTGTCCTGGGCATCTGGCTATCCCTACATCTGGCGGCGCTACCACGAACTCAAGCAGCGCCTGCTTCCCAAGGAGAAGCTGCTGCCGGAGCTAGTGCGCTGATCCCGATCTACAAGCCCTGCCTTCAACTTAGTTGTAGGATAGCTTCCTACCATTAACATAGTTCTAGGGCTAGCTAGTCCCTTTATTTAGCTTATGTGCTTTTTGAACTGCCTTATTTAATTTGGAATACCTTTAAACAGACTGCTATACAAATGATTTTAAGACAATAAATTTATAATAAATAACTCATTATTTGTGTAAGTTAAGCACAGATACACAACTCCGCTCAAAAAGTACACTTGCTATTGGGCTAGCTAGCTACTAACCAAACGAAACCAACGACAATCGATGCCCAGGCGGTACGTGATCGTGTGCTAATTTCCACACCCAGTAAAGCCAGATGTGTGGCATTTTTTTAAAATGTTCAAATATACTAAATGTTTTTACTAGGGATTACATTAGTGTGTGTGCGTGCGTGTGTATGCATGTTTCCCAAATAAAACGTTAAATATCTTTTTACGTTTGTATCCAAATGTTTTAATTCCATTCCTTTTTTGTTCCCCGGACGATCAGTTGCATTTAGCATTCCACCTTCACCTGTAATCTTCCACAAAACTAAACCAAAATGAGCTGCGGAATCTCCATGGTTAAATATATACTATTTATATTCAATTTGCTCTGTTCGGTGAGTAGAACAAATTAATATTAATAAATTTAACACCGTCATCGGCCAATCCCAGTTCAGTGTTCTCAGCGTTAGGATAGCCATGATATCATAACTTTGGTACGTTGAAACTGGTTTTTCCCTAAAAAACGTTTTTTGGATTATTTGTTGAGAGAGTCGCGACTAAAAACTTGTTGACAAGAGTATGTTTTAAAGCCATGAAAGGGGACCGTGCATTTTGGGATTCTTATAGTTATAGGTATTATCGAAATATTAATGATCAAGCAAACTATCACAAAATACATATTTTTTTGTTAAAGATCTAAAAAATATAAAATATTAACTCTTAAAAGCTATAATTACTTTCATTAAACCTTAAAGGAACAACAATAATAACTCACTTTTTCGGTTATGAAACGCACTGTAAATGTAGAGTGGGGGCAGAGCTTGAGATCATCAGTATTCCAAACCTGTTATTAAAATTGGGCTACCTTTGTGACGTAGCGGTATCCAACAAATTCTGTATAAATTTGTGTATACTACGTATTTTGTTTATTTTGGTAACTGAAAACGAGTTTAGATTGCTTTGGTTTGGTTCAACAGAGTTCCCCACAATCGAGCCGCTGAAACATGCATCCCATTAGTTGGCATCCGCTCGAGGTTAACTGGTTTCAAACAGCAACCTAACAATCGTTGAAACACCAGCCAGCAGTGGCATTTTCGATATGGTTTTGCAACTTCTAACTAACTGCCCCAAAGTGGCTGCACCGCCGCGAGAAACTGTACTTTGCCTAACCAGTTTGGGGCCCTGATTTGCAGGTGTGATTGCACAGCATTGGGGGCCCTGCATTATTTTGCGTCACGCAAAAATGTAAATATGCTATACAGCGAGAAAAACGCTCACTTTAAATTGTTGGGTAAAAACTAAACTTACTTAAACCCCGAATTGTTCAGTTATAGGTTTTCCAGCGCTAGAATACATAATCTAATACCTTATTTAAAAAGCCTTAGATTAAATGTCATGTAGACATGGACGATAGGAATAGAAACCTAAAATTATTTGTTTATGAGATATGTAGGTAGAGAAGTGAAGAAATTAAATATAATTTGAATACCAATTGAATAGGATTCGAATAATTTTAAAGGTGGTTATAAAATATATACCATTATTACAAATTATTACTATTTATATAAGAGTCATGTTTGTATATGTGATAAACACACCTACTCTGACTAGAAATGTTCATTGTTAAGTTGCGCGTAATTACATTAAAAGTGTTCGACCGAAAATAGTTGACTTAATTGAATGTGAACTTGGTCTTATTGCTAGGCGAGTCAAAACTAGGAAACAAATATAATTTCATTTACACACTTACATAATAGCAGTAGGCGAAGTACACTTGAACTCAATTTTTCACGGATTGGTGGGGGTTGACGCACCAAGATAGAAAAACCAGACGAATGGGTTGACTTTTTATTATTATAATTAGACTTGGGCCGCAATTTCACTGTCTTCTGATCTGCCCCAATTAACTTCTGAATTCAGCGGCTTAGTCATGCTGAAATTTTGAAATTTCGAAATTCCTTTGAATTATAGTTTAATCAGTCGCATCTAATCTAATAAATACGGTTTGACGGAGGGCGATAAAAAATCAAAGCCAAAATAAATTTGTTTTTGATAGCTATCGTAGATTGTAATACTTATCATATCATAATTAACAAAATCAAGCGGATTGATAAGAGATAAGCCTTTGATAGGCATGGAAATTAGCAAGCCATTGCCGTAGCCATTGATAAACAAAATAAGAAGTAATTTGAATATAGATGTAATATTTTTCAGTTAATCTACTCATCTAAACCAATATTTTTTCAAAAGCATAGACTTATCAAAAAAGATTTTAAAATATTAAAAATGGTTTATTTTGGTCATCGTAGATTGCCTGTGGCTGATATCTATTTTCTTATATTTTTTACTGTGTGTTGCACATATAAAAAGTTGTTATCAATTAAAGCTTTGAACGTTTGAAAAGCTTTTAGGTAAAAAGTTGAGGGTACTCCCAATAAACATGTATTTGGTGAATATGATAAACTCCTTTTTTCACTTAAACAAACATATTATTAAAAAATAAGAAATAAGAAATAAGATTTAATAAATAATACAAATTCCTCCCCTTAACTTTTGCAGAAGAAACTTGTTAGTATAGTTAGTTATGACTGGGTTGGCTAACTTTGGATTGTATTATTTATTTTTAACTGAACATTTTTACTTTCTCAGATATGCGGCATCTTGCTAATCGTTTTTGGAGCTCTGCTGTTTAGCAAAGTCCACAACTTTGAAGATTTCGCGGATGCCTTGCGGACGCAGCAGGTGCCCGTCACGATGATTATCCTGGGTGCCGTCATCCTGCTGATCTCCTGGTTCGGTTGCTGCGGCGCCATTCGCGAGTCCTACTGCATGTCCATGACGGTAGGGAATCATGATTACTTTCGATCACTTTTATTAATTCTCATTATTTACTGTAGTACTCGATTCTGCTGTTCGTCCTAATGATTGGCCAACTGGCCTTGGTCATCTACATGTGGGTGCAGAAGGATAAGTTCTTGGTACACATGGGCGATGCCGTGGAGAAGGCTTGGGAGAATCGCACCCGTCGCTCCGACTACATGGATGCAATCCAGATCAGCGTAAGTTTTTTGTTTGCTTGTGATTTGAACATGTATCTTTATCTGGTTTTTCCCCTGACAGATGAAATGCTGTGGCCGCCTTGGATACACCGACTACTCCGGCCAGGGTAGATTCCCCCCTTCTTGCTGCAAGGACACCAACAGGTGCACCCAGGAGACCATGTACAAGAAGGGCTGCAAGGCCGCCTTTGTCGAATTCTGGGATACATACAGCGATGTCATCAAGTATGCTGGCCTGGTCATTGCAGGCATTGAAGTAAGTTTTCTCACAGATTCGAAATTTATCTTACAAACAGGAGTAAATCCCAGTTTTAATATATGACCAGAATTCGAATCCAATTTAGTGAGTTTAAGCCTATGTCCTGTTCATTTTAATGAATCAACTTTTAAAATAAAATTTGGGTTTCGATATTAAGATAATTTAAATTTTAAAACACTAAAGCCGAACGTTTTGAAACGAAAGCACTTTTTTGAGTTTTTTAAAATACAATTTTTTGAAAGCAAACAGAAAATCTGTATTAGATAAGGAAATTATGTTTGAAGACAATTGGCCGTGTAGATGTAAGAAAAATATATTTATTTTTGTTTTTATAAACTATGCATTACAATAAATACTCTAGTTACTTTATACCTTGGTATTTCACCATAGATTATTTCCAATTTTGTTTAACTGGCAGGTTTTATCTTAAATATCTATTAATGCCCTTCCTATTTTTACTTTTCATCCAGTTTGTCGGCTTTGTTTTTGCTTGTTGCCTGGCGAATAACATTCGGAACTATCGGCGCCGTGCGGACTATTAATCAATGGAAAAGAGATCCTTTTTTACTAATGTTAATTGAAACCGAAAGTACGAATTATGTTGCCCAATTTTGCGAATATACATATCACCTGATACAGATGGCCATTGAAATTTACATAATCTCAAGTTTAAGCAGAAAATCCCATGCCGTATACGAAATAAGATCGTTAGTTAAAAAGTTATATTGATTGTGCTTATATTTGTAACTGTACAAAATAATTTATACTCCAAGAAATTGCAATAAAATGAGAAATTTATTAAATGTTTCACCGTAGGTGCACTGTTATGTTATATACCCAATTGGTAGTAGAGTAATATGGTAAATTATAATATAATAATATAATTATCGTGAACAAGTTTGTGCAAAGCAGAAAGTATCGTTTCCGACTTTGAACAAATATTAAAAGGTTAACTTACGTTTAATATTTCCAATGTTCGTTGGAATATTTGACTACGAATATAACTATACGAATTAAAACTTTTTAAGAACACGAATCGATTAAAAATAAAGGCCTGAAGGGGCAACAAACATAATTAGATAACCGCATTAATCGATCATTGGTTTTATTGCCAAATTTCCATAGAACTAACCTATCAGAAGATTATATTTAGTTGGCTACTATGCAATCTTATCTTTATTCAGGTAGTTTATTTATAAGGGAAAATATAGCCATTTTTGAATGCCGAAGGGAAGTTCTTATTCTCTGAAAACCCCAGAAATTATAAGAATCTAAATCGGGTTGTGAGTTTTGCTGGCAGAGCACTCGTTAAAAGTTTATTATTCGTTTGATAGTAAATAAATCAACGCGATAAGATTGGGGACTCACACGGAAACGGTGGCCAAGCTACGTAATTCGTGACTCATAGTTCACATCAACTTTTCTTTTCTACCGATAAGTCCAAGGTGTGAAAGGCGGGAAAGTGTTGAAATGCTAAATGATTCATCTTAGTAGAGGACCAACGCTCCCTAGATAGAATTTTATGAATGTACGATAATTTCCGCCCCCTCCGAATGCTTAGAGTAAAGTTCGTGATTCACGTCCGCGGGTACGTAAATCCTATATGGTCTACTATCTACGCGGGTGCAAATTGATCAACTGAATGTTTTTTTCAAGTACATAGGAAAGAGAGCCTCCAGTGCAAGTACATATAGTACTTTATGGCTGAGATAATAACGCTTCTGATAAGATGAGGGCTTCGAATACGCTTTAATAGCCGCGTACTGCCAGATGGCCAATTCAGTTTGACGAAAATCGTCGCTTCGAACGAACGGATTATCCAACGAACCAGAAACGAGAAACCCAAAAATCCAGCACAATGAATTGCCTATCCGCGATGTTTAAGTACCTGCTGTACTTGCTCAACCTGATCTTCGTGGCCGGTGGCATCCTGCTGATCGTGGTGGGCTCCATCATGCTGTCAACGATGGGTAACTTCACCGCCTTCGAGGGAGCAGTCAACACACAAACTATCCCAATCACGATTATCGTCATCGGTTGTGTCACCTTCGTGGTGGCCTTCTTCGGATGCTGCGGCACTATTCGCGAGAACCCCTGTTGCACCACCATTGTGAGTTTTTTCGATCTGATGTTCATCCGATCCGTCTTACTGACCAGTTTATATCCCATTTTCCCTTAGTACGCCATCTGCATGCTGATCCTGTTTGGGCTGCAACTGGCCCTCTCGATTTGGATCTTCGCGGCGAACGATAAGTTCCTAACCAGCATGGGCAAGGTGGTGGACAAGGCTTGGGATGAGAACGACGCCGCCCAGGGATATCCCATGGATGCCCTTCAGTTGGCTGTAAGTTAACAGAGATTAAGCTAATATTTTGGATGAATTGCATAGGCTTATGAGAACAATGTGATGCTTAATATTGCATTATGAATCGTAAATTGCAGTCGACTTCAAAAAACTTTATACAGATAACATAGATTATATAACCTATCTATTTTTCTTACAGTTCAACTGCTGTGGCAATGCGGGATACGATGAGTATGTCGGCAGCAAGCCAGCCTCCTGCTGCGGCTACAAGGATCGCAACAAGGCGTGTGAGGCCGAGATCTACACCCTGCGTCCTGGTTGCCAAACTGAGTTCGTCGACTTCTGGGCCTCCAATACGGACATCATTCGATGGAGCAGTCTGATCATCGCCCTCTTCGAGCTGGGCATCTTCATCATGTCCTGCTGCCTGGCCAGTGCGATGAGGAAGCGCTAAACTAATGGTCGGAGCAACCTTCTTAGCTGTAGCCCAGTTCCTAGCATAAATTCCAAAACAAATCCATCACTCATCGTAAATAAACCGAAATAGGTTAAGCTCAATGAAATATTATTGCTTATTCGCTGTCTATCTTTGGCCACCGCCTATCTAATCACGACAAGTTGATGTTTTTCGAAAAACTATGTCCTTATCAGTCAAAAAGCCCACGGCCAACGTTTGTGAGATCAAATGCCCTCAGAAATGAATCACTCTCGTATGCCAACTGTTATCTATTTCCCCAATATTCGGGCCCCATTATCGATACTTCCTTTGGGCCATGATTATGATATCAGACACTGGGGTATCTTTCCGATATCGCTAGTGTCCGTTGGACAAGTTAAAAACGGTAGCCCATCTGGAAGACCAGTCCAATCGAACGACAGTAAACGACGCGAGTACGCGATAAAATCACAGCAAATCAGAATTCCTCTGGGATAACACTATCCGATTTATATTACTTATAAACTAAAACAAAACAAAAGTTCTTAAAATGGGTTGTCTATCGGGAATAGTCAACTTTATTTTATATATTGTTAATATCGTGTTTTTGGTAAGTTTTTATATAATTGAAAATAAAAGATGTGTCTTTGCATTATAAAGGAACCACAAACGGATACATTTTAAAAATTAGGAATGGAAATAAAGTGATCAAAGTTATTTCAATGTGTGCCAATTTTTTAAGGAACTAAGAAAAATGTGTTATATATAGTGGAAAGCGTTATTTACTTTTTTAAATAAATAATATCGACATATTTCTAATCCAATAATATCTTTGTGTTTAAAGATAAATTATAATTTAATTTAACAAGACTACTTTGAAATTAATTAACGACTAATACTCGATAGTATTTATTAAAATTGAGTCATTGCATAAATAAATTACCCACTTTGACTATCTTTCAAATTACATCCCAATATAAATATATTAGAAGAAAAAAATATACCGAAATCAAGTCATAATTTGAAATAACACAAACTGATTAATAAAATATGAAATAAAATGGGTTTAAATCAAGCAAAGGACAAAGTTTCAATGAAATGGGTGATTTAATACTATCTAATTATAAACATGAAGTGGCACATTAAGCTTTACATCAGTGCTTCAAAAATAAATCTAGAATATTTCTAAATTACGCATTGGTCGCTTCGTTGGCGATTGGTTTTGTGTCACAAGCTTTATTACTATTATTCATATGAATGTGTTGGCAAAGTAAAAAATACAATCAAACACTGTAATTCCTTTTGGCATTCACGAATTTTATCAGTCAATTGACATTATCTGTGTTTTGTAATATAAGTAATGAGTTTAATTATTGAACTTTAATGTGAACACATACACATACAAATTTCGGTTCCTACTAAAGATAATGTCAAGCAAACTACTTGTTTCGTGCAGATAAATGCGTAGTACAGAAGAAAGTGTAAAAAATAGTAAAATATTGTAAAAATTATTATTATAAAAAGGAGAGAAATCTTTACTTTGAAATATGCATTTCTTCCTAGCTCTATGGTGTAATTATTATTAAAACCATTTTTAATATGGTTTATATTTGTACAGGATTTTATAGGATTTTAAATCAAAACATATTTATCTCTATAGGAATTTTGGAGGAATAAACACTATTATTAAAATCATTTATCCATTTGCAGATCGTTGGCATCCTTCTGATCGTGCTGGGCTCGATCATGTTGTCCGATCTTAGTCACTTTGATAGTGCCGGCGATGGAACGAACACCAACACCATCCCCATTTGCGTCACAGTTTTGGGATGCCTGATCTTCGTGGTGTCCTTCTTCGGATGCTTTGGCATTTTCAAGCAGAGTGCCTGCATGACGGGAGCGGTGAGTAATGTGACCCAACGTACATTTATGTCCTGCAACTAAAAGTAATATTCATTTCAGTACACGAGCATGGTATTCGTCCTCTTTATCCTGCAACTGGTGCTCACCTGCTGGGTGTTCGTGAACCGTAATGCATTCCTGGGGGACATGAGCAATTTGGTAACGCTGCTCTGGAACTCCAAGGACTATAATGCAATGGGCGTACTGGAGGAAACCTTCGGCTGCTGCGGCAACACCGGCTATGCCAACTATAATGCCAACAATATCGCGGTTCCCGGAACCTGTTGCGGCTACTTGGATCGCCAGCAAACGTGCAACAACCCTTCGGTCTACCAATCGAGACCCGGCTGCAACTTCAAGTTCGAGCAGTTTTGGGACGACAACATGGACATCATCCGCTGGTCCGGCCTGGGCCTCTGCATTTTCGACTTGATCGTCTTCCTGATCGCCGGCGCCTTGACCAACTGTATGCGCAACCAGAACGCCGGCCGACAGGGTTATGCCTAGTCTTCGAGTAATTTCGCTAAATAAATTATTCCTAACCAAAAAATAATTACATTAACTAGGTAGCATGCCAAATATATTTATTATTACTCCAATTCCAAATTTTCTTCATGATTTCTGTATGTGATTTGAAACTGAAGGAAAAATAATACCATCATATTTATTATGACTTATTCTGTAGCACTTAGGTTGAGAAAAACTCATTTCCTAAAACTTAAAACAATATTTTTCTGAATGTGGGATCAATGGGAGTTCCATTTAGTATTATCGTTGCATAAACATATTTAAAGATATGTTCAATAAGAAGTTTTAATCACGAGGTAATCCTGTGAAATTTAACTTAACTCAGGGTCGGAGATGTTTCCTTCACTGCGTTGCACACTTTTGACCAAAATTAGAATACCGCCTGCAAGGGTATACCAAGAAAGGAAGCAAACTTCGTCATGCCGAAGTTTATATACCCTTGCAGTTATTACAAATTGACTATATTTCGACTTTTTTGCCTATATTACTAAAAACAATGAAACTTTGCATTTTGCCAACCGTAATTCCAAAATATTTAAATATTATTAAATTAAAAACAACAAAGTTATAATTTTTTTGAATTGATTTTTCCGATTGGGAGCTATATGATATAGTCGCCCGATCCGACTTATATACTACCTGCAATAGAAAGAAAACTTTTGGGAAAGTTTCAAGCAGATATGTAGCTTTAAAACTGAGGGACTAGTTTGCGTAGAAGGGGACAGACGGGCAGACAGACGGACATGGCTAGATCGACTCTCCTGGTGATGCTGATCAAGAATATATATTCTTTATAGGGTCGGAAATGTCTCCTTCACTGCGTTGCAAACTTTTGACTGAAATTGTAATACCCTCTGGGTACCAAGAAAATTAAGAAAATTCTTTTCTGAAGTGGTAATGTGTCGCTAATAGTTAAAACGTCTCTGGCTTTTCGTGTAGTTAATGGCCAAAATTGCGCCCAGCACGATAAGGACAACCTACAAATGAGAAAATAGAAGAAAGTTAGTGATTATTTAAAGAATGTGTAATAAGTAATGTGTAAACAATCACCATGAATCCGAACAGTAACCAGTCCTTATAACCTACTTCCAAGTTATCATCATCCTCAAAAAACTGTTCCACTTTGCGTAGACATCCCTCCCGATTGATATTCCCACTGTCATAATCCTCGTAGCAACTGTAGGGTATGGTGTTGTACATCATGGCAGTGCTAAAAAGGTAGTCCGCGGAACCATTTAGGCCACAGCATTGGTACTACAATGAATGGACATTTATGAAGTAGTAATTGACTAAAGAAAACTCGAGCAAAACATTGATAAAATACGTCATTTAATTTACTTATTAATGTTAAGCTGTTTAAGCATTTGTACCTAAGGACGTTTCTTTTTTATAAACGAATATTACCTTCGCTATTAAAATACGTTAATTTAGACTTCACTGGTTTAATCATTAGGAAACATGAAAGATGAAGACTTACAGTTGTCTGAATAGTATCCATGCTACCTGGATGAGTCTCCTCCAGTTTCCACTGATCCTTGATCTCTTGAATAGCGTAGTTCTTGATTTTATCTTTGGGATGGAGGATAATGAAGATCAACATTCCTACCAGCAAAGTCAGCAGCAGCGACACGTACTGCAGGGCAAATAAAGGAAGTTACTCATGGTGTGATTAATGTAATAGCATCGTTCAAGTACAAACCATCCAGAGCATTCGCGGTGCTTCGCGAACGGCTCCATAGTATCCAAACAGGGATGTCAACAGTATAACGACACCCCCGACCAGGATGAGAATAGCAAACAGATTCCCCAACTCTCCAAAGCTAAGGGCTCCGACACCGATCACAAGGATTCCAACAATCTGTAAGTTTGGTGAATAATTAGAGGAAGCCGAAATTAATATGCCTCTTGCTGATGAAAAAGCATCAAAATCTATTTTATGACTCAAAGAACTAATCAAAGAATTTGCAGCGTTGTTCGGAAAAAAATGTAATTCGTTTATTTAATTCACTAAATTAACTTATTAGTCTTATACTTTATGACAAAGGTTTAATTGTTAAATTAATTAAAAAAAGCTTTATATTGCCAGGCTTTATATTTTCAAGTACCACCAGTATATAAGTTCAATGGCATTTCAGTCAGTTGTGATTATGTGATCCATAGTTTCGTGACCTTGAGAAGGCCACAAGTTCGAGTTGACTACTAACTAACTAACTATGTTCTTCTATATTATCTTCGCTTTTAGAACTAAACGTGAATGGGTAACTCATTTCGACGCTTGGCTCCCAAACCTCTCCTTTCGGCAGGAAAACGAGGCAGAGCAGAAGCCATTAGCACACAGATACCTTCGAAATGTAGACCTAAGCAAAACACGCACCCCAAATTAGATCATATAGTAGCCGGATGGGAAGTTTAAAATAGAACCCCTGACATCGAAGCTCGTATATTTAAAATATAATGGCTGGATATTTGCATCATATGTTTATATAGATTTAGTGCTCTACTTACCAGCCATATTGCATTAAAAAAGAAAAACGAGAACTTTACAGTGCTCGTTGCGCAGCTCATTTTGAATTCCTGTTTCTATATTTTAATGTTTCTCGCACGTGCAACAATTTACCGATTGTCGATCTGTTTTTTAAATATTGAGACTCGGACTCGCGGACTACTCTGACCACGGTCCCGAGAAAACTGAGCGTCGCAAAAGTTAAAAAAATATAAAATTCGATAGTGATTATAAGTATGAATCTAATTTTAGAAAAAGAATACAAAACATATAACATAGGAAACATTTTCTAAAATATCACACCCTGACCATAAAACAGTTTTAACCCTGTCCAAGTAGCCTAGGGGTTGGAACGTCTGACCAGAAATCTAAGCACCGCAAGTTCAATTTCAGCTGCCATCGGGCCATACATCTTTCTTCTTTTCTTTTTTATACCCTTGCAGAGGGTATTATAATTTTGGTCAAAAGTGTGCAACGCAGTGAAGGAGACATCTCCGACCCTATAAAGTATATATATTCTTGATCAGGATCACCTCCTGAGTTGATATAGCCATGTCCGTCTGTCCGTCTGTCCGTCTGTCCGTCTGTCTGTTTCTACGCAAACTAGTCTCTCAGTTTTAAAGCTATCGGATTGAAACTTTGCACACACCCTTCTTTCCTTTGCACGCAGTATATAAGTCGGAACGGCCGGGATCGGCCGACTATATCCTATAGCTGCCATATAACTGATTGATCGGAAATGCCATAACTTTCGTGTTTGTAAAGTTAGGAAGTTGGGATTTTCTATGGGTTTTATATGTGGCCAATCAATCCGACCTACCAAATTTCATAAGGATCGGCCGACTATATCCTATAGCTGCCATATAACTGATTGATCGGAAATGCCATAACTTTGGTGTTTGTAAAGTTAGAAAATTGGGATTTTCTATGGATTTTATTTTTGGCCAATCAATCCGACCTACCAAATTTCATAAGGATCGGCCGACTATATCCTATAGCTGCCATATAACTGATTGATCGGAAATGCCATAACTTTGGTGTTTGTAAAGTTAGGAAGTTGGGATTTTCTATGGATTTTATTTTTGGCCAATCAATCCGACTTACCAAATTTCATAAGGATCGGCCGACTATATCCTATAGCTGCCATATAACTGAACGATTGGAAATGCCATAACTTTGTTGTTGTTAAAGTTAGGAAGTTCGGATTTTTTATGAGTATTAAGAATGCATCATATGAATAATTTTGGAGAATATAATTTACAGAGTATTCTGCAAGGGTATATCAACTTCGGCTCCGCCCGAAGTTAGCTTTCCTTTCTTGTTTTTACTTGTATTATAAACACACATGTGAAGTAATGCTTAGAACGACTAAAGGTTTTATCCTTTATTGAAAAGTAATTAAAATTTTTCTTGTCATATGAAATATCATCTTAGAAAATTTATTTTAAATATTTTAACTTTCACAGTTGCGACTTAACCAGTTCTAAAAACTTTTTTAAACTAATACTTCGCAAACGCCCCATCTATAGGCTTTGGTTTGCCGTGCGTTCTTCGCGCGCGACCGTGGCTCCATTCAATGTCTTTGAAGTCACGCGCGGGAGACCTGGGTTCGAATCCCGCCGACGGACGAATAAAATTTTCGGATAAGATACTTATCATCGGAGTTTAATTGTAAGAACTGAAATAAAATCATAAATTGTAAACAATTTCTCTCTCCCCCCCCCCACAGAATTTACAGTTGAAATCGATATTGGCAATTCATTAGTACTTTAATACAAACTTTGTGACATTTCTGAATGAAAAGCGGTGTATATATCATATACATATGTATACACATACATAAAAATATACAAAAGTCCATAAATCCTGAATGAAAAATTACACTTTTTTCTAATTTTTAGAAAAAATACCCTAAAATTTATGGTTAGATGCCCTACTTTTAAGAAATATTTTTCTATTTTTTAGAACAATTTTTCTTGTTTTTAGGGCCCTTTGCCTTAGATTTTAGAAAGGAACGGGTTAATTTTGGTATGAGTGTATACTTTACAAAATATATATCTTTGGAAACATAAACCATTTTTTATTTTAAAATGGTTACTTATTTAAAATTGGCATTTATCAGTTAACCCTCTTTGCAACGAATACTTTTGTGACTCACTGTATATATATTTATATATATTTTTAAAGAATTAGGTAATTTTGAGACGTTAGAGTGGGTGTTGCAAATTAACTTACGCATCACTAAAAGTGAAGTAAAATTTATTTGAACATTCAATTAAATTTAAAAAGATAAGATAAGCATGGAACTCTAATGCTGCTAATCTAACCTCGCAAGTAGTCATGCCAACTTTGGCCCTAAACCAAGATTGGAATCTTAAAATCAAGCACAACAAGAAAGGAAAGCTATCTTTGGGCGGATCCGAAGTTGATATACCCTTGCTGAATATTTTGTAAATTATATTCTCTAAAATTATTCATATGATGCATTCTTGATACTCATAAAAAATCCCAACTTCTTAACTTTAAAAAAACCAAAGTTATGGCATTCCAATCGTTCAGTTATATGGCAGCTATACAATATAGTCGGCCGATCCTTATGAAATTTTGTAGGTCGGATTGATTGGCCAAAAATAGAAAATCCAATTGTCCTAACTTTACAAACAATCAATTTTGTAGTTTTAATTACAATTTTTTTGAATAAATTATTCTTCTTGCACCCGGACGAGTAAAATAACTTATGCGTGTAAAACTTGTGAACATGCATGCATGATACCTACATATGTAGATATTATTGATAATTTACGTTTCAAAATACTCGTACACACCTTTTGGGAAGGAGTAAATTATTTGTTCCATTTATAGATCTAAATCGCAATAATCTATTAAAAATAAAAGTCTAAAATAAATATTAATTTCGTATAATAGCATTTATAAATATTCATAGTATCGAATATTTATAAATGCTATTATACACCGGCAAGTCGATCTAGCCATGTCCGTCGCTCTTTTTTACGCAAATTAGTCTCAGTTTTAAAGCTATCTGGATGAAACTTCCCCAACAGTCTTATTTCTTGAGCAGATAGTATATAAGCCAGAACGGTCCAGATCGGTCGACGATATCGTATAGCTGCCATAGGAACAGCTTCGTTGTTTTTGAAAGTATTTTTTCAAAAATGTTGTTTTTATTTTTTAAAAATTTGGCACGCTTATATCAAAATGACGCAACTTCGTTGTCTTTCAACATGTACATGCTACACAGGGGGACTTTGAATAAAATATTTAATTTGTTTTCTTTATTAATACATTTACTCTGTCATTTAACAGTTCGGGAGCTAATCTTAGTACTATATTAAAGATGCTTAAACTCTTAGTAGTTCTGGCGTCTCTGGGAGTTGCGCGTCTGGTTGGCCAAGCAACAAGCGAATATAAAGGCCACAAGCTGAAAAAAAGGTGTTTCTAGTTAGTATGGCGGATTCGAAAGATTCAGATTCCAATTACCTCAACAGCGGTCACACCCAGACCAGCGTACTTGATGATATTCGCGTTGGTGTCCCAGAACGAATCGACGGCTCTCAGGCAACTGGGACGGCCAATAACTTGGGTCATTCCGCAGGATCCGTTGGTGGGCGCGTCGCAGCAGGAGGCGGGATAAGAAATTCCGTAATCGGCAAATCCGTTAAGACCACAGCACTTGAACTGCAATGAAAGGATAATTTACGAAAAAAACCCTATGATAAAAAGCTTTCCAATTTTATTGTTATACTCGAAATGTTCTACTATTATCAAATTGTTTTCTGAGGTTGGCATTTTGTTTTTCAAATTATTAAAATTAAAATAAATACAAGAATTATTATCATAAATAATTATTTCTGATCATTTAAAAAACAAAGATAATTATTTACCAAAAGTAAAAGTTTAGAGATCCTTATTGCAAAATTACACAATTGTTTTCTCTAAGATTTAATTAACTTTGTAAAAGGAAATGAAATGCACTCACGGTTCGCTGCAGTGTGTTCATAAGAAGGTCGTCAGATTTGCGCAAATGCCGCATATCTGCAATGGAAAATCGAAAATTAGCTATGTTAGTCAAAGGCTTCGATGACTGTTATCGCGGCGGTGATTCAAGCGAATTGAATAACAGCCACCCCCGCCCAAACTATTCCAATTAGCATCGGGTACTTTACACGGAGGGAAAAAGCTCACACTCAATCGGGGATATAATTATATATAGATAATTGAATGATTTCAGTTTAAAACAAGAGAGAACGCTGTAGTCGGGTGCCCCGACTATCAAATACCCGTTACTCAGGTAAAGGGAGTGCGAGGGAGATGGAGATAGAAACTTTGATCACGCATAACTTTTTAACGAATGGTCCGATTTGAAAAATTTCTTCTACATTTCGATAGGTATTGATAAACACAATAAAACTGCATTTTTACTTTTCCGAAATATTTAAATTTTTAAAATCGTATATAAGCGATTGTGGGCGTTAAAGGGGGCGTGGCACCTTTTTGAAACTTGCGCTGCGTAGGAACTCCTAGAATATGCCTGCAAAATATCAATCTTCTAGCTTTTATAGTTTCCGAGATCTCAGCGTTCATACGGACGGACAGACGGACAGACGGACATGGCTATATCGACTCGGCTAGTGACCCTGATCAAGAATATATATACTTTATAGGGTCGGAAACGCTTGCTTCTAGCTGTTACATACTTTTGCACGAATACAATATACCCTTTTACTCTACGAGTAACGGGTATAATAATTATTATAAAAAGGAGAGAAATCTTTACTTTGAAATATGCATTTCTGCAGTAACGTGAATGAAATAAACTCTGTTATTAAAATCATTTATCCATTTGCAGATCGTTGGCATCCTTCTGATCGTGCTGGGCTCGATCATGTTGTCCGATCTCAATCACTTTGATAGTGCCGGCGATGGAACGAACACCAACACCATCCCCATTTGCGTCACAGTTTTGGGATGCCTGATCTTCGTGGTGTCCTTCTTCGGATGCTTTGGCATTTTCAAGCAGAGTGCCTGCATGACGGGAGCGGTGAGTAATGTGACCCAACGTACGTATATGTCCAGCAACTAAAAGTAATATTCATTTCAGTACACGAGCATGGTATTCGTCCTCTTTATCCTGCAACTGGTGCTCACCTGCTGGGTGTTCGTGAACCGTAATGCATTCCTGGGGGACATGAGCAATTTGGTAACGCTGCTCTGGAACTCCAAAGACTATAATGCAATGGGCGTGCTGGAGGAAACCTTCGGCTGCTGCGGCAACACCGGCTATGCCAACTATAATGCCAACAATATCGCGGTTCCCGGAACCTGTTGCGGCTACTTGGATCGCCAGCAAACGTGCAACAACCCTTCGGTCTACCAATCGAGACCCGGCTGCAACTTCAAGTTCGAGCAGTTTTGGGACGACAACATGGACATCATCCGCTGGTCCGGCCTGGGCCTCTGCATTTTCGACTTGATCGTCTTCCTGATCGCCGGCGCCTTGACCAACTGTATGCGCAACCAGAACGCCGGCCGACAGGGTTATGCCTAGTCTTCGAGTAATTTTGCTAAATAAATTATTCCTAACCACAAAATAATTACATTAACACAGTAGCATGCCAAATATATTTATTATTACTCCAATTCCAAATTTTCTTCATTTCTGTATGTGATTTGAAACTGAAGATTTAATACCATCATATTTATTATGACTTATTCTGTAGCACTTAGGTTGAGAAAAACTCATTTCCTAAAACTTAAAACAATCTTTTTCTGAATGTGGGATCAATGGGAGTTTCATTTAGTATTATCGTTGCATAAACATATTTAAAGATATGTCCAATAAGAAGTTTTAATCACGAGGTAATCCTGTGAAATTTAACTTAACTCAGGGTCGGAGATGTTTCCTTCACTGCGTTGCACACTTTTGACCAAAATTAGAATACCGCCTGCAAGGGTATAACAAGAAAGGAAGCAAACTTCGGCATGCCGAAGTTTATATACCCTTGCAGTTATTACAAATTGACTATATTTCGATTTTTATGCCTATATTACTAAAAACAGATAATGGGGCTTCTGGAAAGAAAGGTCTCGCGCCTTCCCGCCCAGAGCACTCATCCTAAAAAAGAGAAGGGTCAATCGAAACATGAAGAACAGTGTGTTTCTATAGCATTTCAAAAAGAAAAGTTCTTTTTTATCATTTGTAATTATGGCCCATTTAAATTTGAAATATTTCTAGTCAAACATAAAATGAATTAAGTTTTACGATACGAACCACTGTCTGGTAAATATGTATGCGCCGGCTTCCACCAGCTCCTGGTTCCATTTCATTTGAACCTGGTCAGCGGCGAACTTTTTTATGTAAGTCTCGCTTAATTTGAAGCCGAGATGCCCAGCAAGCTGATTATCAACTGAGCCAACAGTAGGAAGATGTACTGTATTGGCATTGCACGCAAAAAAAAGCAGTAGGAACGAAGTTTTTAAATCACCATTTCGGTTAGATATCCTTTAGCATTCATAATTCCGTCTATTAAAACCAACTCTCCAATTCCTCGAGCGGACATGCAGCCCCAAACTAGTACGGAACCACCTCCATGCTTCACCGTTGGTTTAACATTTTTCAGTTTAAGCTCTTCACAGGGCTTTCGCCACACTTTTCTTTCTCCATAAAATCCGAATATATTGAATTTACTTTCATCACTAAATATTACTTGTTCCCAGTACTCAAAATTCGGGTCTAAATACGTTTGAGCAAAAGAAAGCCGCTTTGATATATTTATGGCTGAGAGCAACGGTTTCTTTCTAGGGGATCTCCCATGCAGATCTTGGCTCCTGAGCCCTCTTCGGACGGTTTCAGTGGATACGTTTCTTCCCAGGCAAATAAATCGGCTATTGCCTGATCTGTGGTTGCCGTCACGTTTTCGAACGACAGCGAGGAAGGAAAAGAATTAGATTTACGCTTGGTGTTACCGAAATTATAAAACTGTTTCGGGTCCTGAGAGAACTGGACCTTACAACGGCTTAAGTAACTATTATAACATTGAGTATTAAGCACGGTAAATCTTGACCGACATCTTTACACCAAGAATGACACCAAAAGTTTGTGTTTTTCCCCGAATTCAGTCTTTAAAATAGAAACGCAACCAAAACGACAAAAAAATAATGCGCTAACCCCAAAAAATACTATAATATAAAAAATTCGCATGTGCAACGAATACTTTTGTAAGCATGCAAAATGGCTTATATTTATATTTTTGTCCATATATCTTTGTGGAAAGCGTTTTCTGTTTGGTTTTTTTCGTCATATAATTCACAAAATATATATCTTTGGAAACATAAACCATTTTTTACCATTTTAAAATAGTTACTTATTTAAAATTGGCATTTTTCAGTTAACCCTCTTTGCAACGAATACTTTTGCGACTCACTGTATATATATTTATATATATTTTTAAAGAATTAGGTAATTATGAGACTTTAGAGTGGGTGTTGCAAATTAACTTACGCAACACTAAAAGTAAAGTCAAATTTATTTGAACATTCAATTTAATACTAATACAATATGTTAATGCAGGACATTGCACAAATACCTACTCCAAAAAGATAAGATAAGCATGGAACTCTAATGCTGCTAATCTAACCTCGCAAGTAGTCATGCCAACTTTGGCCCTAAACCAAGATTGGAATCTTAAAATCAAGCACAACAAGAAAGGAAAGCTAACTTCGGGCGGAGCCGAAGTTGATATACCCTTGCAGAATACTCTGTAAATTATATTCTCCAAAATTATTCATATGATGCATTCTTAATACTCATAAAAAAATCCCAACTTCCTAACTTTAAAAACACCAAAGTTATGTCGTTTCCGATCAATCAGTTATATGGCGGCTATAGGATATAATCGGCCGATCCTTATGAAATTTGATATGTCGGATTGATTGGGCAAAAATAAAACCCATAGAAAATCCCAACTTCCTAACTTAACAAACACTAAAGTTATGGCATTTCCGATCAATCAGTTATATGACAGCTATAAGATATAGTCGTCCGATCCTTATGAAATTTGGTAGGTCGGATTAATTGGCCAAATATATAACCCATAAAAAATCCCAACTTCCTAACTTAACAAACACCAAAGTGATGGCATTTCCGATCAATCAGTTATATAGCAGCTATAGGATATAGTCGGCCGATCCTTATGAAATTTGGTACGTCGGATTGATTGGCCAAATATAATACTCATAGAGAGTCCCAACTTCCTAACTTAACAAACAGCAGAGTTATGGCATTTCCGATCAATCAGTTATATGGCAGCTATAGGATATAGTCGGCCGATCCCGGCCGTTCCGACAGGCGGACAGACGGACATGGCTATATCAACTCAGGAGGTGATCCTGATCAAGAATATATATACTTTATAGGGTCGGAAATGTCTCATTCACTGCGTTGCAAACTTTTGACTGAAATTATAATACCCTCTGCAAGGGTATAAAAATAACAATAATTGGTATTTGTTAGTATTTAAGCTTTGTGAAAAAAGACTTTGTACATTAATTAAATAGTAAACTCTTCAAGACTTCACGTTTTTTTTATTTTTTCCAAAATAATGATTAATTTTAAGATTCGGCAGCATGTTAAACTTTCAACGTAAACACTATAACATGTACCTACATATGTATATTTATTGCATATTTCGTTGCAAAACAAAGTTGAAACAACAAAGTTATACTTTTTAAAATTTTTTTTACGGATTGTTCCTATGGCAGGACTTTTGGGAGTTTTTTTTTAAGCTATTCGTGTAGTGAATGGCCAAAATTGCGTCCAACACGATAATGACACCCTATAAAAGAGAAAATATGCGATTAAGTTATTAATTATTTAAAGAATGTATGTATAATAGGGTAACGCTCACATTCAATCCGAACAGTCCCCACATTAATACATCCGAGTTCTCATCCTCAAAAGAAAGTTCCACTTTCTTGAGACATCCCTCCCGATTAAGATTCTGGGGATTCACACAGCTATTATTCTTGCAACAACTGTTGGGTACAGTGTGGTTCCAGACTTCGCTATTCAGGTAGTCCGCGGCACCATCTAGGCCACAGCATTGGTACTGCAATGAATGGACATTTATGAAGTAGTAATTGACTAAAGAAAACTCGAGAAAAACATTGATAAATTGAATGTTATTAAATCTACACATTAATTGTAAGCTGGTAAAACAATTGTATCTTAGGGAAATTTTTTTTATAAATAAATATTACCTGTGCTAATAAAGTACATTCATTTAAAATTCAATGGTTTATTTATTAGCAAACATAAAGAATAAGGCCGTACTTACAGATGTCTGAATGCTATCCATGCTACCCGGATGAGTCTCCTCCAGTTTCCAATGATTCTCGACGGCTTTCTTGACCGCATCTTTGGAAGTTAGGATGGTAACGGTCACCTGTACTACCAGCAACGCCAGCAGAAACGTCACGTACTGCAGGACAAATAAAGTAAGTCACCCATGGAGTACATGTGAGATTTATGTAAAAGCATTGTTCAAGTACAAACCATCCAGAGCATGCGCGGTGATTCGCGAACGGCTCCACAGCAGCCAAAAAGGGATGTCAAAAATATATAGACACCCACGACCAGGACGCAAATAGCAAACCAATTCTCAAACTCTCCGAAGTTACTGGCTCCGAAAACGATCACTAGGATTCCAAATATCTGAAAGTTTGGCGGAAAATTAGAAGAAGCAGAAATAAATATGCCTCTTGCTAATGAAAAAGCATTAAAATCTATTCCATGACTCGAAGAACTAATCAACGAATTTGCAGCATTGTTCGGAAAAAAATTTAATTCGTTGATTTAATACACTTAATTAATTTATTAGTCTTATACTTTATGACAAAGATTTAATTGTTAAATTAATTAGAAAGAGCTTTATATTGCCAAGCTTTATATTTCCAAGTACCTCCAGTATATATGTTCATTTGCATTTCATTATAGTTAGTTGTGAATTTGTGATCCATAGTTTCGTGACCTTGAGAAGGCTGCAAGTTCGAGTTCGAGTTGACTACTAACTACTAACTATATTCTTATATATTAACCTCGCTTTTAAAACTAAATGTGGACTCATTTCGATGCTTGGCTGCCAAACCTCTCCTTTCGGCAGGAAAACAAGGCAGAGCAGAAGCCATTAGCACACAGATACCCTCGAAATGTAGACCTAAGCAAAACACGCACCCCAAATTAGATCATCTAGTAGCCGGATGTACTATATATTTAAAATATCATGGCTGGATATTTGTAAAACAACCTCAAAGCTTAATATGTTTATTTAGATTTAGTGCTCTACTTACCAGCCATATTGCATTAAAGAAGAAAAACGAGTACTTTACAGTGCTCGTTGCGCAGCTCATATTGAATTTCTGTTTCTATCTTTCAATGTTCAATGTCAATCTGTGTTTTAAATTTCGAGATTATTTTGGCGGGACTAATCTGGTTTAACAGCGCGGACTACTCTGACCACGGTCGCGAGAAAACTGAGCATCGTAAAAGTTGAAAAATACAAACTTGGTAGTGAGTAATACTTAATCTAATTTTATAAAAAGAATACAAAAGCTTCAGAAGGGCACATCAAATATATAATTTGATTACGCGGAAGACGCACTAATCATATCAGTTTGAAACATATAAGTTTGTATGGGGACCAACCAAGCCCATGAGTTTTCGTCGCAATAACCGGACGGACACTATAAGCGGACTCGTTATAACCGGATTCTCCTATGATTCTACGATCCAGCTTGAGTCGTTTGCGTAGTTGAAGAAAGCCTCAAAGTTCTGGCTGGTCTTCTGGACACATCCAGTCAGATAATGGGGCTTAACTATAGCTCATTTAAATTTGAAATATTTCTAGCCAAACATAAAATGAAGTTAGTTTTACGATACGAACCACACTCTGGTAAATATCCATGGCGCCGGGTTCCACCAGCTCCAGGTTCCATTTCATCTAAACCTGGTCAGCGGCGAATTTTTCTATGCAATTCTCGCTGAAATTGAAGCCGAAGATGCCCAGCAAGCTGATTATCAACTGAGCCAACAGTTACTGTATTGGCATTGCACGCAGAAGGAGAGACTTTTTTAATCACCATTTCGGTTAGATATCCTTCAGCATTCATAATTCCGTCTATTAAAACCAACTTTCCAACTCCTCGAGCGGACATGCAGCCCCAAACTAGTACGGAACCACCTCCATGCTTCACCGTTGGTTTAACATTTTTCAGTTTAAGCTCTTCACAGGGCTTTCGCCACACTTTTCTTTCTCCATAAAATTCGAATATATTGAATTTACTTTCATCACTAAATATTACTTGTTCCCAGTACTCAAAATTCGGGTCCAAATACGTTTGAGCAAAAGAAAGCCGCTTTGATATATTTATGGCTGAGAGCAAGGGTTTCTTTCTGGGGTATCCCCAATGCAGATCTTGGCTCCGGAGCACTCTTCGGACGGTTTCAGTGGATACGTTTGTTCCCAGGGATGTGGATATGACAGTATTCATTTTCGGAACCGAAAGGTGCGTTTTTTCCTGTTTTCTTCGAGGATTTTCTTCTCTTCCCTGCAGGTTAATGATTTCAGACGGCCAGAACGGGATTGATTTTCCAGGGAATTTCTGGATTTCAGTCGCGAAATGAGACTACTTATGGTTAATGGACTTCTATCGAACATCCCATCGATCGACCCTCATTAGTTAGGTGTAAAATAATTTTTTTTTGTGAAAAGTTTAACTCCGTTCCCTTCGGCATTTTGCTAGAGATTTACACCAAGAATGACACCAAAAGTTTGTGTTTTTTCCCGAATTCAGTCTTTAAGCCTAGTATCCTGATCGACGAAAACCGTACGCCAGTCATGAGAGAGCGAGAGGCAAACAGCTGGCGTTCACTTTTCGTCGGGCCTTTTTTCACGTCGGTCTCCTGATCGACGAAAAAAATACCAGAAAATTCCATAGCGTTGCCAGTCTGCGGAAATTAACTTTGGGTCAAACCCTCAATTAAAAAATTTAATCTTTTGGCGTGCGCTTCTCACTGAACATTATAAGAAATGGAGGGAAAAACTCAAAAAACTCGCAAAAGTCGATTGCAGGTGTTTACATGTGAAGACAAAATAACATTAATACTATCTGGGGTGCCTCTTGTCAGAGCAAAATGTTTTTTAGGTCCAGCATGTACGAAAAAAAACAATAAAAGTGCAGCTATGAACTTTAAATTAGCAAATAATTATCAGTAAATTAAAAAAAAACAACTGTTAAATTTAAATTGTATTTTAATTGTTTTTTAATTTCTTTGTACAGCGGCAGACTTGTCTTGCCAAGGTATTTGATAATATCTTTTAAAGGCTCTTTGCCGCAAATACGATATTTGAATTTTAACTGCTTGTCAACAAACCCAGCTGATTGACAGTACGAAACTTTTGGTCACACTGGAAAGATTAAAGTTTTTACGCTAGCGTAATCGTTTGTCGATCTGGATACTAGGCTTTAAAATAGAAACGCAACCAAAACGACAAAAAAATATTGCGCTAACCCCAAAAAATACTATAATATAAAAAATTCGCATGTGCAACGAATACTTTTGTAAGCATGCAAAATGGCTTATATTTATATTTTTGTCCATATATCTTTGTGGAAAGCGTTTTCTGTTTGGTTTTTTTCGTCATATAATTCACAAAATATATATCTTTGGAAATTTAACCCTTTTTTTACCATTTTAAAATAGTTACTTATTTAAAATTGGCATTTTTCAGTTAACCCTCTTTGCAACGAATACTTTTGCGACTCACTGTATATATATTTATATATATTTTTAAAGAATTAGGTAATTTTGAGACGTTAGAGTGGGTGTTGCAAATTAACTTACGCAACACTAAAAGTAAAGTCAAATTTATTTGAACATTCAATTAAATACTAATACAATAGTTATTGCAGGACATTGCACAAATACCTACTCCAAAAAGATAAGATAAGCATGGAATTCTAATCCTGCTATTCTAACCTCGCAAGTAGTCATGCCAACTTTGGCCCTAAACCAAGATTGGAATCTTAAAATCAAGCACAACAAGAAAGGAAAGCTAACTTGATGCATTCTTAATACTCATAAAAAACCCATCTCCTAACCTTAAAAACACCAAAGTTATGGCATTCCAATCGTTCAGTTATATGGCTGCTATAGGATATAGTCGGCCGATTCTTATAATATTTGGTAAGTCGGATTGATTGGTCAAAAATAAAACCCATAGAAAATCGAAACTTCCTAACTTTATAAACAATCAATTTTGTAGTTTTAAATATAATTTTTTTAATAAATTATTCTTCTTGCACCTGGGCGAGTAAAATAACTTCTGCATGTAAAACATGTGTACATACATGCATGTTACCTACATGTGTAGATATTTTTGATAATTTACGTGCCAAAATACTCGTAAGGTTAACGGAATAAAAATTATGTCTGTTTGGCTGTACACACCTTGTGGTAAGGATTTAATTATTTGTTCGATTTATAGATCTAAATCAAAAAATTTTCAATTTTTCAAAAATGTTGTTTTTATTTTTTAAAAATTTGGCACGCCTTTGTCAAATTGACACAACTTCGTTGTTTTACAACATATACATGTACATGCTCCACAGGGGGACTTTGAATAAAATATTTAATTTGTTTTCTTTATTAATACATTTACTCTGTCATTTAATAGTTCCGGAGATAATCTTAGTACTATATTAAAGATGCTTAAACTCTTAGTAGTTCTGGCGTCTCTGGGAGTTGCGCGTCTGGTTGGCCAAGCAACAAGCGAAGATAAAGGCCACAAGCTGAAAGAAAGGTGTTACTAGTTAGTATGGCGGATTCGAAAGATTCAGATTCCAATTACCTCAACAGCGGTCACACCCAGACCAGCGTACTTGATGATATTCGCGTTGGTGTCCCAGAACGAATCGACGGCTCTCAGGCAACTGGGACGGCCAATAACTTGGGTTATTCCGCAGGATCCGTTGGTGGGCGCGTCGCAGCAGGAGGCGGGATAAGAAGTTCCGTAATCGGCAAATCCGTTAAGACCACAGCACTTGAACTGCAATGAAAGAATATTAATTATGAAAAAAACCCTATGTTAATTCAATTCTATCATCAAATTATTTTCTGAGGTTGGCATTTTGTTTTCCAAATTATTAAACTTAAAATAAATACAAGAATTATTATCATAAAGAATTATTTCTCTGTAGTTCAAAATCAAAAATTAATTATCTTACCAAATTATAATAAATTATTATAATTATCTTTGCCAAAAATAAAATGTTAAAGATTTTTATTGCAAAATGGTGCAATTAATTTGTTCTAAGATTCAATGTACTTGTGTAAAGAAATGAAAAACACTCACGGTTCGCTGCAGTGTGTTCATAAGAAGGTCGTCAGTTTTGCGCTGATTCCAAACGGCCTGGACAAACTTCTCCAGGGATTGCTCAATCTGCACATGGTCCACCCACACGTAGATTATAAGGGCCAGTTGACTAATCAGCAGCACCAGCATGACAACAGAGTACTAGTGAAATAGGGACATATGTGTAAGTTAATTATTTTAAAAGCCGAAGAACCCGTAACCCACCGAGGTCAGAGCACAGGCATTCTCGCGAATGGCACCGCAGCAGCCCATGAAGGCCACCAGAAAGATGATGCAGCCGAGGACCAGGATGATGATGGCCACGCTGTTGGCTGTGAATGTCTCATCCACGCTCGAGAACTCCTTTATGGTCGACACCATAATGGAACCGAACGTGATAAGCAAAATGCCGCATATCTGCAATGGAATATCGAAAATTAGCTATGTTAGTCAAAGGCTTCGATGACTGTTATCGCGGCGGTGATTCAAGCGAATTGAATAACAGCCACCCCCGCCCAAGCTATTGTTCCAATTAGCATCGGGTACTTTACACGCAGGGAAAAAGCTCACACTCAATCGGGGATATAATTATATATAGATAATTGAATGATTTCAGTTGAGTTATAAGGAAATTACTATTATTCACTTAGATTATATTGAGTTATATAGATTATTTTTAAGCAACACGAAACCGTTTGAAGTCACCTGGTAGCGAGTGTGTCGCAATCATATGTTTTTAGAAATATTATATATTTCAAAAGATACCTAAGTTCAATGCATCCATTCATTTGGAAAACAATTTCATCACATATACTATACAGTATCTATATTTTTCAGAGGGGGATGTCTCTGTAAACTTTCTACCATCGTTATTACTCATACTGTTATCTTTTCCGAGTACAATGTGTTTTCCGACAACTGTTTCAGCTCATTAACCGTAATTACGTTCGGCATTGGCATGCAATGATTTATTTAAGGAATACACCTTTTTTTAACCATTTTTAACCATATTTTTCGATAAGATAACTTTCTATCGCAGTATCCAGGTCGGTACAGGCGGAAATCTTGAGCCTCAAGAGTTTATTTGTCATTCTTTTGCAGATAAGATATCGTCCAGGCCAACGGAATTTATTTTCAAGCCACTCAAATGTTGAATATTGAAGATATTTGTAGGAATCTTTGAGAATCTTCTCTTACCACAAACAGTATGTTGAATACAAAAAGCACATATTTCACGAATACTCCGCCGCAATCCATTGCAGAAATATATATTAATTTCAGTCGCTTTCGATGGAAATAATTCAAATTATTCGATGCGTTTTGTTTCGATGTTAAATTGTTACTGAAAAAGTTCGTCAGATGACTTTTCTTTATTAGTGCCACTTGTTGCTAAAAGCTTTGTTAAACTTGTATTATCTCAGTGTCAACAGGCGATAAGGAAAGAGTTGACTACAATCTGCTCACTTTGACCGAAAAGTATGTTCCATAAATTTGAAAGCATTTATAGTAGCCTAATTTAGGGATTCCTTTCATAACTCAAAGTATATATAAATCGAAACAGTTTTAATGGCAATAACGATGCAAATTAAGAAACTAACTCAAAAATAATAAAATTTTGAACTGAATGTTTTTAGTAGTTTAGATTTAATTCCTCACAACTGAGTAATTAATTTATGGGTCTTATAAATCTTTTATTTTTTAAATTCTACATTACGTAAAAACTGAGTCTAAACATCGGAACAAGATCATCACCTCTACATTGGTGTGAGTCCGTGGCAAGGGTCTATCAAAGTTCCTTTCCATGGTTCCCGTACGCGCTAATTAAAGTTGGCATATTGAGGTATTTTTTTTATAAATCTAAGGTACCGAAGGTATATAAGAGCAGTTCCGTTACGGTCACTCTGGTTAACAAAAAGTTGCTCGACTCGAACGGAAGCGCATTGCGTTGAAATTTAATTTGGGAATAATATAAAGGCGAAGGTAATGATGCGTGTGCAATTAAATTAATAATATAGTGATTTTCGGAATTTGCTTAAACGAAGTGTCAGCGGAAATATACAATATGCCACGACATTTTTACAAATGTGACAAGCCGAAATCAAATCAGATGCTGCACGCTAGAAAAGTGGTTGAACAAGGAGACGCGAAAACAAAAGACTGCGTAGTACGACTAAATAAGTGTGAAAAGCGAAAGAAAATGTATAAAATTAAGACAATGCGGCGCTTCTTCTTCTCCTTGACAGAGTGCAGTGAACTTTTCTTATTTTCTACTTGAATCTTGGAGCCCCATTGACTTGTTTTGTTGTTGTGGAAAAGTTGCATTCCTTTTGTGTTTTCGTTCGCCTTTGTTTTGTTGTTGCCCGGGCAACGCATTCGAAAAGGACGCAAAAGAAAACGGGATGATAATGGATGCTTGGAAGGCATTGAAATCTATTGGCTATCTTTAAATAACCTTTCTGATTTATCTTGCTTTTATGACAGATTCATTTGTTAAAATTGAACAATTATCGCACAATTCAAGCGTTAATTGGTCGGCAGCTGGGCAAATACATAAACTGTGCAACCGATTTAATGTGATTAATTCAATTGCGCTTTTCCGCTTCCCCTATTCCAGGCGGTACAGTGAACACCCATCAACATGGACTGCGGCACATCTCTGGTCAAGTACATCCTCTTCATATTCAACACCATTGTGTCGGTGAGTATATAGCCAATAAGTTTATACATATGCAAGTTTGCTTTATAGCCAACGAAATCGAAACCAAAACCGGTACAAAAAGAGTTGCGTGAAAGCCAAAATGGGACAAAATGTATTACGAAAGAGTTGTCGAAATACGAGTCAATAAATTCAGTTGAACGGCATAAATATGCAATGTGCATATTAAGTTGGGAGGAGGCGGTCAATCTACATCTGTATGCATTATAAAAATAATGCACGGTAATTTTCAGACGCCCCTGAGAACACACCGCCGCATTGAGAAATCGAGAACTCGTGCTTTTCTGTTGTTTGCCTTTTGCTTCGGAGTCGTTATTGAACTTTGGTGATGTCATCGCCGCTGGGAAATGTTCAGCTTCCATTTTTGAAAGTTTTTTTTTTCATTCCGACAAATTGCCCCGGTTCCGAGAAGTACACTTACATATTTGCTCAGACAGCAAGAATTTATAAGCTGAAAGCAATCCTTTTTTTTTATTTAGTTGGAATTTTGTCATGTACATAAATTATAAACAACATTTTTATATGTTTCTTTATTGCATTTTTATTAATTAATAATAATAAAAAAAATTAAAGTAATAATTATTTTTTAATTTATTTAAATGTTTATTTATATTTTAATGACTGTAGGTTAACGAGAACAATCCCAAAAAATAGCATCATAAAACCTTGTGTGTGGGAAGAGCTAAGATTTTACTTATACATTTTTTTCTTTTGGAATCCAATGCTCTCATAAGCAAAATCTGTGTGAGATTTTTCGGACTCAGCTTATTTGTGCTGTAGAATCTTTCGGCTTAAATGATTCTCACTCAATGATGACCTAAGATAGCCTTTGCTGGCAAACAAACCTTAATCTGTGCTTAAAATAATAATTAAAGCAAATAATATTACAATGCTCGTACAATTTTGAACACTTAGCATTCGTAAAGGCGCCTGCAAATAGCCGTAAAATGAGTCACAAAGCTAAAACAACAAGTCGCAAAGCGAAACGAATTGAAAATATAAAAAAGATACACCTGCGGTAAAAATGTTATTAACAAAGCTGTGAAATTCCAAACTGGAAATGAGCTGACATTTTGTAATAAATCTCATTATAACATCTATAGTTTTGTAATGGTACTTATTTGTGAGATGATTCTTAAGTAGAGAATTTTATTATTATGGTTTCGACTTAACGAATTCAGTTAATTTATGTACATTAAAGCCTTAGGGCTTTTGGTTTGCCCGCACCAGTGGGTCTAAACATACCAGCACATAAGTAGGTAAATGAGCAAAAAACACAAAAGTAGGAACGAAAATAAAAACCTGTTGCTCTAGAGAAATGCGATAAAACAAAAGCAACAATATACAACTGGTTGGCGGAGCAGAAGTTTATGGTATACATAGTCAACACTTACAGTGTGCCATGTTGATATTTATCTGCCGAGTATATACCCGAGTACATAACACACTTGACAGACAAGCCAAATAAATTAACAAGCCGCTTTTAGAGCTCGCCGAGCACCAATACAGTAAAAAAATGACTGCCGCAACGCTCGAAAAAACAGCAGCAACAAGTACACTCACTCGCATATCTCTGCGTACACCCCAAAAAAATTTCAAAATCTAACTTTAAACCCTAGCTGTTCGGCCATTTATGCATATATTCAACCCATTCTTTTTTTTAAACATAATTATAATTTATTGTCTTCATTGACGTATTTTTTTTTAAATTATTCAACAGTGTCTTATATTTTATTTTTAATTTTAAACTTAACACTACCAAAAAATGTACCCGCAAAAGTCTGCGTACACCTGTTTAAAACACAAATAATATTATTTTTAGTAACTGGTAGGGTATTCTTTTCTCTGCAAAACTTCCGTAAGGCGTCTCGGGATGGAATCCACTTTTTTTTTGTCTCATTTGCAGTAATTTTCCCCTACTCCTCGAGAATCACATTCTTGAGCATTTTTTTAGATGTTATCGTGTGTCTTCGGATTTTCCTCTCAAGAAGATCCCAAAAATGCTCATTTGGGCTTAGATCAGGACTTTGGGGAGGTGTTCGCAGCTGATTTATGACGTTATACAGCAGCCAAAGCTTGGTATTCTGCGCCGTATGCTTCGGGTCGTTGTCTTGTTGGAACCAACATTCACTTTCGAGCCCTAATTTTTCAGCACTTTCTTTTAAATTGTTTTTTAATATGTCAATATAGATTTTCTGATCCATTATTAACTCGATAAATACCAATTTTCCAACGCCACTTGCTGCCATACACCCCCACACCATTATTCCGCTTCCTCCTTGCTTTACTGTGCCAACCAAATTTTCTTAATTTGAGGCTTCTCCGCTTTTCCTCCATACCAAAACCTTTCCCTTGATTCCAAATATGCAGAATTTAGTTTCGTCGGGAAATATAATCTTATTCCAGAAGTCTTGGTGTTTGGAAATATACTCATTAGTAAAGGTTAGGCGCTTATGTCTATTGACTTCCGATATGAGAGGTTTTTTGCGGGCGACTCTGCTATGGTAGTCAGCCTTTTTTATGGTCCGGCGTACAGTATCTTCGGAAACTCTTTTGGAAAATCTATCCTCGACCTTCAGCTTTGCCTGGTGAGCTGTCGTCCTTGGGTTGAGCTGAATAGATTTGATAATATTCCTCTGCTCGCGGATTATAAGCAAAGGCGGACGGCCAGAACGAGCCTTTGGCAAGATACTTCCAGCCGAGTTGTAGTTATCTATCACTCTTTGGATGGATGAGTGGGTTCTACCAACTAAAGCACCAATTTCTCTATAAGATTTTCCATCCAAAAAACCTTTTAATATAATTTTCCACTCCTCAACAGAAATTTCCTTGCCTTTTTGTTCCATGTTGCAATATGCTCGTTATTATAATGAAAAAGTTTCATTTTAACTGCGTAATGTCTATTTTTAGGCATTCTAAAGTAGATCGGCGACAACAAAATTAACGGAAATCGCACAATCCTGCATTCCTCGAAGTTGAAAACTGCTGTACGCAGACTTTTGCGCGTACACTTTTTCGTAGTGTTAGGTTTAAAATTAAAAATAAAATATAACCCCCTGTTGAATATTTCTAATATTTCTACGTCAATGAAGACAATAAACCATAGTTTTGTTTAAAAAAAGAATGAATAAAATACATGCATAAATGGCCGAACAATTAATGTTCAAAGTTAGATTTTGAAATTTTTTTGGGGTGTACGCAGAGATATGCGAGTGAGTGTACAATGCCTGTACAACTTTTTGCAGTTCGACAAAAAAAGGGGAAAAACAACGTAAAAACAGTCAGAACAAACAAGCTAATATAAAGAAATATTAAATTTGTTCTCGATTTAAAAGATTTTTAAGCGAGCATTTGATTTGTAAGCAAAGGTGTTGGTGATTCATAAGCAACGCCGGTAATTTTGTTCTTGAACATCCTATTGAGTATTCTTTTCCATGACTGTGCCGCAAGTTTGTGTGTGTTTTTTCTCACAGTTTCTAGTTTAATATTCTATACAGCTCTGGTATGAATTTCGCATGCCAAATGACAAACCTGTAAAAGGGCGGGCAGTGCCGCCCATGACTGTAAGGCCACCGTGTATTGAAAATGACCTGCATTCATCTTATCGATGGTCGTTTCCTGTGTTATGAGACACTTAGCAAACAACTTCAGGAATAAATATTTACACGTTCGATTTGCTAAAGCTATACTCGTGGTTGAGTGGAATGCACTGTATTTTTTCCGATGACGTGTCACCTGTTCGATTCTTATTAGTAAACTGGCTGGGGTTTCCAATGAATGGACTATATTTTGACTTCATGCCCAAAAGTTAACTTATGTGCCTGGACAATTTTTTAATCAAAATACATCTGTACATTCATAATCAAGGTTAAAAATAAATTACCGGAAATCTTGTGTTTATCTAAATAGTTGGTTTTTAATTTTGCTTAAAAATAAATGGAATAACATTTAATAAAGATAATTAAAATTATAATAATTCCATTGGCAGCAACAATTATATTTGATATAGAAGATCAGCTCTTTTCGTTTTATACAAATGCATTTATTTTGAAATTAAAAAAATTAATTTTAAGTTTTACATGAGAAAGTTACGTTTGGGTCATCCATGGTTATGCCAATGCTTAAAAAATCGTTGGTTTTTGATGATATTTTATTTGCGGTTGTGGGAACTGACTGCCGACCTTAATAATTAGCCCGTGTACTCCATTTGACAACAAAATTTATATTTTTCAAGCAACATACTTTTTTTATAGAAAACCACGCAAATTTGAAATTTGATTACAACAGAACTATGTCAGTCGGGGAATTTATTCTTAATGTAATGTATTCGTGGTCCATCAGACTATTACTAAATATGTTTTAAGCTGATAAGCCTTTATCGACGCGACTCTTAGTTTTATCCTTGAAACTGTCGGAAATGTCTCTAAAATTACAATACATTTAATATATACAAATATTTTATCAACCGGAAGTTCTAAAACTGAAAACTTAAACCATTTTTTTTTTCTTTTTTTAACATAGTTGGATATAGAAATCTTTTTGCATGGCAATTAAAATGTACACTTTAATCTTTTATTTTCACATTCTCACACTCTTACGGAAAATTCATATATATTGAATATTGCCTTACTCATGAACTCATATTACTCATGTTAAACCATATATATGTCCTCAAATTAGTTTACAGCCACATTAATAATAGATTTATATCTCAGAAACTTCCCAACTTTTTTTTGGTATCCTCTGGGTTGTTTTTCTGGCAATATGACGTCATACCCTTGCTACGGGCTTTCTACTTCTACTATTTGCAAAAGCCATTTGCATTACAATTTTATTTTTCTGTGACGTCATTGGAGCTGTCGTTGACAGTTTTAAACAAAATGTGGCTGACAGCATTGTCTGGGCCATATTTATGTGAATTGTGTAATGTCCTCGTTAGCAGAAATCGGGCTAGCATAAGTAAAAGCTGGAGAGGAAAAGTTGGCGGCCGCAAACAGGTTTTTAAACGAAAACTGTTGTTTTTATGCAGCATTTTGTTTATTAGTACTGCCGAAGTGGAACAATTAGCATTGTGGCGATGCTTTGCTTTCTTTTGTTCAAATTTTTGAATATTTTTGGGTCAATTTTGACATGGAATTAAATCCATCTGCAAAGAATATGTGTATCAGTGGCCGCCGCCCACGAATGTATACAAAGCTCTTCGCGCACAGCCGCTCGAGTTCTAAATCTGTGGAAATTAAAACAGCTCACACACCCCTTAGATATATAGAAATACAGATACAGTTACCGCGAGCATCATATGCACACAATGAAATCAAGCAAATTCAATTGAGGGCCGGGTAATTGTGTCTGCTAGTTGTTGTCTGCCTGCAGTTGTTGCTGCCGAAAGATCAAAGTTGATTTGCATTGTCTGAGCCCACTAAAAACTCGCCATTAAATCCAAAATTACAGTGCACTGCAAACCTTGTCGAGATTTATACGGCATTGTGATGTGTGAATGTCATGGGATGCGTCTCACGGTTCCCAGTGCTCATCTTGTGCCGCCTTATCTAATCGGATCAGATCGGAAGGCCTTTGCCTTGTTTGGCAAGCTCAAATACTCTTGGACCAATATCGTGGCGCTAGCCAACTAGTTGGGAATTACGTAACGCGGTTATTTTGTTTTTTAATTATCACCAGCTATTCAACGATGATGGCGTGCCTGGGCTTAACTTAGAATCCCTGAGGTCAGCTCCAGGGTTCTGTGGTAATTAAGTCTTTTTAGCATGGTAAATGCGAAAGCACTTCTACTCCTGCACTTTCAATTAAAATAAACGAGAGCAAGCTGATTAATTTGAACTATATTTAGAGCTGTTTGTTGAAAAAGCAATTGCAGTGTGTATTGCAGTATGTATCTGATGGGAAATTTCGTACTCCTCATCTTTGACCGATTGAAATTTTTGTATATTTTGGCGAAAAAACAAAACTTTTATTTCAGGTTGATTATTGCTCAGCATGAATGTTTTGAAATAGCCCTGCACAATTTCTAACCCGATCCGTTTCTTCTTCCTCTTCTGCAGGTCATCGGCATTTTGGGCGTTGTTTATGGCGTGCTGATCCTAAAAAGTATCGGAACAATTGAAGTAAATGGACAGGTGGGCTTCCCCCCACAGGCCCTCATGCCGATCGTTTTGATCAGTATCGGCTCGGTAGTGGTCTTCATCTCGTTCCTAGGATGCTGCGGTGCCATTCGCGAATCTGTCTGCATGACCATGAGCTATGCTGTCTTCTTGCTGATCCTGCTGATCCTGCAGCTGACACTGATTACGCTGCTTTTCACTAACAAGGATGAGTTTGAGAAGAAAATGGGCGACATCATCGACAAAGCCTGGCAAGCAGACTCCCACGGAGAGGGAGGTGTCTTTGATGCCATCCAACAATCGGTAACTGCTTCAGAGCAAACTCAGTAATATATTTCTGACCTTTTCTGTTCGATGTTCTAGCTGCACTGCTGCGGATCTAACTCTGCCGCAGACTACTTTGTTAATGGAAAAACGCTGCCTTCGAGCTGTTGCGATGGTTCATGCTTGATCCCCACCAACTACTATCCAGGATGCCGTGGCAAGTTTGTCGAGACAATGTCAGCTAGCACTGACAACGCCAAGTATACGGGCATCGGCCTAATTGCAGTTGAGGTGAGAATAAGATTGTTACTTGACATAGCTCTTTGAACCAATTTTATTACCCCGTATTAATTTTTCAGCTGGTCGGCTTCATCTTTGCCTGTTGCCTGGCCAACAATGTGCGCAACTACAAGCGCCGTAACGCCTACTAAGGGCTATGTACACACATCAACCACATCGGGAGGCACACACCCGCATCTAGCAGCACACACTCCTCACATTCTCATTAACTTTTACAGTCGTCAAACGCACGTACACAAAGAAATAAACAACAAATAATTTGAAGTAAGCCATTTATCTGAATATTTGTCATAAAAAAACGAAAAAAATCTAAGTTTAAGGCGATGTGAAACGCTTCGATTTTGTATATCCTATTTAATATTGGTATAATTCAATTCCACCTGAAACGAGCAAACAAAACACTTTCCAAAGCATTTGTACAAACGATTTACTGGTTAAACCGTTACCCCAGGAAATAATTAAATAAACTCGTTAATAATGACATCTTTGTTTAAAACTAATCATATTCTATATTAACTGTTGAACCGACCAAAAGGAAATATAAATTTATATTGAACATATATACCGTATGTATGAACATTGTACACTATTCATTGTATTCGTTATTGTAATGAGAATCTCCGAAAACGATTTAAGTTTGAAAAATGCATCAATCAACGCGAGCTCGAATTGCATAACCAATTTATGAATAAAGCATTTACTATGTATTTAAATACCAAAAACGCTGTGTTTGCTTATATGACTATCGACTGCCGTAATTTAACCCTGCAATAGCTTGGTTCAGGGTATATTTTCGTTTTGGCCCCAGATTGCCATGGTAGCGTCCTAATGGTGTATGGAAACTGCAATTATGTTAAACACCCTTTGATATTTTTCAAATTTATAGAAGCATATACATCGTTAATTGTGCTACAAGGGAACTCAATGATTCGACCCTTTTGGTTTTTATACCCTTGCAGAGGGTATTATAATTTTGGTCAAAAGTGTGCAACGCAGTGAAGGAGACTTCTCCGACCCTATAAAGTATATATATTCTTGATCAGGATCACCTCCTGAGTTGATATAGCCATGTCCGTCTGTCCGTCTGTCCGTCTGTCTGTCCGTCTGTCTGTTTCTACGCGAACTAGTCTCTCAGTTTTAAAGATATCGAATTCAAACTTTGCACACACCCTTCTTTCCTTTGCACGCAGTATATAAGTCGGAACGGCCGGGATCGGCCGACTATATCCTATAGCTGCCATATAACTGATTGATCGGAAATGCCATAACTCTGCTGTTTGTTAAGTTAGAAAGTTGGGACCTTCTATGGGTTTCATATTTGGCCAATCAATCCGACGTACCAAATTTCATAAGGATCGGCCGACTATATCCTATAGCTGCTATATAACTGATTGATCGGAAATGCCATAACTTTGGTGTTTGTGAAGTTAGGAAGTTAGGATTTTCTATGGGTTTTATATTTGGCCAATTAATCTGACCTACCAAATTTCATAGGGATCGGCCGACTATATCTTATAACTGCCATATAACTGATTGATCGGAAATGCCATAACTTTGGTGTTTGTTAAGTTAGGAAGTTGGGACCTTCTATAAGTTTTATATTTGGCCAATCAATCCGACGTACCAAATTTCATAAGGATCGGCCGAATATATCCTATAGCTGCTATATAACTGAACGATTGGAAATGCCATAACTTTGGTGTTTTTAAAGTTAGGAAGCTGGGATTTTTTATGAGTATTAAGAATGCATCATATGAATAATTTTTGAGAATATAATTTGCAGAATATTCTGCAAGGGTATTTCAACTTCGGCTCCGCCCGAAGTTAGCTTTCCTTTCTTGTTTTCTTATTAATATTAATTGAAGACATAATAACGTGCGCCTGCCAACAATTATCATAATTTTACGACAGTAATGGTAGTGGGTTCTTGCATAGTTTGCTTTTAGTTGGTGTTTGTTATCCTAATAATTGTTAAAATTTAACGCGCCATTTGGACTTCAGGAAGTAAGAATATTTTAATTTTAACCCCTTCGTGTAATCTTTTATCAGTCTTGTATTCTTGTTGGTTAGTTAGTAAACAGACAGTGGTAAAGACTTAAAAATGGTCCAATTTGAATAAAATGTGTGGTAGATGTTTTCTCCACAAACTTATTGAGAGTTTACTTCATAAGTCTAAATACAAATCTATTCCAATATAGTTATTTCAAGAAAAAACTTTTTTTATTATCCCTTCAAAATCTAAGATTACCAAAAATTATATATTTTTATACCCTTGCAGAGGGTATTATAATTTTGGTCAAAAGTGTGCAACGCAGTGAAGGAGACATCTCCGACCCTATAAAGTATATATATTCTTGATCAGGATCACCTCCTGAGTTGATATAGCCATGTCCGTCTGTCCGTCTGTCCGTCTGTCTGTCCGTCTGTCTGTCCGTCTGTCTGTTTCTACGCAAACTAGTCTCTCAGTTTTAAAGCTATCGAACTGAAACTTTGCACACACCCTTCTTTCCTTTGCACGCAGTATATAAGTCGGAACGGACGGGATCGGCCGACTATATCCTATAGCTGCCATATAACTGATTGATCGGAAATGCCATAACTTTGGTGTTTGTAAAGTTAGGAAGCTGGGACTTCCTATGGGTTTTATATTTGGCCAATCAATCCGACCTACCAAATTTCATAAGGATCGGCCGACTATATCCTATAGCTGCCATATAACTGATTGATCGGAAATGCCATAACTTTGGTGTTTGCAAAGCTAGGAAGCTGGGACTTCCTATGGGTTTTATATTTGACCAATCAATCCGACCTACCAAATTTCATAAGGATCGGCCGACTATATCCTTTAGCTGCCATATAACTGATTGATCGGAAATGTCATAACTTTGGTGTTTGTTAAGTTAGGAAGTTGGGATTTTCTATGGGCTTTATTTTTGGCCAATCAATCCGACCTAGCAAATTTCATAAGGATCGGCCGACTATATCCTATAGCTGCCATATAACTGAACGATTGGAAATGCCATAACTTTGGTGTTTTTAAAGTAAGAAAGTTGTGATTTTTTATGAGTATTAAGAATGCATCATATGAATAATTTTGGAGAGTATAATTTACAGAGTATTCTGCAAGGGTATATCAACTTCGGTTTCGCCCGAAGTTAGCTTTCCTTTCTTGTTTTACTTGTTCATGTTTTACATGTGTATTTTGGTTTGCCCTTAATGGCAATTAAAATGTGTATAGGAACTATTAAGAAAAATAATTGCACTTAAACCATTCTACGAGAATTCGTTGTCTAAAAATGTAGACGATTTAAATATGTAGATTTTGAAGTCTGAATTTTCACCCGGCCACGAACATTTTTCAGTTCGACAGAGTTTTAAGAAAATGGGCATCGAATTTAAAAATTTGCAGCATTTTCTAAAACCGCCGACGTGTGGGAACATTTTCATGACAAGAATCTGCAGAATTTGCACACCGAAATCTATTAGAAAAGTATACTTTCACTGTGATAAAGAAATAGAAGTTGTTCAACACAGTGTAATTGGTTAAATACTCATCACACACGATTTCTGTACCTACTTTAATTGTGGTATAGCACAATGGTTATTATTTCAGCTATTAATTTAAGTAAGGCAATTCAACAGAGATATTGCCATAAATGAATTAACGAATCATCAAATTGTTTTGCTCCTAAGCCACTTGTTCTTAGTTCCGTGCGATGTGTCAAAGTTTGATGATCATTTTGCATACTGTGTTTGCAATTTTAAATGGGATGTTGGTGTGTTTTTTGTTAACTTAATTGTTCTTTACACACATTTATTAAATTCCTGCAGGTTTTATCTGTAATTTTTTGTGATTTAAGGAATGTGACAGCTGAAGGTAAATTTATTAATATCTTAATATATAGATAACAAAATTTACCTAAGACATAACTAAATTGTTTTTAGACTTTTTGGATTTGTGGGTCATTCTTGGAGGTGCTCAATTGTTCGATTCTCTTTATGGTCTGGTTTTGATATGTGCCAAATCCCAGGTCAGAAACCATTCATTTTGCAATTAAACAAAAATAATGCAAATGTGTAATCTTTTTAAAAATTTAGTTTAAGCTTATTCTATTATCTTGGTGCTTCGTTTCTATTTGGGTAAATGGAATTCACTTTGTAGTGACTTTGGGATTTCGCCTGAAAAATAGCGACCAGTTTGGTCCCATCGAAGCAATTACCTCAGTCTATGTTGAAGGTAAATATATATGAATGTAGATTACTGCTACCCACCGACTCAAATATTTTAGCGTTTTGGATAAATCAAGAGTAAACATAAATTTGATTTTTCTTTACTGTATAGTGGTAGTGTTTAACGATAACGAAATAATTTACATTTTTCTTACAGCTTTTAGTATATGTGCACTCTACGTTGTTTTTACGTATTATCGTGAATTATTGGTAAGCTTTACTATTCATATACTTGTAAATCGCGCCTATTATTATAATTTTTATGGCTTTAAAATCGCTGAGTAAGTTTTCTAGATGCAGAAAACATCTAGCAGAAAAGTCATTAACGACTGTATTGCCCTTTTAATTTTTTGAATTCGTTAGGTCAAATTAATTACAGAAGATTACAGAATTAATTACAGATTACAGAATTAATTACAGAAAGAAAAATTGGTTTATTTTTAAAGATGTAAAAATGTTCAAATCATAAAATTGCGACGAAATTAATAAATACTAATTTTTTTTTTTTTAATTTTTCTTCATAGCACGACAGGTAAAATAAAAATTCCAACTTGATCAAACACGTTGTAGAACTTTTAAACTTTCAGAAAAAACTAATTTTGAGAAAGAAGAACTGGTTCCAGTCTTTTTATTTGTCAGTCTGGCAGCCTATTCACCTGTTTGCGCTCTAAAGCTTTTTCGAAAAGCTTTTTAAAATAACAGCCAGCCGGCTGTCAAGTTTTGTCCACTGAGAGCTGCTCAGTTAACTTTTCGACGTCGGAGAAATCACATTTGATCCGAAGGTAGGCCCCGAATGAGTCATTCAACTCGCTGTGGAATAGTGCTATCGCTGGCCTCATCGTTTCACATTGTTATTTGAAAATAATTCACTAAAGAGCGCTGATCTTCCAAAGAATTTAAATACAGCGCAGACAGTCCGGAGAGTCAGTGATTTCATCGAGAAGATCTTGAGAGAGGCGGAGAGTATTGAAAACAAGTTTAAGGCGGCTCTCCAGGAATTTAAGGCATCACAGACCCAGATCCCGGAATTCGAGGTCTATAATCCGCCATGTCGTCCACGTCTTGTGTGAAGCTGATTGTGTACGCCCTCGACGTACTTTGCACGGTGAGTTACTTTCCCTGGTTCACCACCCACCTTTAAGATAGCCCACTCCATTACGTCAATTAAGGGGTTGTAAACAAAAATATAGTACAATGACCACTTGACTCGATTTCGCAACGATCTCAAACTGAACAAAAAAACTTATCAAATTGTATACACACATGGCATATATTAGCATGGGAAATTTCGACATGTGGAACTTTTAAACTTATTGTAACGGGTAACGCCAGTAAACGCCATTCTAATGGCCAAACCCGCTTGCTCTATTATAGTTTATTGGTTTATTTATACCATTTAATTGCAAGCAACAGTGAGAAGGAACAGATGGCACCAGAGGTCAGTGCATATATAATACGATCGGCATATCCATCAGCCACGAGCTCATCAATTTTGCATCCATCCAATCGATGATATCTTGCCTAGTTTCCCGCCGGAAAACTTGGTCATGACATCAAACAAATATATTGTAATTTCAAAAAGTACTGTCACAGTGTTGAAAGCTTATGAATCACCGGTGTTCGATTAAAAATCAACTACATCATCACTAAGAAATCCATATTACGTCACATTTATAACAATCACAAGCGACAGCATAGACAAAATTTGAATTATTCAAACCGTCTAAAAAAGAATCACATTTGCAAACAAGCTCTTCGCTCAAACATCAGATATGAATAGTAATCAAGTGACCTTGTCTGTGTGCATAAATTGTTGGTTTTGGGTGACCTTCCTGTGGGTGCTACTCCGACATCCTAGTCCCGATTTCCCCTTTCCCCATCCGGCCAATTTCCTTGGCGTCTATCCCTGTCGCCAGACAGGCTAGTCTGAGGGACGCCCCCGATTAGGTCCGCTGGTAAAATGGGTTGTGCGAGGTCACAAACACTGAAATTGGAACTCCGGGTTCCATTTGTTCCTTCTAGTTTCACAGATTCCAAAGAGGGTGAATACAAGTTGATGACGAAGGCATTGTCCTTCAGTTTAACCATTATCACTGTTAAAAACTCCAAGCACTAGGGCAGCCTAGAATCCCCTTCTTTCGAGAGGAATGAGGACAAGAACTAGTTGAATATTATTATTTGTTGTTAACTTTAATACAACATTTTATGTCATGTCTTGTCTCATGCAGTTTATTGGTGACAAATATATACATCGATTTTATTCATAGGTGTATAAATGTATTCATAAATTAATCTTTAAAATCTATTTAAAGACACAGAAACATAAAATGTTAAAATCGCTTGCTCTCTAAGAAACTCTTTAAAAGTCTTATTCTTTATTTCACATTTCATATGGATCCCTACAGTTGCTGGCCTTGGTGCTCATATCCTTCGGCATTTATGTGGTGGCGTCTTACGATATGGAGAGTATCGGACAGCTAACGGCCTACACCTACGTAGGACTGGGAGCTGCTGCCCTGGTGGTTTTGTTTTGGGGATACTTGTCTGCCTGGCGCGAGAATGTGTGCTGCACAGTCACAGTAAGTTGGTGGCTTACCCATATTCATCTCATATTGACTCATTTACTGGTCTTCTCTTGCAGTTCATTGTTTTGCTCTGCCTGGTCATCATTGCTCAGTTCGGCGCAGTCTACGTGCTAATCGTCCATGAGAAATCGGTGGCCAGCAACCTGGCCAATCCCCTGGAAGCAACATGGGAGGAGGAACTGAACAGTCCCGGCGCTATGTCGCTCTACGAGAACTGGGTAAGTTCTCTTAACGATTTGATTCCCACTTTATTTGTACTTATCCACTCGTGTTCCCCACAGTTCCAGTGCTGTGGTCGTGGCAGTCCCCAAGATTATGTTGTCAACGAACGCCTGCCGCCGGACACCTGTTTCCGAAACCACGACAAGAGCAAGCCAGAAAATCTGATCCACGGCGGTTGCCGTGTGGAGTTCGAGAACTATTGGCTCAACCTGTCCCACATTTTCAACATCCTGGCCCTCGTGCTAATTGGATTGGAGGTGGGTACTCACAAATTTATCTTCTTTAAGCTGTGCTCTTAAAAACTTCTTTATGTTTTACAGCTCCTGCTCAGTGTCATCTCCTGCCGCTTGTGCAATGGCATTCGCAACGATGCCCGTCGATCTTACTTCTAAAAAAAGCAAAACTCAAAATACTCAATTAGGAAACTAGAGATGGGCAATGAACTTGTTAAATTTGTTAACAATATTTTCATATTACTGAAGTGGTTGGCTGTTTTTTTAAAACTGGGGCGATTCATGATAAAGTTTTTCAAATTGAAACTCATCAAATTATATTGTTAAACCCTACTCACACGTTGATTTTAGTGAAAAGCAGAGCAAGTAACTCACAAATAATATTTAAGAAAAGTAAAATAGTTTTAACTTTATTTATTAAAAGTATTTCTAAATAAACGAATAAAACCAAAATTTAAAAATGTTTTAATTTTGGTTAGTATCCGAAAAATATGTGGTTCTAAAGTCCGAAATTCTTTAAAATGCAGGCTAGAAAAATAATTTATAAAGCCGATGGTCAATTGTGAATTTAATATTTTTGATTAACGAAATGTATCTTTGTCTCTACGTTGATTTAATAGCTAAGAAGTATAACCATATACTTATACTTATACCATATGGCAACATTCCTCAAAGGCCGAATATTTTCAAAAGTAAATATACATAGACAAAAAGTTTTTCAGAAAGTATGTATAAAAATTGAGATAGCAATATCTTTGTATCCAGGCACTCGTGGAGTTAAATAGTAAATTATTTTTATGAAAAGTGTGTAAAGGTAAAAAGAGACGTATATATAGTAAGTTTGCCGGGCTGTCGATATCTTGAAAGAGCTGGAAATTGAGTTTGGGCATGCTGATTTCAAAATCTGGTATTCAAAATATCACCTAGATATTCAACAATTTATAGAAAGTGACCCACACATACATACGTGGCTTCGTCATATATATATTCTATTTCATTGTCTAGGAATTGGGATATAGTGTTCTTTTTTGTTTAAATTTTCCCTAATATTTATCGAAAATTATTCAAAAAATGTACTTATAATTTGGGGTATCCAAGAACAATTGCGTAGCTTTTTAGATCCATTTGTTTAACTCGAAAATGCTTCATTTTTCCTGTTACAGACATGAGCCCAAATACAGCATACCCTTTTATTCTATGGGTAAGGGGTATAAATAGCATAGGCCAACGCTTCTCTCTTATTTTATTCAAATAGTTCGTCATCTATTTCTGTGTATATCTACATGCTAACGAACATATATACGTAAATATTTAGTTGAGCCAAAAAAACATTGCGCGTTTTTGCGGCCAAGCGTTTCAATTCCATTCGTTGTCGAAGCTTTCGTTTCGATTTCCCACCGTTCGCTTTGCCAAACGCCAAATGATTTTCGCGCTATCAACTAAGTGGGAACGGTTGGAACAGTTTTCAGTTAACAGTCGAGCGGTGAACATGAACCGGGTTTTGGGTAGCCCCAGCAACCGTTAGAATCAATATAAATATAAATATAAATATTATCCAACTGTCAACAAGCCGCGAGTTGCCAAGTGTTATAAATAATCCGAGTACCTGATACACAAATATCTAATTTCTAAATTCAATAAATTGGATTACCTAAGATGGCCTGTTCGACAAACGTTTTGAAGGGGTTTGCCCTTCTTTTTGATATTATCTATGCTGTAAGTAGAGTGTTCTTATAGTAGGAACTAAGAGGCAGAGATAAGTTTCGTTTGTGATTTCTGTGCGGCAACTACGGTGACCCCAAAAGGCACTACAACATGAATTAAGCTGAAGCGCTGGCCAAGGCTAATTGCAGGAAAATTACTTGACTTCTGTCCGCCATTGGCCAAATGCCAGATCTTGCCCAAGATACGTTCTCCAGCTTCGCCCAAGTTCATTCAAAGATCCATCGGTCTTTTGTTGTGGTATTTTGTTTATTTTTTAGTAGCATAAAAAACAAACTGACGAGGCCCACTTAGACGTAAATATTTAGTTGCTCGTTGGATAGTTTTTCGTTTAGTTTGCAAGCATTTAAATCATCATTGAAGGTTTTTGTATTTTGTTTTTGTGTTCCATTTTGATGCAAATTTAGGCGCAGCTAGTAAAATTTGAGCCGCAGCATACATTAACATTCATGGAAGAATGTAATTTGGCGGGTATCCAGTTCACCCACATAACAGGCAGAATTGTTTAGTAGATTAGCAGTTTTGTATTGGCAAATTTGTTTCATCCTAAAAATATCTTTTAAGAAATGATATAATATTTATCAACTTTTTCGTATTTTCATGGTAAGATTTTTATTTAGGCAGCCAAGTTGAAACTTGGTCACCCACGCCATCACTTAACCCTGAACAAAAATATATAAAATTTGTATTTGTTTGTGCTGTTATTTTAGTTGGTTTTACTTGAACCAGATTTTTGTTAGGTTTATATATAACGGTTGATGTCATTTTCTAGACGTTTTTGGCATCTTTCTGGCATTTGATTAAAATGGAACGCGTCTGTAGGCTGAGGAAATGCCAGCGGAACGCGTCTGTAGGCTGAGGAAATGCCAGCGGGCACCACACGGCGTATGAGCAATTTTCCGCGTTTGGTTCCAGGCGGGTAAACTCTTGAATTGCGCGCTGAGAGATTTCAATTATGCTGGAGCCCAGACTGAAATTACTTCATTCTGCTTTAGGGTAGGGCTCAACCTTTGTGGCTCGGCTTTTAGCACTGCCATGCCGGGAGAAACCCACATAAATCTGTGCTGCGAACTGCTTTGGACATTTATTTGGACCTCTGGCATTGGCATTTGATCTACCCACACCATCTAATGTCTGGCTTATCAACCAACATGCAAATTAGTTGGACGCACTGTTCTACTAAAGTCCGACCTTGGTTATTCTGGTGATAATTGTGTTTAATTGCTTGTCTGCGTGGGGAAATGAGAGCAAATTAATAAACCTTTTGTGCCACTCTGTTGCCAACTCACACTATTCCTTATCGTGTTTATTGGACAGCACCTAAGTGTCTCCTTAGCACATTAAACAATCGGGACAGCCGTAATAGTCCGCTTTAGATAGCAAAACGTTGAGTGGGGTTGGTCCCAGTGTAAACAGCGATCATAAGGTTCTGCTTCGAATTAAGTCACAAAACTGGGCACTCAATTACAAAGTCTAATTATGGTCGGATGGTCTTAAACGAATTCAGATTGTGCCATGCTTGGCTTCCATTTCAACTAATACAAATTGTTGGTTGCTGATTTTCCGGCTTCCAAAAACGTGCCTTGGCATTTTCGGTTTTCCACTGGCCCTAGGGAATATCTCAGCGCCTATTTGGTCTTATCGGTATTTGGGCTCTGGAGCATAATAAATATCAATTAAATGGCGTTGAATACACACACTCTGCTATCCACAAAATAATGCCAGATGTGTGAGTGCTACGTGCTTATTTCTATAGTCTCATAAAAATTAAATGATGGGCCAGTGTCGATTTCGCAGTTCGATTGTAACTCTATTAATGTAAATGATATTTTTCCGCTGCCTTATTTAGCAACAAAGCTCATTAAATTCTGCCTTAAGAAAATATTTATTTTACAAACATCAGCGGTACACCCAGTTTAGGGCTTCCTAAACGTTTCAAGTCGGGGATTAGACTTCAAATCCGCCCTGACTGCAGTGATTAATCGGCGAAATCATTCATAATTACCTCGTAGGCTTTGGGCCGAATTGGTGCCGACCGAAGCGTCAGCTTTGTCTAAGCCGGGCCCAGTTAGCTCGGATGACAAACAAACAAGGCATGTCAAAGCCAAGTTATTTGCCGACTGGTTTTCTTGTTTGCCCCACCGACAATTGTAAAAATAATTTACAAATTGGTGGCGGCAACAGGTTGCTGTGTGCAAACATCAACACTGTGGATTTATAATTACTACGCATTTCGAAAACTTACTTTCGGTAGGAAAATTATTTGTTTTATTCTTTGCGCTTCTTTGGGCAAACTGCCAAGTGCCAAATTACAAAGAGTCTACATTTGGCAGGAGAGTGTGAAACAACACGTTGTGTTTGTGGATCTAGTGAGTCATTGTGGTTATTTAAAAATGCAACTGGCGATGCATTTGAAAAGTGAGAGGCAAGCGATTTCAGTGGACAACTCTGCGTATACGTAATATAGAAAAATGATGACATTAGTCGGGAATGAGTAAGCAGGATGGGAAATAAGATTTAATCTACGAATCGAACGCCTAGAGAATTTCCAGAGTTTCTCACTGAGAAAAAGACAGAAATCTCATTTGCATATTGACTCAACGCAGAACCTTCAAGCTTTTATCACCTTTCGGGCAAAGTATACTTTTATTTTACTTTTCAATCAACCACTTCCCACAGCTGTTCGGCCTGGTTGTGATTGGCCTTGGAGTTCACATCATATACAAATTCGAGCACTTCAACACGGCCGCCTTTGTCATCATTGGAGTGGGCGTGGCCGTCGTTCTAACTGCGCTTTTTGGAGCTCTGGGAGCAGCACGTGAGAACAGTTTCATATCCAAGACGGTAAGTAACGATGAATAATAATTGATAAAAAAATAAATAGTTCATTAATATACAATATCTTTGTAGTTTAATTTGAAAACTATTTTTGCAGGGGTATTATAATTTATAATTTGACCACCCAATATATTTCCAATTTTAGGCAAAATTCCAATTTTTCAAAAGTTGTATTTCTATAACTGGCTGTATATACAAATGTCAAAACTGCCGGGATCGGAAATTTAATAAGAAAAATTGGCATAACCGTGTAGTCTTTTCCAACATATACAATTAGTACTGCAGATTCAGTAACTTTTTACGATTTCAAAAATATGGTTTTTATTTAATTTGACGTGTATAAAACTTGAAATACAGTAATTTTTAGTAAAACGTTTTTTATTTTTTACAAATCATTCAATTGCATTATAAATCTGCCATAGGAACCATTGGTCAAATTATAAACAAATCTACAATAATCCGATTTAAATTAATATAACTTGTTTTAATTATTGTAACATGTATGTGTTTCTTAATTTAAGAACAAAATTTAAGTATTTTCCCTAATCGTATCAGGTTTGATTAATAAGTATAAATAATTCCAACAGAGTATTATACTATTATATCAATATAAAATGGTTAAATAGTGTATTGACTAATCATTGTTTCTTTAGGTGCAGGTTTTAAAAAATGTTCTTTATGAAAACCAATTATTAATTATTATTACTTAATAGAACACATCAAATATGTTAGTTATTTATATCTTATTCCTAACCTTAAATTAATTTTACTTAATGAATAAGTAATAATCACTGATATGTTATTTCCCTTTCTTCAGTTCTTCGTTATTGTTGTGATCTTTATTATTCTGGAAATTCTGGTCGTAGGCATTCTGTGGGCGTTCCAAACCTCGCTGCTGATAAACGTGGATAAGGAATTCAAAGAGCTCTGGAATGACCAGCCGGTGCCCATTAAGCCCGGAAACCAGAGTCAGATTGCCAGCCTTGAGCGATGGGTGAGTGTAGAAGGAGAATTCCAGCAACATTCAACCATAATGCTTCTTGCAAATTGTAGTTGGATTGCTGTGGCAATGTGGGACCCAAGGACTATGTTCTGCCACCCAATAGTTGCTACAACAGCGAAACCGACAAACTGAATCTCGAGGGCTGCCGGCAAAAGTTCGTGGACTTTATCGCCGAACGTTGGACGACATTCAACTTTCTTTCCCTAATGTTAGTTGGTGTGGAGGTAAGTACTATTATATATTGCTAACGGTTACATTTATCTATAAAAAATATATTCCTTTCTAGATCATTTGCGCTTTACTGGCCTATGTCCTGGCCAATAGCATTGTGAACCGCTGGCGTCGCTCCAAATACTATCAAAAATAGGTTTACGTATAATTTTTGAAAATATTGCATTTCAAAAATTGAACTTTAAGATGCGCATACTTAAGGCCAAAGAACTCTCCATACAAATAACTAAATTGAAAACTCAATAGAGATTCCAAAACAAATTTACTTAAGCGAATTAATCTGAGGGCAGTTCGTTGATTGTATTCTATTTATCAGTTTGGATAACTGTAATATTGAAACGGAATATATTCCGTTAACAATGTAATTTAATATACACTAAGCTCGACTTAAGCAGTAATTTTTTGTAACAGCATTTTGAGAAGCCAAACCAGAATAAAGAATTGTTCGTAGACCACTGAGTGTTTGGATTTCGGATCCGAAGATCTGTTGACATCATTCCTATGATAATGAGGCGAGGGGAGTGCCGGCCAGAAGGTGAGGGTGGACACATGCTGCCTCATGGTTGTAGAACTCGTGGGCGGATTTTCATTTGTATTCATCATTTTCTGGGGCCTCTGCTCGCCTTTTTGATTTCCCCAAAACATATTTATTTGGACCGGCCCTCGCTCTGTGTTTTTTGGCCATTGCATTTGGTCGGATGGCGACAGAATCCGAAGCAGTCAACGAATCTGTGGGTTAATCGTTTCCCAACGACACAGCTCTGTGAGTCGCCTCAGACAAACAAATGAAGATTATGCGACTTTAGTCGATGATTTGATGGCAGTGCTCAAGGTGTGCTCGCCCCCAGCGGAAAAACTTTTGTGAAAATTAAGAAAATTGTGAAAATCGAAAAGCGAAAAGCGATGTACTGCACCACCCGACTGCTCAGATACGTGCTGTGTGTCATCAGTGGCATTTGTGCCGTAAGTGCTTAAAATAGACCAAAACAGACCCCAATTGGCTGACATTGAAAGGGATTGTGGCCTTTGTTTAGCTAGGTGGCTGCCTGCTCATCTGGTATGGCGCCTGGCTGCTGGACAGCCTCTCCGATCAGCAGAGAGTGATGGGGATGGACCACGGCGAGGATCTGGCCGCCGTTCTCTGCATCCTGCTGGGCACCGTCGTCATTGTGGCCAGCGTCTTTGGCACGGTGGCTGTGGTCAAGGACTCCAGGACCCTCTTGATCTGTGTGAGTTTTCCAGGATTTATTAAAATTATATATTTTTAAAGTCTAACAAACTTTAATTGACTTAAAAATACTGCTCCCCAAAAAAAAACCTATAAAATGTGTTTGTATTTTTGAGCTTTGTATTTTCTCAAATGCTTTATTATTTAGCCTCGTTTCTGCTCTCATTTATGTATGTTCTATCTGTAAATGAGTCCTACCTTCAAATTATTTACACCATTGGGGGAGTCATAATACAAAGATCAGCTGAGAACTTATTGTAGAGTAACACATTCATTCAATAAAATTAAAACTTTTATGAGATATTTACCTATTAAAGCTAAAGTCCAAAACTAACTAAGGTGAATCCCTCAAGCCTTTATAATATCAGTCTCATTCTAATTTTCAGTATGCAGTTCTGTTGGTCTTGCTCCTGATCATTCAGTTTGTGATGGTCAGCATAAGCTATGCCGCCAGTCAGGAATCTCTGCCGGATTCCTTGAGACAGGGATTCGATGATCTGTGGGATTCGCAGTATGAAGGCAACAGCACGCTAAACACTTACGAGGAGTGGGTAAGTTGGCGGTATAATTATTTCCTCAACTTCCAAACCCAATGCACTTTTAATGTCAATAGCTGCACTGTTGTGGGCGTAACAGTGCCGAGGACTATTTGCATCTTGAGAAGGTGCTGCCTTCGAGTTGCTGTCTGGATCAGGACTGCACCAATCTCTTGAATCTTTTCTTGGCGGGTTGCGAGAACAAGTTCAAGGAGTATGTCAGCGGGAAGACCGCAAACTTCCAGTCTCTAAGTTGGTTCCTTATACTCTTCGAGGTAAGTGACTTTTTACGTTAACTATAGTTTAAGACAAAGTAATGATTAGGATAAAAAAGCCTTAAAAGCCTTTAATAACAAGTTCATGAAATTCGAAATCAAATTAAAATAAGATTGCTGGTGTTTCAGAAATAGATAGTATTACAAAACAATGGATGACCTAACCTTAATTCCTCCAAAATAGTTAAATTAGTATTAGTTTTAAGTGCGTTAATTAAAAGTAGTATAATTTAACAAATTAAAAACAAATCTTTTGTGAATGTTTTGCATACTTATCCCTTGAGTTCATGGCTTTATTGGAAACTGAATAGTACTATCAATCAATTGACTTCATCATTCTTTATTTACAAATTTTTATTTAATTTACCAACTTATTATAATTACAGTTCGCCGGCTCGGTGACCACCTGCTACCTAGTAGACAGCATTCGCAATCATCGCGACCGCATACGATTCTATAATTAAATTAAGATTTTAGTGTTTTGCACGAACTGTATTATCGTTATTTGTTGTGAGTAATTTCCTAGCCAATAGAGCCCTGGCGAATTGTGATTGTAATTTACGATGATTAATCAAGTTAGGCTACAGATACCAAGTATTCATTCATAAAACTGTAAACCGGCGCCCACGCGCAGCAATAAAAAGAAATGAAAATAAACAAACCCGTGGTTGCCATTGACTGAATTTTTACAAGAAAAGCAGAAAATCGAAATGAGTGGAGATCTAGAGATAAACAATAAAAGCTCGTATAAGTGGGCGATCCGATTCTCCGCTCTCGATTTCTTCTCACTGATTTATACATAGAATGTGCGAGTGGTGAGTCGATCGTTGTTTTAGGCAAAACAAAACACACCGTTTCGGTTTCCATCTCAGCCCAGTGCCAGTTGATTCGCACAGCTGAAACACGGCGGTCAGACGTTGAAAAGTGCTTTACAATACTATTGGGCGCACCGCTGTATCCGACGGATACGTATCTGAAACTGGCTGCTGGCCATTGCCAAATACGTAACCCCGCTGATGCATTCCGCTCGCCCTCGTTGATTTCGACAGTCAATTTCCAGTCGCATCTTCGGTTCGATCCACAGTAAACATGGGTCTGGCTGCCACTACAGTGAAGCATCTGCTTCTCTTGCTCAACTTTGTATTTTCCGTAAGTACACTCACACCTGTGTGACGATGATGTATAATGTATGCGAACCCCACTCGCTGGGATTTCCACAGGTGCTCGGACTGGCGCTGATCGCCTACGGAATTTTCTTTTTGATCTCCGCCGCCGAGAATGCAGTCAGCATTGGTGAGAATGTGGCCGGTGGCCTCATCGTTGGCCTGGGCGTTGTCATCCTGATCATAGCGATCTTCGGCTTCCTGGCAGCCATCCAAGAGGCTCCTCTCAGGCTCCTGATCGTAAGTAGCTACTCCTTCACCCCATTAACACTGAGCTCCGCCAAACAAATATTACTACATACTGATGACATTTTCGAAATCTGCACACCGAAATATATTAGAAATGTATACTTTTATTAATCAAAAAAATTAAGTTTTGTTACACAAATTTTAAAATTCACTGAAAACAAAAATCATTTAACTACGAGAAAGTTTAAAAGCTTCTTTTAAAATCTCATTTGTAAAATTTAAAAAATTAAAATGGTTTTGGTGGAAATACTTAATATTTTGAGATTTAAGATTAAGCTTAATTTTAAATAGATTATCACATTCATATTTCATACATTCCTAAAAAGAAAAAATATTAAAAATATTCGAACATACTTTCAGTCTTATCAGCAAAGTTTTTTAAAAAGAAACAAGATTAATTTTTTATTGTTCTTTTTGTTCTCTTAATTCTAAATTTAATCAGAAAAACAGAACTAAATCTTAATGTAGAAAAATGTAGAACCATATTAAAGAACGTGGAACTGTAAAACATTTATTAATATTTATATATATATATGAAGTCTGAGTCGCCCTTTTTCTTTTAATTTTAAATTTGTCTTCCTTGAATTGTAATTTAAATGTTAATTTATTCGAATATGTTGAATTACCCCAAAATCATTTTAATTTTAAGTGCTAATACATTGCTTGAGGGGAGCTTAGAGTAATTAATTTCTTAAAATATTGTGCTGAAAACCTTTCGCTTTGCATTGCCAGTATGTGGGTGCCGTGGTCCTGCTGATCCTGTCCCAGCTGCTGTTCCTGAGCATGGCCTCCCACGGCACCAAGGACGGCATCTCGGGCAGCATCAACGAGGGGTTCGAGCGCCTCTGGGAGTCGGAACGCAACGAGTCCGGTGCCCTGGGCTACTACGAGAAGTGGCTTCACTGCTGCGGAGTCAACAGCTACGAGGACTACTGGATCATCCACCACGCCATTCCGTCCAGCTGCTGCGAGGAGAACCAGTGCCAGGACACGCAGAGCAGGGTTTTCAAGGCCGGCTGCAAGGCCGAATTCGTGAAGTATCTGGACGATAAGTTACTGGTGTTCAAAATCGTCTGCTGGCTGCTTGTCATCGGCGAGGTTGGTTAGATCACTCGGCCTAATATGGAGCTATTTAATTAACATTTTTCCCAATTTTCAGGCGGTGGGCGCTGTTTTCGGTTGGATGCTCTACAGCAGCGTTAAGAACCAGAGTCGACGCAATAATGCCGTCTGGATGTGAAGCTTTAACTAAGTCATCTAAGTATTAAATATTAACACATAAAAAACATTTCTCTAATCCATTGTTTAGTTTCTGAAATTGTTAACAACAAGAAAGTTGGTAATCATGTAACCTGCAACCAAAACTTAAAAATTTAAAGTACAATATTAAAGAATTTTGTATTTTGATTAGTGTGTATGTAGGTTAATATGTATACGCTTTTGGGATTTTTTATGAATTACCTATTGCGCGAATATTGGAATCAAGCTACATAATTATTTTCTAATAACTACGGATTCTGAACATTTTTTAAATTTATTTGCTAGTGATGTTGCCGGACATGTCAAATAAATGTAAATTATGAGTGCCATTACTTATATAAATATTATCTAAAATGTTAACATTTTGTTTTTTTCAAATATCTACATATGGATAAGTAATAGAACACCCTAAAAATGTTAAGCTAATTTTAAATTTGTATCTACAGTGTTTAATATTTGTATTTAATCAAAATACAAATATAATGTAATGTAAAGATTTTATTTAATTGGACACATAAACAGGGTATAAATATTTAGATCGTATTTTTTTGGTCAGACATTCAAAACCTCGAAGTAAAAGTTGGTCTGAAATCGCGTTACATTGTCTGTTGACCACTTCGTGAACAAGGAGTAGAAGCCCCTCGTCATTGGCACTCCATTGATTTTGCTAGATACGTCAGTATTGGTAAGGCCATCAATAGCAATGAATTTCTCTTGCTGAAACAACACATTACTGACAAAATGTCCATTAGCTGTGTTTTGGATTGGTTCAACTGACCGAATAGGGGCAACAATGGTTCAGATTCGAGTGCCCTTGTATAAGTTCAAAAATCTTCTTGGCTACGTAGTTATTGCGCTTCTTCCAGAATCGACACAAATCAAGGTCCATTGCATAGAGGAATGGTTGCCAATTTGAAACCCCATCAACACTTTCACTGCCCTTCGTCATTAGCTGAAAGTGAAACTGCCAAGGGGAACACAAGATCATTTAATAAAAAATTAATGTTACCTCTACCCATACATTACCCCTATATTTTTGGAGACAGGCTTAAGCATTGTGTAGCGCAGACTGATACTGTTTTTAGTCCTGCCCAGAGTCTTTAATTCGCAGTACTCCACGACACTCATGCTGAGGTCCTTGCTCTCGCAGGTCACATTCGTAAATCTTATGAAGACACCCTGCACATCGTATTATTCTGAATTAGAGTTCTGCATCTCGTCTGATGACCTACTTACATGGAACTCCGTAACACATTGCAAGAACAGAAACAATCCAAAAAGTTTTCCTGACAAGTTATCCATTCGATTGCCACTGAACAAGTAATTCAATATTAGTCAGGTGCTGAGCTAATTCATGGCGAAAATTAGCCATAGTTTTTAAATAATTTCAACAGTAATTGCCGTCAACTGAACGCATGAATGGAACACAGACCGCATAAATACGATGCCCGCCCGTTAATATTTAATATTTGAAGATGGCTATTCACATAGCGAAGCGATCATTTTTGGAAAAGTTTGCCAATATTGTTAGTACCAATTAGATCTTCTTGCTAAAAATAAGACCTTAATTTTTGCTACAAATTAGACCTTTATTAAGGTCACTGGAAGTCATGAAAATACCTTTGTGTCCATAAGATGATCGAACTTAATGTTCTGATACAATATAAGTTACATATCTGATCTGCCGGTCGTTAAATATAATTATATGTGAATATATTAATATGCGAAGGTCTTGATTTGCATAACACATTGTAATATTATAATGTGGGCTGAATTTTTACTTCGATTTGAGGTACTAATTGAAATTAATTAAAGACTTAACCATCTATAAAAAACATATCATGGCATTTGCAAAAAATATAAAAATACCCTATTGTCTTTTGAGATCCGCTAAAATATTATCTTTCCATTCAGTGAGTTAGTTTAGTAGTTTAGCACCTCCAACATTGTAAAAAAAAAAAACACCCTGTATTTTAATTTCGAAACGCGCCTGCGTTTTGTCCCCACGTTGATGATAGTTTTCCGTTTGTTTTGGTTCCAATGGGTTCTCTGCATTGTGGCGGTGGTGAATATTCGACGAGTGGCTGCGGCACATGGCTCTCCAACTTTTTGGCTCAGTCGCAGGCCAGCTTTTGTGGCATCCACACAAGCCCCAACCCAGAGAGGGTTAAAAGCTGCGAACTCAGACCTACGAATAGCACAAGTAAACAAAGCCCAACCCCAATCCATTGGGATAGTGCGAACCGAGTGGAATTCCAGACCCCCAGAGGTCTTCGATTCCGATTAATCGGCAGACAGACAGGAAACATAACCATCTAGGGGATTCAGCACGTGCCAAGATTCACTGGGTTCCCAGTTCCATCGTGGGAGCATGGAGAAGTCATTTGACATAACGCCCTGGAAGTATGGCCTGCTGGCCACTTGCATTCTAATTGTGGTAAGTAAAAGTTGATGCGCATTTCCCCATTCCCATTCCAAGACCCAGACCTTTCCCCATATCCCGTTGTCTGACCCAAATGCGAGTCTTGCACAACACCCGGTGATGCGAAAAATCAATAATGTGCTCAAGTGCACATCTTACCCAAGAGATTTACCCATATTTATGCCAAAAAGCCGCTAAAGACTATAAACAAATCGATGTAATCTTAAATATATTTATAAATAATATAATACCTGTTCACATATTTACATAATTCAGCCGGCCAGCTGTTTGCATCTGCCACTATATCTAAAAATGGACATTTCACAATTCTGGCTGGCTTACGCCAATTAAGATTATTATTTAGTTGATTTGGCAAATTAATTTTGCGCTATATTTAAATTCACTGAGCTTTTGTCTACAAAATTCAACATAAAACAATTGTTTTTAACGTACATTGACATTAATAAATTTAAATAAAATTAAAGAACACACTTACAAAAAAAACGAAGTATAAAAGAAATTGAAAATAAAAAAACCTATCAACGTAAAGTGAATTTCTAACCACAACTAACTTTTAATACTAACATTTTCTGAAGGCAGAATATAAATTATTTCTGCACCCTCTCGGCGAACTTCGTTACCACATGGACTACCCTCGACTATAGTGATAATATTATGAATAACACTGAGCCATAATATATGTATTTTGTCATTCTTACAAAAAAGTTTTACGCATACGAAGTCAAATAAAAACATGATGGAAACATTACCACAACATTACAAATTTATGAATTAACTATTGTCCAGGCTCGTAGAAATAGGTGTCAACGTAAAAATATTAATATCAATCCCTTTTTTTAGCATTACATATTAAAAATTAAATGAGTATATGTTTAAAATTGTCGTTTTTTCAAAAATATTTTTGATCGAACAGAAATAATCATTTATTTACCTCAGTAAACAAAAGGGCATTACTCATACGACACGTGCTCAACTTATAATTGTGGCTTAAAACCATCTTTCGCCTATTTCTTAACTTGCCAATGTATTAAAAGTTAAAAAAGAAGAACAGAAAATAAATTTCTCAGAATAATAACAATACTACGCTACGCTAATCAAAGCCAACAGTACGTATAAGTGATAAATGTTTAAACAAATATATTTTCTGGAAAGTCCTAAAATGCAGCGCACAGTATAAAAGGGAGATAGTAACTTTTTATGAATCATACGATTTTTTGGTATAATACAAATAATTTTCTGAGTTTCACAATTTGCTATCAGTAATAACATGTGATGAATCATTATAAAAATTTGCCTCTAAATATACGAATGATGGTTTTTTTAGTGGTTGAGACATCTACACTGCATAATTACACATAATACATAATATTGATGGATTTCATTCTGAGCCAAGTATCTAATGATAGTTCTTTGTTTTTTTTTAAACCCTTAGACGTGTAACGTGTTCTTCTTCTCCTGCGGCGTGGTCACCTGGGGCTCGGCCGTCTCCGTCTACGGCAGCTATGGATCGGCTATTTGCGGAGTGGCCGTCTTCGGAGTCGCCTTCCTGGGCATGTACGTGGCACTGAAGGAGTCCTACAAGTATTCCATATACGTAAGTGAACTTTGAGCCACGACAAATTCAGAATCCTCTAACCGCTTTGGTCCCAGTACTTGATCTGCAGTGGCCTGGTAATAGCCGCGCTGGGCTCCTATCTTTTCGCATTCACGGCGATGCGGGAACAGCTGATGGGCAGGTTCGCGGAGCGCATGCGCGACCTGTTTGAGGAGAAGACGCACAGCGATGACAGAATGCAGCCGGTGCACAGTCTCTTCGGCTGCTGCGGACTGGAAGGACCGCAGGACTACCTCAAGGAGGAGCACGGCGCCCTGCCCAGCAGCTGCTGCTACGCGTTCGACTGCTCCAAACCGGAGCACGTCTACGAGGAGGGCTGCGCCACCAAGGCCGCCGGAAGTCTCAGGATGCAAGCGGATCTCAACTACTACAGCTGCATGGCGATCATTTCGCTCGAGGTTAGTAATTACAAATAAGTCTCAAAATATCCAGAAGTCAGTATAAACAAGTTGCAACGCCATAGTCGAGTATGTAAACCAAGTTCAAGATAAACGTACCCCCAACAGATGGCGCCATGTGGAATTATATAGGTGTGGCAATCAAGAATGATGCGGCGCCATCTGGTGGCCATTGATCATTTATTGGTTATTTCTTTTTAACCATGCTAAATCTAGATAAATTCTGGTAGTAGAGTATGTTGATATTATAATATTTTTTGATCTGAAACCCATTATTTTTAGAAAATTGGGATATTTCCAAGTTGTAGCATGTAGTAAAACAAAGAATTAAAAAAAAATAAATAAATAATAGAGAAACAAGTAAAACAATGAAACATAATCGTGGAATTATATCATCACCTAACCACGTTCCTGACTCATATAAAACTTGTTTTAATGCTATAACATGTTTACTAATTTAAAAACAAGAAAGAGTGCTATTCAACTTTTTTAAAACTGACTAATTTTGTAGGCTAAGCTAAAAACTTCTTGCAATCTGATTTAAACTCTGAAACCAATATTATATCAAATGTAATTTATCTCTGCCACTACAGTTTATGGGCTTGTTCACTGCTTACTATTTGGGCAAGGCTCGCAAGTATGCCAAAACCAAAATAAAGGACGAAGAAACCCCCATCAACGACTGATGGCCGAGGACACCCCAGCATTAATATTGATAATAAAAGTTAACCAAATTAGCTAATTTGCCATTAGAAAATAAATACTTTCCATAGCCTAAACGAGCTCCTCGAATATTTATTTCTCTCAAATTTAATTTTGCATCATTCTTGAAGAGTGGCGATCAAAAACCGAAAAATAAGGAGCGAACGTTGCCGGAGATGGCTGGCGATCAAAATTCATTCGCTTTCTGAACGCTCACTTGGCTGGTTCGTTCTTCCAAAAGATTGCTCTGCTTGTCTTTACCAGTTTTTAGTTATTAGTATCCGAGCTGTAAAACAGCTCAATAGACGCTTAAAGATGGGCTGCACTTCTGGTTGCGTAAAGTGTTTTCTCAACACACTAAACACTCTGAATGCGGTAAGTTTTGATATATATTGTGATAAGTTTATATATATATACATATAGACTTTAACCAAATATATACATATAGACTTTAACCAAACATTATTGTGTTTATGTTTTTGGTATACAAGCTAGCGGTCACAAACTCGATTACGAATTCTTATATATCCGTAGGAATTTAGATTCATATATATTTGACAAGCAGGCTCACATTCAGGTTTCATCGAATCGATAAGTTGTTTTGGCAGTCATCGTTAAAAATATTTTTCGTTTGTCAGATGTGAAAAACATTTGGCGCACCTCAACAATTATCCTCCAATATGTTCCATACCTTTTTCCATTTGATCTAAAAATATTTTACGACTTCACCTTATGTTGCCAAATAAATCACATTTACATAAGAATTGTGAACAAAGAATAGTAAAACGAGTTTTCTTGATTTGTAAATACTTGATTTAAGACTGTGTTAATCATTTGCTTTGTTTTAAGATTAGGCTTAGATATTTATTTTGCTCTTAAATACAACCAAAAAGGAGGTTCTAAAGAGCTAAAATTAGAGCCGTATTACAGAAGTTTAGTTTTCACTTAGTTTTTGGAACTAATTGGGTTTTAATGGTATAAAAAACCTTATAAGATATTGAACCTTTATTATATAAACAGGTATTTTTTATCACCTCGTAAAGCAATAAAATCCAATGGTTCTAAAAAATGTTTTTAAAATTTTAAACTCAACTGAAGTCATTGACATTGCCTAACGATACTGTTGCCAAAAGCTAATCTGAATCACCATTGGTGCACCTTTTGCTCCTTCTATAGCTTTCGGGTCTGTCGTTGATAGCCATTGCAACGATAGCGCTCTCGAAGGCCCCCTTCGCGTACATATTGTTCCTATACGGATTGGGCGGCATTATCTTCGTCTCGGCTATTCTGGGATGCTGTGGAATCTGCCAGGAGAACGTGTGCATGACCGCAACGGTGAGTAAATAACTTCCTTCCATCTTCCCCGCTGCAGTTACTGTTACTGATATTCATCTTTTCTTGTGCGCAATGCCAATACAGTACGGCTTGCTACTGTTGGCTCAGTTGATCATCAGCTTGCTGGGCATCTTCGGCTTCAAATTCAGCGAGAATTACATAGAGAAGTTCGCCGCTGAAGAGGTTGAGATGAAATGGAACCAGGAACTGGTGGAACCCGGCGCAATGGATATTTACCAGAGTGTGGTTCGTATCGTAAATTCCAAATTATTTTATGTTCGACTATCCAAATTATTTTATGTTCGACTATAGGTATATCAATTTATCTTAATATGACCCTCCTTGTTTTTCAGTATGAGTGCTGTGGGCGGGACGGCCCTGACGATTATGTAGCTATTGGTCGAAAGACCTTACCATCCAGCTGTTATCCCCAGGCGGACACCCAGAAGCCCCATTATCTGGCTGGATGTGTCCAGAAGTCCAGCCAAAACTTTGTGGCTTTGTTCAACTACGCAAACGACACAAACTGGATCGCTGTGGGGATAACCGTGAGTTGGATAGATAACTCATAGTTAGTTTGATATAATCGGATTCATTGTTTACAGGCTCTGATGATAATTGCTGCCTTCTATTTGGTAGGACGATTCCGCAAGCAGCGCATTCGCTACAACTACTAAGGATCTATTTTATTTAAAGCTTTACGGTTTATTTTATCGCAAAGGCTTATGCATTTGGCACTAAAAACATTCAATTTTTGATAAATTTTGTGAAAAATTATCCGAAGCTCAGAAGAATTTGGTTTATTGTAAAAATGTTATAATACAAATAATTGCATATACTGATAAAATAAATATATCCTGTCAGTAGAATAATGACCCTTTAAACTAATTTTAGATACCCAATCTCGAGAACTAAATGTTTGAACCAAATTTAATATTGCCTGTAATTAAATAATTTAATACTCAAAAGACGTATAGTATATTCATTTAATGTATATTTTAATATAAAAATAATATTTTTTGACGCATGAATCCCAAAAACAATGGAATTCCAAAGCTCAGTGTTAAGCTTAGAAGAAGAATGTCAGGCTTCCGAGCTCTCGAGTTCTCGATGCTTGCGTCATTTTTTCTCTATTGAGCTGCGATTGCGGGTAAATTGATTGGGGAGGGGGCTTAGGCGACGAGACCCCACTCCCCGGCTAAACATCTGGCCAATGGAGGTTTTTTTTTTATATGTATATATAACATTTATTTTATTTTACGTTAATCAACCAATTAAATGGCTATAAAACGTAGCAAGAGTAACAATCAACATGGAAACATAACAGCAGCGATAAATAACTACATATATGTTTTTGTTGTTAAGATTAACAAGAGTTTTTGGTGACGATTACGATTACATTTGGCCAATGGAGGTATATCCCGACTTTCTACAGCTTTGGTTCTCTCAACCCAACACAAAAATTTCTGTTTGTTTGGCTTCCGAATGGCAAAAGCACATCGAAGTTGGGGTCCGACCTTAATATTGTTTGTATGTATACTGCTTGTGCGTCTGGCTTTTGACTTGGCTCTTTGTGTTTGCCTTCTCTGCTTGCATGCCTGCCGATATAAATATACATATGTAAAGGCAAACTTCACTAAGTTGATTTTTATATGGAATGTTAAAGAATGTACAAATTTTGAAAAATGTATGTGTACAATAATGTACATAAATTATAATGGCAATAAGTTAGTAATAATCATTTCTTAGAAAATATGGAATAAAAAAAAAATTATTTTTTAAATATTTTTTTTATGTGCCCTTCTGTAGCTTTTGTATTCTTGTTCTAAAATTAGATTCATACTAATTGTTTGATTGTCAAAACAAAAATAGAAATTCCAAAAAATATTTTTTATAGACTTTTTCAAGTCCAGTAAGTTTTAGAAGTTCACGTTATGGGGGTCTCACTGCAAAATGTGTGTGTATGTCTTGTTTTTGTGTTGATTTAACCAACGCTGCACAGTGGTCGCTGCCATAGGTCGAAAATCAAAAAATTGTATTTTGAGATATTCAAGCGAAAACAGGTTCTACGATCAGCTGATTGTCCAAGCTTTTCGAAACAATAGTTTTTTTTTTGAGTTCCTAATGGGACTTTCATATGGCAATAATAATTTTTATAACATTCAAGGCAATAGTTTATTCCACTCAAAAGCTTTAATTTTATGGTATAGCTCTCATATGTTACTTACGTTTCAGTTATACTTATACACTTACTTACTTATAGTGGAGGCATGGACACCTCCACTCCACTACCTCAGCCAACACCATCAACAGAACACTAATTTGAAACTTTTTATAAGTAATTTATAAGAAATAATATAATTCAAATTTACTTACAGATATACGTGTTCCCTATTTGATAAATATCTTACTTTAAGAAGTTCAGCCTGTTATGAGTACAATAAATGAATTTATGACTTCTCCCTCATGTGAGCGCAACCACTGAGAAAATCGTTCCTTTGGTAGCTGTAGGATATAGTGGTACGATCTGGCCAATTTATGAAACATATATATATAATATTATTTTAGATTTTTGTTAAAAGTTTCATCTTGCCCGACCACTGTGCCCTTCCAGACAACAACGACCTCAGCGAGGCCAGACAGTTGTTGCGACGCTCAGTTTACCCGCGACTCTGGTCGCAGTAGTACGCGCTGCTCAACCAGATAAGGCCCGCCAAAATAATCTCGATATTAAAAAAACAGGTCGACAACCTGCAAATTATTGCGCGTGTTAGAAACATAAAAAGATAGAAACATAAATTCAAAATGAGCTGCGCAACGAGCACTGTAAAATACTCGTTATTCTTCTCGAATACAATATGGCTGGTAAGTAGAGCACGAAATCTAAATAAACATATGGTGCTTTAAAAGTGTTCATACAAATATCCAGCCATGATATCTTAAATATACAATTTGGACGAGCTTCGTTGTCATGGGTTCTCTTCTGAACTTGCCATCCGGCCACTAGATGATCTAATTTGGGGTGCGTTTTTGGCTTATGTCTACATTTTAAGGGTATCTGTGTGTGTTGGCCAAAGTGGATTGTTAATGGCTCTGCTCCGCCTTGTTTTCCTGCCGAAAGGAGAGGTTTGGCAGCCAAGCGTCGAAATGAGTCATCCATTCACGTTTAGTTTTAAAAGCTAGGTTAATATAGAAGAATATAATCAGCCGATAAGATAATAGCGATGAGAGAACATCTTCAAAGTAGTCAACTGACTATTATGAAATGCGAATGTTGTTCATTTGCTCATGTATGTATTTACTGTGGATACTTGAAATATTGGCAATATAAAGCTATTTCTAATAACAAAATAACAAAATTCTAAAGCTGTAGAGTATAAGACTAATAAATTAATTTAATCAACGAACTGATTTTTTCCCAAACAATTTGTTCTCCAATTCATGGAATTGACTTCCAATTATACTTATGTAAATGTATACTATTCTTTCATATCGGAAACGCCCCAAATATGAAACTTGAAATATACAGTACAGACAGTATATATAGCACATATGTACACTGCTTTTTAATCAGCAAGAGGCGTATTTATTAATGTTTCTTCTTACTTTCAGATAATAGGAATCCTAGTGATCGTTTTCGGAGCCCTTAGCTTCGGAGCGGTGGAGGAGGGGTATGCTATCGGCATCCTGGTCGTGGGTGTCGTTATAATTTTGACATCCCTGTTTGGCTACTATGGAGCCGTTCGCGAAGCACCGCGCATGCTCTGGATGGTTTGTACTTGAACGATGATATTACATTAATCACACCATGAGTAACTTACTTTATTTGCCTGCAGTACGTGTCGCTGCTGCTGACTTTGCTGGTAGGAATATTGATCTTCATCATCCTCCATCCCAAAGATATATTCAAGAACTACGCTATCCAAGAAGTCAAGGATCATTGGAAACTTGAGGAGACTCATCCAGGTAGCATGGATACTATTCAGACATCTGTAAGTACGGCCTTCATCTTTCATGTTTGCTAATGAATAAACCATTGAATTTTAAATTAATGTATTTTATTAGCAAAGGTAATACTTGTTTATAAAAAAGAAATGCCCTAAGATACAATTCTTTTACCAGCTTACAATTAATAAGTAGATTAAATTACATTTAATTTATCAATGTTTTTCTCGAGTTTTCTTTAGTTAATTACTACTTCATAAATGTCCATTCATTGCAGTACCAATGCTGTGGCCTAGATGGTGCCGCGGACTACCTGAATAGCGAAGTCTGGAACCACACCGTACCCAACAGTTGCTGCAAGAATAATAGCTGTGTGAATCCCCTGAACCTCAATCGGGAGGGATGTCTCAGGAATGTGGAACTTTCTTTTGGGGATGAGAGCTCGATAGTAAGGTATATGGAGTGGGGACTGTTCGGATTTAATGTGAGTCTTACCCTATTACACATTATTTAACTAATTATTAACTTAAATGCATATGTTCTCTTTTGTAGATTGTCATGCTCGTGCTGGGCGCAATTTTGGCCATTCACTACACGAATAGCCAGAGACGTTTCAACTATTAGCGACACATTACCACTTCACAAAACCATTTTCTTAACCCCTAAACACAAGTGATATAGTGTTTACGTTGAAAGTTTATCAAGCACTGGAAAATGCTTTAACTTGAATTGATGTTCTCGAGAAGTCTTGACGAGTTTACTATTTAAAAAATGTACAAAGTCTTTTTCCACAAAAATTAAATATTAACAAATACCAATTATTGTTATTTTATTTATTATTTATATTAAATACTACTTTCTGTCAGTGTGGATAGTCTTCTACGTTGGAGTAAATTGACCACTAAAGCTATTCAAATCAATAGCGCAAACGAAACGCTAGTGGTCTGGTGTGAACATAGTGACGTAAAAGACGAACATAATAATTTCTACATTTGAGAAACACTTTCTTGATTTAAGAAAAGTTTTCTTGTTTTGAGAAAAAAATTCCTTGAAAATATAAATCTTTCTTTGTCTTAGAAATAATAAAGTTTTATGGCGAATTTCTAAAATTTAGGGTTACTTTTGCTATGAGTGTAATCTCTCGAGTTGTCGATGGTTGCGTCATTATACCCTTGCAGAGGGTATTATAATTTTGGTCAAAAGTGTGCAACGCAGTGAAGGAGACATCTCCGACCCTATAAAGTATATATATTCTTGATCAGGATCACCTCCTGAGTTGATATAGCCATGTCCGTCTGTCCGTCTGTCTGTTTCTACGCAAACTAGTCTCTCAGTTTTAAAGCTATTGAATTGAAACTTTGCACACACCCTTCTTTCCTTTGCAGTATATAAGTCGGAACGGCCGGGATCGGTCGACTATATCCTATAGCTGCCATATAACTGATTGATCGGAAATGCCATAACTTTGGTGTTTGTTAAGTTAGGAAGCTGGGATTTCCTATGGGTTTTATATTTGGCCAATCAATCCGACCTATCAAATTTCATAGGGATCGGCCGTCTATATCCTATAGCTGCCATATAACTAAACGATTGGAAATGCCATAACTTTGCTGTTTTTAAAGTTAGGAAGTTGGGATTTTATATGAGAATTAAGAATGCATCATATGAATAATTTTGGAGTATATAATTTGCAGAGTATTCTGCAAGGGTATATCAACTTCGGCTCCGCCCGAAGTTAGCTTTCCTTTCTTGTTTTTAGCTATTTCTCTATTTTGATACCCTTGCAGAGGTTATTATAATTTCAGTCAAAAGTTTGCAACGCAAACTAGTCCCTCAGTTTTAAAGCTATCTGCTTGAAACTGTCCAAAACGTTGTCTTTCCATTGCAGGTAGTTTATAAGTCGGAACGAGCCGGATCGGCCGACTATATCATATAGCTGCCTTATAACTGAACGATCGGAAAAGCCATAACTTTGGTGTTTTTTACGTTAGGAAGTTGGAAATTTGTATGGTTTTTATATTTGGCCAATCAATCTGACCTACCAAATTTCATAAGGATCGGTATATCCTATAGCCATCATATAACTGATTGATCGGAAATGCCATAACTTTGGTGTTTGTAAAGTTAGGAAGGATTTTCTATGGTTTTTATGTTTGGCCAATCAATCCGGCCTACCAAATTTCATAAGGAACGGCCGACTGTTTCCTATAGCTGCCATATAACTGAACGATCGGAAATCCCATAACTTTGCTGTTTTTAAAGTTAGGAAGTTGGGATTTTTTATGAGTGTTAAGAATGCATCATATGAATAATTTTGGAGAATATAATTTACAGAGTATTCTGCAAGGGTATATCAACTTCGGCTCCGCCCAAAGTTAGCTTTCCTTTCTTGGTTTATATAACTTTTATTTTATTTTCCTTAATCAACCAATTAAATGGCTATAAAACGTAGCAAGAGTAACAATCAACATGGAAACATAACAGCAGCGATAAATAACAATATGTTTTTGTTGTTAAGATTAACAAGAGTTTTTGGTGACGATTACGATTTGTTGCAGTTGGAGTCGATAATGGGATGGACTCTATCGATAGGTTAGGATGATAGAGCGATGGTGTCGGTGGCGTCCACTTTGGGGAATCTGGCGGACGATCTGGCCATTTAAAAAAATCCGTGTTCGCTCAGGGATTACTTTACTGTGTCCTTGAATATGTCCAATGACCCAGTTTCGAGAGAGGCAACGGAATATGGCGATATAGCAATGATAGGCAGATATTGGGATAGTCGCAGCCATATTGTCCAGGAAGCTAGACGGAGCGGGAGTTATTAAATTAGTGTATGTGCTGAAATAAAAAAAAAGGCAACCGGCGTCCCAACACAATATGCACCTTCGTTCGACCCAACCAAAAGGTTTGGACCAGCACAACTCGACTTCCTCGGACGCCGCCAACGCCATCCCACATTCCCCGGTGAGTCCGTTCCGGGCTACTAAGTCCCACTCGCTTTGGAGTCATCAGTCTGCCAATTCGCGCGGCGTTGAGAGCCACCGCCATCATCCTCGCCTTCGCCACCGTTCCTGGTGGTATTCCAGGCCTTTACTGCCGCTGGCCTCCGGCAGGGTACTCCTCGACCGGGCATATCTTGACCTGTGCCTAGTCCAGAAGTGGCTGAAAGTAATAATTGTTCATTAAATGTACACACTTGTTTCCTCATATATAGTATATAACATCCGTGTTGATCTGTAAATTTATCTGGACTTAGACCCGAAAACCCTAGTTGTCCTCGTAGTTTTCGGCCGGATAGTTTACAGCGCATATTACGTACCGTTTGGCCTGTCCCTTCTATTCCCCAGGAGCTCCTCAGGATTAGGTGACCCGACACATACATAATGTGTGCCCCTTTTTGCGACTCATTTCACTGCGAGTTCCACCAATACATGACTGGTGGATCATAATTTCCGCGGCGTCTGTAGCCTTTGCCAAGGGAAGGTAATTCTTACTTACTGGATATTAAATGTACATAGAAACCGAAATGTGCGAGTGAATTGTCGCTGTAGGTGATATGGAGCTGTCTTAGTCGGGAGGAGTGACTTTGGCCAAATGACTATGTGTGATGCCTCTAAAGAATCCTCCGGGGCATCCTTGGTTGGGTGGGCGTGCTTGGCTGGGTCAACAATAGCCACCAAAACATTTTCGGGTCACTTATAATTATTTGCATTGTTTACGTTTTGTTTGTTTTGTTTGTTAGTGATGAGCGATTATTTTGTGATGTGAGACAGTTTAGTCATCGACGTTTATGTTGCGAGCTGTGGCATTAGGGGGAATCCGCCCTGAGAGAAAACTGAGCTAGCGGCACAGCCAAGGACTGCCGACTTTCTACAGTTTTGGTTCTGCCAAGTATAAGCAGCTGCTCGTTCCCAACCCAACACAAAAATTTCTGTTTGTTTGGCTTAAGAATGGCAAAAGCGGCACCGAAGTTGGGGTCCGGCCTTTTGACTTTGCTCTTTGTGTTTGCCCTCTCTGCGTGCATGACTGCCGATATACACCCTGCAGTTCCGAAATTCATCACTACAAAAATTCATCACCGTTTAATCAGCAGCGGACTGCGACGCCGGCAGAGCCAAAGGCAAAGTCGGCAGAGCCAAGTGCGACGCAGGCAGAGCCGAAACTCTCAGTCCCCGATCGTAGGAAACGCAGAAAAATTTCCAACTCCTTCTCTTACTCTGTCTCTGTGTGATGAATTACTGATTAAAGAGTGATGAAAAACTGAAAAAAGAGTGATGAATTCCTGATTAAAGAGTGATGAATTTTTCACTGATTAACTCCAAGGACATGCTAATGTTAAATTCATCACTAATTTGTATGAAGATTCATCGATTAATCATCAGCAGTGATGAATTTTTGGTGATGAAAAAGCGATTAAAAGGTGATGAACGGTACTGCAGGGTAAAGGCAAATTTCACTAAGTTCATTTCTATATGTAATTTTAAAGAATGTACAAATTTTGAAAGTTAGTTCGATTGGCACACGCTCTGTGAGGGGCGTAGGAATTTTTCAAAAGTTAGCGTCGAATTGGTATTTTTTGACGGTTGCTGTCATGGACGGGACAATTTTGTGATGGTTGCTGTCTGGAACAGCTCAAGTGTGACGTGATCATGAGAAAGTATTGATTTCAAGAAAACTGTGTGTACGATTTGATTGAAACTTTCTTCAAAGTTAATTCGGTTGCCTATCAATTTTTTAAAATATCTCCTGACTTGGCACACGCTCTGTGTGCAATTTTTCAAAGGTTAGCGTCGATTGGTATTTTAAACGACAGAAAATAAGTTGGTTCATGGTTCAGGCTAACGATTGGTTTAAGTAATAGAGTGGGCGGCACTTTTATATCCCTTTAAACTACGCAAACTGTAATGCGATTTTCTCAAAAACTGTGGGACAAATTTTTATCAACGCCTATATACACGGCATTTTGGCTCACGCACTGTGAAGGACTTTATTTCCAATTCAATTTTGTAGCCTTTTTTTGTATGGGCTGATTCAGACGCTTGCCCACTGTTAAGCGAATTTCTCAAAAACTGTGGGTTTGATTTTTATAAAATTTTAAGTTTATATCCTTAAAGAAACGTCCTTTAAGCTGATGTAGCGTGCAACTTGGCACACGCTCTGTGAGTTGAGATATTCTCCAAAGTATGGGGAGTCGATTTTTCAAATGCATTTTTGAAATACTTCCAGACCTCCAATATGCTTAAATCTTACATATATAGTTAGGATTTTCTTTTTTTAATATTTTTGCATCTAAAAGTTTTCAAATAGCAAGAAAATAAAAAAATAAAAACAGCCTCAATGTTCCAAATTCCACCGTTCCGCCATCGACGCTAAGTCACCGACGCTAATTTGACGCACATTATATATTATAATTGAATTTCCAGGCGATTTATTTGTTATGGTATTTATAGTGGTATTTTGTAAAATATGAAATAGTATTTTATAGTATATTTTTGAGACCAAATTGGTATTTCTCGTTTGGTCCGGCGCGGTCACGCTGAGTAGTTCGTGCTGCTCAACCAGATAAGTTCCGCCAGAATAATAATAACATAAACAAATAGAAACATAAATTCGAAATGAGCTGCAAAACGAGCACTTTAAAGTACTCGTTTTTCTTCTCTAATACAATATGGCTGGTAAGTAGAGCACGAAATCTGCTCTGCCTTGTTTTCCAAGCGTCGAAATGAGTCATCCATTCACGTTTAGCTTTAAAAGCGAGGTTAATATATGTACATAGAAGAATAGAGTCAGCCGATGAGATAATAGCGATGAGAGAACCTCTTCAAAATAGTCAACGGACTATTATGAAATGCGAATGTTGTTCATTTGCTCATTTATATAATGTGGATACTTGAAATACTGGCAATATAAAGCTTTTCCTAATTCAAAAATAAAAAAAATGTAACAATTAAACCTTTGCTGTAGAGTAAAAGACTAATAATTTAATTTAATCAACGAACTGATTTTTTCCCGAACAATTTGTTCTCCAATTCATGGAATTGACTTCCAATTAAGTATTGTGTACATACATATATTGTTCTTTCGTATTGGTAACGGCCAAATATGAAACTTGATATAGACAGTACAAACAGTATACAGTTTGTCAAGAAACTCTTTACACACTGAAAAAATAACATATATTTTGACTTTGCATGCAAAAATTAGGCATTTCGTTTAGTTTTTTCAATATTTTTTTAATGCAGAACTATTATATAGGAACTTTTTAATGAGTACGTACAAAAACAAAAACATAACGCAAGGGAAAGAAATGAAAACATAGCGCATAGTGCATAAGCATAAACAACGGTAAAGTACCGTTTTTTCTTGAAAAAGGACAAAACAGAATTGAAAACTAAGATGTGTAAAGAGTTTCTTGACAGTGTCAAAAAATTTGTAAGCTCCTATTTTGTTGATTACAAGTTTTCCTTTGCGTTGTTATGTTTTTATTTTTGTACATACTCATTAAAAAGTTCGTATATAATAGTTCTGCATTAAAAAAATATTGAAAAAACTAAACGAAATGCCTAATTTTTGCATGCAAAGTCAAAATATATGTTATTTTTTCAGTGTGTAAAGAGTTTCTTGACAAACTGTATGTATATATATAGCACATACACTGCTTTTTAATCAGCAACAGGCGTATTTATTTATGTATGTGTCTTCTAACTTTCAGATAATTGGAATCCTAGTGATCGTTTCCGGAGCCCTTAGCTTGGGAATGGTGGGGTATGGGTATGTTATTGGCATCCTGGTCGTGGGTGTCGTTATAATTTTGACATCCCTGTTTGGCTACTATGGAGCCGTTCGCGAAGGACCGCGCATGCTCTGGATGGTTTGTACTTGAACGATGCTATTACATTATTAATCACACCATGAGTAACTTACTTTATTTGCCCTGCAGTACGTGTCATTTCTGCTGGCTTTGCTGGTAGTAGTATTGACCTTCATCATCCTTCATCCCAAAGATATATTTAAGAACTACGCTATCCAAGAAGTCAAGGATCATTGGAAACTTGAGGAGACTCATCCAGGTAGCATGGATACTATTCAGACATCTGTAAGTACGGCCTTCATCTTTCATGTTTGCTAATGAATAAACCATTGAATTTTAAATTAATGTATTTTATTAGCAAAGGTAATACTTGTTTATAAAAGAGAAATGCCCTAAGATACAATTCTTTTACCAGCTTACAATTAATAAGTAGATTAAATTACATTTAATTTATCAATGTTTTTCTCGAGTTTTCTTTAGTTAATTACTACTTCATAAATGTCCATTCATTGCAGTACCAATGCTGTGGCCTAGATGGTGCCGCGGACTACCTGAATAGCAAAGTCTGGAACCACACTGCACCCAACAGTTGCTGCAAGGAGAATATCTGTGTGAATCCCCTGAATCTCAATCGGGAGGGATGTCTCAGGAATGTGGAACTTTCTTTTGAGGATGAGAACTCGATAGTAAGGTATATGGAGTGGGGACTGTTCGGATTTAATGTGAGTCTTACCCTATTACACATTATTTAACTAATTATTAACTTAAATGCATATGTTCTCTTTTGTAGATTGTCATGCTCGTGCTGGGCGCAATTTTGGCCATTCACTACACGAATAGCCAGAGACGTTTCAACTATTAGCGACACATTACCACTTCACAAAACAATTTTCTTAACCTTTAAACACAAGTGATATAGTGAAAGATTATCATGCACTGAAAAATGCTTTAATTTGAATTATGGTTCCAAATACATTCCATTATTTTAGAAAAAAATCAAAACCAAATGTGAACAAAATCAGCCTTAATACAACTTGAGATGTCTTGAAGAGTTTACCATTTAATGAATGTACAAAGTCTTTTTCAACAAAGCATAAGTATTAACAAATACCAATAATTGTTATTTTTTTGTATCAAAATAAAAATGTCCGAAATTAAATACTAGTTTCTGTCAGTGTGGAGTAAATTGAGCACTAGAAAGCTATTCAAATCAATTATGCAAACGAAACACTAGTGGGGGAATACTCAAGCCTAGACACAACAACCATAAACCAACTCGAAAACAAAACGCTTTTACAAACCGCGGAGGGGTCAAGCAGCGATAGAGAGCGTGACTCAGTATTGGGGATTGTAATGGTAGTCATAGACTTATTGACAAATTGACCTAATGGTTTCAAGACAACACTTCCCAGTTTCAGATACTAACAAAAGTCATAGCAACAACATTATTTAATCATCCTCTTAAAAAAGCTTGGATTCTTTAATTTACTGTTTAATCTTTAAAACTGAGAGACTAGTTTGCGTAGAAACAGACAAACGGACATGGCTATATCGACTCCCCAATGGATCCTGATCAAGAATATATACACTTTATAGGGTCGGAAAAGTCTCCTTCACTGCGTTACAAACTTCTGACCAAAATTATAATACCCTCTGCAAGGGTATAATAAACATTCTGTTCAACCATAAAAGTTCTTTTGACACACAATTAGTTTCTTAGTCCTGAAATGATTTCTGGCCGAAAATCGTCTTCTCGAACAAAAACGCACACATATGGACTTGCTTATTCGTGCAATTCTATTTTTAGATTTTTATGCTCCCAACTTTGTGCGAACGGAGTTTTTGTCGCCACCAAAAAACGAGCTGCGTATTGCAAAACCAATGTACATATGTATGGCCGTTATGCATCTTAGAGATACAATACTGTTTATCTGTTTCTAAGCGAACTAGTCTCTCAGTTTTAAAGATATCGAATTGAAACTTTGCACACACCCTTCTTTCCTTTGCACGCAGTATATAAGTCGGAACGGCCGACTATATCCTATAGCTGCCATACAACTGAACGATCGAAAATGCCATAACTTTGGTGTTTTTAAAGTTAGGGGGTTAGGATGTTATCTTTGGTCAATCAACCCGACCTACCAAATTTCATAAGGATCTACCGACTATATCTTATAGCTGCCATATAACTGATTGATCGGAAATGCCATAACTTTGGTGTTTGTAAAGTTAGGAAGTTTGGTTTTTTTATGGGTATTAAGAATGCATCATATGAATAATTTTGGAGAATATAATTTACAGAATATTCTGCAAGGGTATATCAACTTAAGCTCCGCCCGAAGTTAGCTTTCCTTTCTTGTTTGTCTTGATGGAGTTAGTTGTGATAAAGTTAAGTCGATGGTTTTTAGTTTGTAAGTCAACTCCCAGTGGAACTGATCATTTCTGAATTCTTCTAAGCTTTCTGATTCTTCCTTAATAATTTCTTTGTAAATGCATACATACATACATATGTACATATATTAGTGATATGAAAAAGTTCTGCGTATGAATCATAAGTCTTTGTAGATGCAAAAGTCGTGGTTTGAATAGTCGATTATCTCGGAATTAGTTTATGCGATTATCAAAACTTGGTTGGGATTTTCTATGGGTTTTATTTTTGGCCAATCAATCCGACCTATCAAATTTCATAAGGATCGGCCGACTATATCCTATAGCTGCCATATAACTATATATATTATAGTATTCATTATCTGAAAGTTAAAAATATATTAATACTTAATATTATCTTTGTGGATAATTCTATTTCTATTATTTATTATAACTTTGTTACCTTTGTTTTCTTTAACTACATACCTGTTTTTTGTATCTTGGTTTTAATTTATTTCGTTTCCGTACTTTTTAGTCTCTTAGTTTTATCGAATTGAAACTTTGCACACACCCTTCTTTCCTTTGCACGCAGTGTAACGCTTGTGGCAGAGAAGTTGCTTTGCAGTGTGGGAGATTATTGTGCCGCCATCTAGTTGTCGGCTTGAGTACTACCGGCTGGGATAGAAGAAGAATTCTGGGGGTAAAGGTTTCGGAGTAAAAGAGGCAACAGAGGCACTTGTCAGGTCAGGAAAAATGGCGAAGTCATGGCTAGAGAGAACGGAGACAGCTCCGACCGAGTTCCGCGCGCCACAATTTTTCTTTCGATTTTCGGCAGGGACAGATTAACGTTGTGTCTAGTAGGTGTTTAAAAAAAAAAAAAACTTGTGAAGCCTGAGCGGAAAAAAATGAAGAATAATGTGTTTCAGTGGGAGCAGCAACAAAAAAAAAATAAAAAGAAACCAAATAATTAAACAAAAATCGACCGACCCTAAAGCCGATTCCAAGGGTAAGCCAGAAAATGTTAAGGATCAACTAACGGCAAGCAATCCAATTTTATCATTTTAATTAGCTTTGACGCTTAATGCCTGGCCCGGAAAACTCGCGGCAGCAGTTGGAAAAATTCCAGATTAGAAAAGCCATCAAAGTTCCCGAAGAGAGAAAAAAGACATAAGGAGGACGGCGACGAGTGGGAAATTTCCTCGGCATCCAACTCAAGGGGGCCTTAGATTTTGTATGCCTTTTTATTGCACCTTATTTTAATATTTGTACATAGTTGTAATTCGTGCGTAGATATAGCCAGAGTTGAGGGCGGGTTGAAGAAAAGCCAAAGTAAACCAAAGACACCAAAAGGCTCGAGATCAAAATACTCGACTCCAATTAGAAGGTGATTTCGGCTGGAATAACACTCATTCCCATTGTGCTCTCCAATCTCCCGACTCTCCAAGCGGGAATATGGCTGAGTGAAACAAGAAAACCATTCGAGCAGTTCCCGTGGTACTCCGTGATTCAGTAGACCTGCGTGCGATCGTCCTACATAAATAATTAAATATATTTAAATGTAAAGTGAAGAAAAAGAAATAAGAAATCGCGAGCGGAAACGGAGGAGAATTTATTATAAAATAAGCAAAAATGCAAGCAATGTGAATACAAGTTTAAGAATTAGTGTAAGTGTTAGTGAGGTGGTACAAAAGCGATTTATATAAAAAAAGAAGCAAGAAGACGAAAAAGGAAAGAGCGGAGAATCATCAAAAATTTACTAAAACGCGTGAGAGGGAGGATAAAACCAAAGACCAATATACCAATAATTGTTTATATTGGTCTTTGATAAAACCCTAACCCCGTGAATAAATGAAAAAAAGAGTAATTTAATTTCTATTCCGCTGGTGCCGTGCAAATTTTGTTGAAATGAAATGTAAAAGAAAAAATGTTTGCACAGTGGTGGTGTTGGTGATTTGTTTTTTTTTAGGAAACCTCACGGAAGCGCTTTCGTCGATGGACATCCAACACGGTGGTGAGTGATATTTCACTATTATACAAAATTTCTCGGAAATAATAATCTTATGCAAAATCCACTAATGACCAAACGTTGCCCCACTGGCCCATATTAGTCGAATGTAAAAAAGAAGAAAAAGGAAATGCAAGAACCAAAAGAAATAGAATTTCACGGCCACGGCCAGCAATACGAATGATCGGGAGTAGGGATTCAAGGTCAATGCCCTTCGCGAAATACTTTGGAGCGGATTTATTTGATTTTTGTGTAAAAAAAAAAAAGAAACAGCAGTGTAAAGTTACTCACTAATTGCATTTGCATATATGTAAATTTCGGCCGCTCAATATTCGCGTATATTTTTTTGTGATTTTCTGGAGTTGATTTAGGAACTCTTTTTATTTAAATATTTTACGTGATTTTGTATTTGTCATACATTTAGACCCAAAAATATTACGTCATTTTCGGTGATGAGTCAAAATTTAATATATTTGGTCCGAGGACGTTCTTAGCTATGTCGTAAAGCCAATACAGAGCTGCAGGACAAACATCTAAAACCCACCGTTAAGCATGACGGCGGACACGTTATGGTTTGGGCCTGTAAGTCCGCAGCAGGAGTCGGAAACCTAAAATTTATTGAAAGCATAATGAATAAAAATGTTTATCTTAATATCCTTAAGGATAATTTACTTTAAAGTGCTGAGAAATTGGGAATAAAACAGGGTTTTCGGTTCTACCAAGACAATGACCCAAAGCATAAGTAGGGTATTATTCAATATTGGCTGGGATATAATTGTCCCAATATAATGAAATCTCCAGCTCAGTCACCCGATTTTAATGTTATTGAGAATTTGTGGGCTTTGCGGGACTCAAAAATTCGGGAGCGCAATATTTCCAATAAAAATGACTTGAAAACGGCTTTGCTCGAAGAATGGGCTAAAATCACCCCAGGAACCTCAAAAAAATTGGTCGAATCTATTCCCAATCGACTGAAGTCGGTTGTGGACCAAAAGGGCGGACATACCAAATACTAAAAGTTAAAAAAATATTTTTATGCAATTTTTTATAATTAATTTGATGAACTGGGTCAAATAAGCTGTGACATTGAAAAAGGCATTATTTTTAGTTTTTATTGTTTAATTAAGAAGTTCCTTGCTAGAATAAATAAATGAAAACATATTTTTGAAGTTAAAACAACAGTTAACCTTTCTGCGTTTTATTTTTATGCGTATCTCTTATGGTTCAGGAGTTATACCTGTTTAATGTTGAAAATTAGGTGTGGGTCAAATAAGCTGTGAGCCACTGTACATATAAAAAAATATAGCATTTGACGTTTCTGAGGAATGAAATAATATGTACGACAAAAAAAAAGTTTGTACAATATGCTCCGTTCAACTTTTTTTTTTATTAATTAAATTAATTATTATTAATTAATTAAAGGTTCTATTTAAATAAAAAAATCAACAAAAATATTTTTTTAGCTCAATAACTACTATATTACCGTCTTCCAAAAATCCCCTGTTTTCATCAAATATTCTTTTGCATATTTAATGCGATTTTATTTGTTCTTGGGGCTAATAAAGGGCTTCTTCCGCACAAATCTTCCGTGGAAATCGAATTTATTTAAAGTATTACGCACAGTATTGAAACACACGTCCTTACCAATTCGGTTTTGTAAAGAAATCTTTAGTTATTTAGCAGTTTTGAAGGGATCTTGTTTCATTTCTTTTAAAACCGACCTCTCTTCTCGGTCATTTAAGATCTTTTTTTGGCCTTCCCTGCTTTTATTGGCAAATCTAAATTTA